GAGGAAGCCGAGGCTGCGAATAGTCGTGCCGTCGAAGAACCTGAGGCTTGGGACCAAGAGCAACAAGAGGACGAATTCAAGGAGGCGGAAGAGTTTGCGCCGAAGCTGAGCAAGAAGGAACAGAAGCGCTTGGACAAGGAAGCCGCGAAACTGGCCCAGGATAAGGAGTTCGAGGAAGCCGAGGCTGCGAATAGTCGTGCGGTAGAAGAACCCGAGGCTTGGGATCAGGAGCCACAAGAGGACGAATTCAAAGAAGCGGAGGAGGAGTTCGCCTTTACTAAAAAACTGAGTAAGAAAGAACAGAAGAAGCTGGAGAAGGAACAGGCGAAGCAAGCACGCGACCGTGAGATCGAGCTTGAGGAGGCAGGGGAAGGTCTCCATGCCATTGTTGAGGAGCCGGAAACCTCGAAATCACAGGGAGAGGATGATAAAGAGGCAGACGAATTTGCCTTCACGAAGAAGTTGAGCAAGAAGGAGCAGAAGCGACTCGACAAGGAAGCAGAGAACCTGGCGAGGGACCGCGAGCTAGAGCTCGCGCAGACTGAGGTGCCCAGTACTCAAACTCCGCAAGAAGCCGAAGAATTTGCCGAGTTCTCGACCTCGAAGAAGAGCAAGAAATCCAAGAAGTCCCGGAAGAGCGCTGGGTACCCTGACGATGATGAAGAGGTACCGGCGACGAAGATTTCCGTTCCTATCGATGCATTTGATTTACGCCATGACGACGACGCTGCTGCCCCAGTGGACGAATGGGATGCGCCTAAGAAGTCAAAGAGGAAGTCAAAGGGAGGAGGTGAAGTCTTCGAGGATGCCCAGGAGTCCATTTCAAGGAAGGGATCGAAGAAGGACAAGTCAAGGGGCAACACGGATAGCGACCGATCCCAAACACGAAGCGTTGTGTCTGAGCCTGTTGAGGATGACACTAGGTCCGTGACCTCGGAGTCGAAGAAGAAGTCAAGGGGTAGTGGCTTCTTTGGATTCTTCGGAGGTTCGTCTAACAAATCTGATGTTGGCGAGACCGAGAAGGTTGTCAAGCCTGATGAGGCTCACGACTTGGGCAATGGCCATTCTGCAATTGAAGGCTCTAACGGCATTTCCAATGGGAACGGTCACGAGGCGCACGAGGAGGAGGACGAGTGGGCTAGCACCACGAAGTCTAAAAAGAAAAAGAAGAAACAGAAGAATGGCATAGCGGACGACGAGGCCTCTGAACAGGATTCTTTTTTAGCTAATGCCGGCACCCTTGGCGCGGGTGTCGGCCTTGTCGGTGCTGCAGCGGTGGCCGCTGCTCTGCATCAACAATACAAAGCCGATGATGCTGACAGCAAGGACGATCCGGCAGCGCGATCCCTTTCTGCTGAGTCTCAGCCACAGAACATTGCAGCGGACGCTCATCGCGATCCGTATCCGAACGACTTTGTCGATCCGGAGATCGTTGAGAGGCCATTCCGTGTAGCCATCGACCCGGAGTATATGGACCTCCTCGCTCTACCCCCAAGCGATCCTGGCACCCCAGATCCGCACCATTCTACCGACCTTCCTGCTCTTCCGGACAGCCGACCGCCCTCCCCGCCAGGCACAGAACATCTTGCTCCCATCGACAGAAGCCTCGCCGCCCATGACAAGAACCCCGCCACACCGCGCAAAACTGAGTCGCGCAAGCCTAACCGCAAAGCTGCAAGCCTCAGCGCAGTCCCCCTAACATTCAAGCTGGGAAATCGCTCAACACCCTCGTCCCCGGGTCTTACGCGCCCCACGCCACTTGCATCTCCTCTCACGCCAGGCCTCGGACGCCCATCGTCGCTCATGTCGCCGCTGAGTCCTGCCATGGACCCAGCGGGATTTTCGCGAACAAAGGCGCGTCCTACCTCCTGGGACAACTCGCGCGAGATCAAGCCACTACTCCTACTCGATGCTGCGAGGCGAGAATCGCTACTGTCCGATGAGGAGAGGCCGACGCGGCCGCGGTCGACAGAACCTGACTATGGTGTGTATAGCCGCCGGTCGTCGCTTGCTTCTGCGAGAGCATCGGTGGTTTCACCGAGATCAGACGATGTTGCTGATTTGCCGGCTCTGCCGGAGAGTCGCGAGGCTTCTCTGGAGAGGGTCGAGGAGCTGCCTTCATCCGTGGAAGAGCCAGCATCAGCCGTGGAAGAAGCCCCTCTTGAAAAGATGCATGCCAGGGATGACGATGTAGTGTCTAAGGAGATTTCACTGGAGCCCGAGGTGGATCAAGCCAAGGAGGTCTCTGGTATCGAAAGACCCCATTCTCCGGATCTATTCGAGGAGTCACATGAGTTTCCTGAGCTTCCCGAAAGCCGCCCAGCAACACCGATGGATGATGGAGACCTTCACGTTTCCGATGCCATTGTTCAAGAACACGGCGATAGCCAACAGGATGAGACATCTCGGGAGGTAGACGATTTACCGCAGCCGACTCCTGTAGAACCTGATACATGCAACCGCAGCTCTCATCTCTTCCAGCCAACGCCACAGACAACTCCGATCAAGCACTCAAATACCGACGATATCATATTGGAGCATCCTACTCAAGACGAGACGGGCGATCAAGATGGCGCGGCTGTACAGGAACGCAGTTTTCTAGAAGAACAAGGCGAGAGCTACGTGGCTAGAGATATATATGCCGCGGACGTTCCTATAGACCTTCCAACTTCTACTTCGGACATTAAAGACGAAGTGATGCCAACCTCGGAACATGTCGCCGACGATTTAGACGCCCATTTTGACAGCACAGCACGCGCGGCTGAGGTTGTCCCCAATGTCGCGGCGGAAGAAGAAGCTGAGCCCATCGACCAATGGAGCTCTACCCCATCAAAGAAGGCTAAGAAAGGCACGAAGAAGGTAAAGAATGCCAAGAAGGGAGGTTATCAGACTCCACCCGCCGAGGAAACCCCAGAGCCGGCCGCCCTTCCTGAGACGGACTCAGCCGAGAAGTCGCTTGACGAGCAACCGCACCAACCGACTGAAGATTTGAGTCGTGGTCTGCCACTGGCTGCAGCCGCTACAGCCGCTGCTATTGCTACCTTTGATGAAGGGCCAGGCGCTTCTCGAGACCTAAGCATCTCGGACGAGCCAATCATCCCTCAGGAGCCCGAGGAGCCGATTGAACCGGAGTGGGCATTGAAGCCTTCTAAGAAAGACAAGAAGAAGGCAAAGAAATCCCGCGGAGATCCCGTCTCAACTCCAGCCGACGACACTCTCGCAGAGACTACCCTTCCCGAGGCCGATATTGAACAGCCGCCGCAGGCCGCCGAAGATTTTGCTGTGGAGCCGGAATGGACCGCGAAGCCATCAAAGAAGGACAAGAAGAAGGGGAAGAAGAGTCGCGGAGGCGAAGCCACGCCTCCGGTCGAAGACACTACTGTAGAGTATATTCTCCCTGAAGCTGCTGTCGAGGAACCGGCACAGCCCGCAGAAGAGTTCGTCGCCGAGCCGGCATGGGCCTTGAAGCCTTCAAAGAAGGATAAGAAGAAGGCAAAGAAGGGTCTCAGCGATCAAGGTTCAGCTCCGGCTGAGGATAATGCTGTAGATGCTATTATTCCCGAGGTCGAGAACCAGCTACCGCTGGAGACTACCGAAGAGGTCCAGCCCGCTGAAGATGTTGTCGCCGAGCCGGAATGGGCCTTGAAGCCTTCAAAGAAGGACAAGAAGAAAAAGAGCAAGAAGGACCGCGGAGATCAAACTCCAGTCGAGGACAATGCTCTAGAACCTATTGTTCGCGAGATCAAGAGCGAACAATCGGTACAACCTACTGAAGAGGTTCAGCCCGTCGAAAAGGTGCTTCCTGTTGATGATTTCGTCGCGGAGCCGGAATGGGCATTGAAGCCTTCGAAGAAGGATAAGAAGAAAGGCAAGAAAGGCCGCGGAGATCAAACTCCAGTGGAGGATAGTACTGTAGAGACTATTGTTCGCGAGGTCGAGAGCGAACAGCCGGTACAACCCACTGAAGAGGTTCAGCCTGCCGGAGAGATTCAATCACCCGAAGAGGTGCTTCCTATTGAAGATTTCGTCGCAGAGCAAGCTTCAGCCCCGGTCGATGAGGTCATTCTAGAGACTACTCTTGCCGATGCGGACAGCGAACAACCAGTACAGCCTGCCGAAGAAGTACAGCCTGCTGAAGACCTCGTCGCCGAGCCGGAATGGGCCTTGAAGCCTTCCAAGAAGGACAAGAAGAAGGGCAAGAAGGGTCGCGGGGATCAAACCCCGGCCGAGGACAATGCTGCTGAAACTATTCTTCCTGAAGCCGAGAGCGAACAGCCAGCTGAAGATATAGCCGCAGAGCCGGAATGGGCCTTGAAGCCTTCAAAGAAAGACAAGAAGAAGGGCAAGAAGGGTCGAGGAGGTCCCGTTGAGGAAACTGCTACTGAGCCATCTAACTCTCCCGAATCCGCCCTGGAAACAGAGCCGCTTCAAACTTTGGAAGATGAGGCTAAAGAAATCTCCCTCGACGTTCCTGTTACTGATCTCGGTGATGAGCCTTCCTCCGCTTCGGAACAACAGCCACAGCCTTTCGAAGACGTAACTGATGTTCCCGTTGACGTTCCCGCTACTACTCTCACTAACGAGCCCGAGCCTGTTTCGGAACGACAGCTACAGCCTTTAGAAGACGTAGCTGAAGATGTTCCCGCCAACATTCCTGCCCCTGCTTTTGACGATGAGCCTACCCCCGCTCCGGAGCAAGAGCTACAGCCTTTCGAAGATAAAGCTAAAGACGCCCCTACCGACATTCCTATTGCAGCTGTTGATGATACCACCATTGCGGAATCCGAGGAGCCAGAAGAGCCTATGTGGGCGCTAAAACCATCGAAGAAAGACAAGAAGAAGGCTAAGAAGGGTCGCGGAGCTCCAGTCGAAGATGATCCTGTAGCAGAACAGCAGCTATCGCCTTTAGAAGATGAAGTTAAAGAGGCTCCCGTCGACATGCCTATTGTGGCCATCGAAGATACCCCCATTGCCGAATCCGAGGAGCCAGCAGAGCCTATGTGGGCGCTAAAACCATCGAAGAAGGACAAGAAGAAGGCGAAGAAGAGTCGCGGTGATCTTGTCGAGGATACTGCTGCAGAGGTATTGGACTCTCCTGAATCTGCTGCTCCAGAACCTGCTGCGGAGCAACCGCCTTTTGAAGACGCAGCTGAAGATGTCCTTCCCGAAGTTCCTATTGTCATTCCAATTGATGAGCCTACCCTAGCCATGGAACCCGAAGAGCCATCGGAACCAACCTGGGCGCTAAAGCCTTCAAAGAAGGACAAGAAGAAGGCGAAGAAGGGCCGTAGCGAACCAGTCGAGGAGGACACTGCCGCAGAGCCACTAGACGCCCCAGAATCTGCCATGGAACAGCCGCCACTAGAAGACATAGCCAGAGAAGCCCCCGTGGACATCACTACCGCAGCCTTCGATGAGCCCGCTCCCGCCGCAGAATCCGAAGAGCCATCGGAGCCAACATGGGCATTGAAACCGTCGAAGAAAGAGAAGAAGAAAGCAAAGAAAGGCCGCGCAGGTTTCCTTGAGGAGGATACTACTGTAGAGACATTAAACACCCCCGAACCTATTACGGAACAGCCGCTACAGCCTCAAGAAGACGTTGTTGAAGATGCCACAACTTCCGACATTCCTGTTGCTACTATCGACGCCGAAATCACTCCTGATGAGCCAACCTCCGATAAGCCTACCGGCGAGGAGCCAATCGTTGATGAGCCAGCCGCTGATGAGCCTGTCCCCGTTGCAGAATCCGAGGAGCCATTTGAGCCAACATGGGGCCTCAAGCCATCAAAGAAAGACAAGAAGAAGGCTAAGAAGTCTCGTGGAGGTCAAGGTCAATTTGAGGATACTGCTATAGAGCAACCTTTGGAAGACTTGGCTAAGGATGCCCCCATCGACATTCCTACTCCAGCTCCCCGTGGTGATGAGCCCACTCTTGATGAGGCCATCCCCGACGAGTCCATCTCCGCTGAGCCTGCCGCCGCTCCGGAATCCGCAGAGCCATCAGACATAGCTGAGCCAACATGGGCACTCAAGCCATCAAAGAAAGACAAGAAGAAGGCTAAGAAGGGTCGCGGAGGTCAAGCCGAGGATACTGCGCCAGAGCAGGAAGAGCAGCCCTTGGAGGAAATGGCAAAAGATGCCCAAATCGATATTCCCGTTGCTGCTCTCGACGATGAAGCATCTCGCGACGAGCCCACAGCTGATGAACCGACGCCCTCGGCTGAACCCGAAGAGCCATCTGAGCCGACATGGGCACTAAAGCCGTCTAAGAAAGACAAGAAGAAGGCAAAGAAAAACCGCGGAGGTCTATTTGAGGAGGACACTGCTTCGGAGCAACAACCAGAGCCTTTAGAAGATGTCGCAAAGGACATCCCCGTCGAGATCCCGCTCGCTGCTCTTGGTGCTGCTGCCCTCGGTGTTGCAGCTCTCGGTGATGAACCTACTATTGAAGAGCCCGTAGCCGTTGAGCCCGCCGCTATCGAGCCCACCCCGGCCACGGAACCTGAGGAGATGTTAGAGCCGACATGGGCACCGAAGCCCTCCAAGAAAGACAAGAAGAAGGCGAAAAAAATCCGCGGAGGTCTATTTGAAGAGGACACTGCTGCAGAGCCCCAGGGCGAGCCTTTAGAAGATGTTGCAAAAGATATCTCCGTCGAAACTCCTCTTGCTGCTCTTAGTGATGAGCCTACAATTGAAGAGCCCATCGCCGTTGACCCCATCGCCGTTGAGCCCACCCCCGCTCCGGAATCCGAAGAGCCAACATGGGCGCTGAAGCCGTCAAAGAAAGACAAGAAGAAGGCAAAGAAGAACCGCGGCCTGTTTCAAGAGGATACTGCTCCGGAACCACAGGGAGAGCCCCTGGAAGATGTGGCAAAAGATATTCCCATCGAAACTTCTCTTGCCACTCTCGATGATGAGCCCACTGCCGTTGAGCCCACCACCGTTGAGCCCGCCATTGTTGAGCCCAGCATCGTTGAGCCTACCATTGAGCCCACCGTCGATGAGACCGTTCCCGCTCCAGAACCCGAAGAGCCATTCGAGCCAACATGGGCGCTAAAGCCATCAAAGAAAGACAAGAAGGGAAAGAGGTCTCGCGGTGTTCCGACTGAGGATACTGCTGTAGAGCCACTCAGCGCTCCTGAAATACAACCATCTGAAGCTTCAACAAACGACGCCCCCGCAGTCCTTGACACACCCACCACTGCTCTCGACGATGAGCCAATGGCACCTTTGGGAGAACCCGAAGAACAGATCGAACCAGAATGGGCGCTGAAACCCTCCAAGAAGGACAAGAAGGGGAAGAAGGCGGCTCATGGAGGCCAAACTTCGCCGCCAACTGAAGACACTATCGTCGAGCAGCCCACCCTCCCAGAGGCTCAACACTCTGAAGATTCGCCACCAACCGTCGATGCTCCTGCTATTAGTACTATTGAAGATGAACCCATCGCGCCAGTGGAGCCCGAAGAGCTGGCCGAACCTGAATGGGCCCTCAAGCCTTCGAAGAAAGACAAGAAGGGTAAGAAGGGAAAGAAAGCATTCGAAGACCAAGTCTCAACTCTGGTCGAGGACACGGCTGAGCCGTCTGAAGATTTAACGAGAGACGCTTCCCTAATTGTGGATGCACCTGTAAGTGCCCTCAACACCGAACCGATTATGCCCGCAGAATCCGAAGAGCAGGCCGAACCGGAATTCGCCCTCAAGCCATCGAAGAAAGACAAGAAGGGGAAGAAGGCAAAGAAAGCATTCGAAGACCAGGCCCCAACTCCGGTGGAGGACACAGTTGAGCCGTCTAAAGATTTAACGAGAGACGCTTCCCTAATCGTCGACGCACCTGTAAGTGCGGTTGACAGCGAACCAATTGCGCCAGCAGAATCTGAAGAGCAGGCCGAACCGGAGTTCGCCCTCAAGTCATCAAAGAAAGACAAGAAGGGGAAGAAGGGGAAGAAAGCACAGGAAGGCCAGGCTTTAAGTTGGGCTGATGAGGTCGAGGAGGCTGCTGATGATCCAGCGAAGGACGCCTCCCTAATTGTCGACGCACCCGCAGAGTCCGAAGAGCAGGCCGAAACCGAATTCGCCCTCAAGCCATCAAAGAAAGACAAGAAGGGGAAGAAGGCAAAGCAAGCACAGGAGGAGCATGCCTTAAGTTGGGCTGATGAGGTTGCGGAGACTGCTGATGATTCAACGAAAGACACTCCTCCAGTCGACGTTGCACCTGCGGAATCCGAAGAGCAAATCGAAGCAACATGGGCGCCAAAATCTTCAAAGAAGGACAAGAAGGGGAAGAAGGGGAAGAAAGCATTCGAAGTCGAGGACACACCAGAGCTATCCGAAGATTTAACGAAGGATGCCTCGCTAATCATCGATGCGCCTGTCGAATCCGAAACGCCAATCGAGCCAGAATGGGCGCCAAAGGCTTCGAAGAAAGACAAGAAGGGGAAGAAGGGTAAGAAGGCATTCGAAGTTGAGGGCACACCTGAGCCATCGGAAGACTTAACGAGAGATGCACCAGCGGCCATCGACATGCCCGCCGTTTCACCCCACGACGAACAAGCCGCGCCTGCAGAGTTTGGGGAGCCTATGGAGGAGACGTTTGCACTAAAGCCTTCGAAGAAAGACAAGAAAGCGAAGAAGGCCCGCGAAAGCCAAGTGTCAACTCCCCCTGTAGACTTCGAATATGAATCTACTTCGCAGACCAAGACTGTCGATGGATTTGAGGCCGGCTACAAGGAAGATCAGTTGGCTCTAGCAAGGCAATTACAAGCAGAATTCGGATCAGGAGCGGCGAAATCTAAGAAGTCCAAGAAAAAGTCTCGTGGCGGAAGCCAACCCTCAGTCCCCTCTACACCTGTCGAAGTAGAGGCTGCTGAGGCTGAGTATTTCGAGAGCGCTCCGCAACCAAGATCTATCGACGGCCTTGAGGTTGGCTACGAGGAGGACCAGTTATCTCTCGCAAAACAACTGCAAGCTGAGTTCGGATCAGGCAGCAAGAAGTCTAAGAAGGGGAAGAAGTCTCGCGGAAGCCAAGGCTCAATGCCATCTACACCCGTCGAAGTTGAGACTCCTGAGATTGAGAGCACTGAGAGTGCTTCTCAGCCAAGAGCATTCGACGGACTTGAGGTTGGCTACGAGGAAGACCAGCTAGCTCTCGCAAAGCAATTGCAAGCTGAGTACGCGTCAGGTAGTAAGAAGTCTAAGAAGGGGAAGAAGTCTCGTGGAAGTGAAGTTTCATCGCCTTCTACACCTATTGAAGTCGAAAGCTTCGAGAGCGACCAACAAAGAGCTATCGGCGGCCTTGAGGTTGGCTACGAGGAGGACCAGCTGTCTCTCGCGAAGCAGTTACAGGCTGAATTTGGATCAGGCAGTAAGAAGTCAAAGAAGGGCAAGAAAAACCGCAGCTCGTCTGCAACGCCGAAGTCAAATTACGAAACTTACGATGAAGAGCCACAGACTTTCGAGTCTGAAGCAGCGACACTAGACTCTCATCATGATAAGCCTAGGGATCTTGACAATTCACCGATCCATGAGGCAGTTGAAGCGCCACGAGACTTTCAAGATGTCAGATCGGTTGAAGTGCCAGAGACAGCAGAAGACAACTCTACAATCGAAGCCATGGTTGGAGCAGCAGCAGCTCTTGGAGCTATTGGAGTCGGCGCTGTAATCAAACATGCAGTGGAGGCTTCAGAAGACAAATCTGCCCACGACATTGTTGAGGTACCAAAGGAAGACTTGCAAGATCCCAGATCTCTCGATGCGCCAGAATATTCAGAAGATACCACGGTTCCTCAAGTGGTAGTCGACGCACCGCACGACCTGCAAGCATCCAGATCTATTGATGCTGCATATGTCCCAGATGTCGTCGAAGCACCAAGGGACTTGCAAGACTTCGAATCTTCGAAACCCGAGGAGCACATGGCCACGATACATCAGCAAGAAAATCCAGAAGCTTTAGAAGAGCTTTCCCACCCATCATTTTCAAAGCATGTCACAGTAGATAGAGAGATTGGCAGCCCGTCGCACGTTACATCTGACTATCTGAGTCGTGAACCTCAATGGCACACTCCATCCCGACTACCTGTCGTGCTCGAGGAGGATAGCACCGACTACAGGAAGTCTTCCGACAGCCCACCTCAGGAGTACATACCTTTCGGAGACAGGAGCATCGATGACTTCAATCGCGACAGCGCCTATGTGGCCGAGTCGCCAATAACTACCTCCCGATCGCTTGCTGCGGATCACGAATATACGAGAGATAGCGGTGTTCACCTTGATGGACGGAGCCGTAGCCATACTCCCGAGAGGAGGTCGTCTCCTCCACGAACCCCAGCACCAGCTGTGTCTGACGACGCACTCGCACGTCTCTCATGGCCGCCTGTGAATGATACAGATGAGACCGTGGATCTGCACAGACCAAAGTCCCGTAAGGTTCAGGAACAATCACGGCTTACGCCTTTGAGTTTCCCACCTCCTGCTATTGGGCTTGGAGCCGCAGGTGCAGGTCTGGCTGCTGCTAGAGGCTACGACAAGCTGTCTCGCACTGGTAGTCCCGACATTCGCAGGTCGTCTGCTGATAGCCCCGAACTTCGCAGATCGTCTGGCGAGATCAAACGTATGACAACTCCGCATCGCATAGAAACCCCACGAAGCGTGAGCGAACGCAAAACTCCAGATATTAATCGACTTCATACGCCAGATCAGGTGCGAAGTCGACCAGTGAGCGCGACCAGTAGTAAATTTTCGTCAGGCACGCCTCCGCTCCGCCGTAGCGACCGCAAGACTAGCGGGGATCTAAGGTCTCTGAGCCAACGGAGCCAGCCGAACCTTGACGAGGCAGCTCGGGAAGCTAAACACAGCCCTGCAGGGCCCAGCACCAGCACCTCCGACATCACCAACCCCATCGCAAACGAAGGCCGCGTCCGAGTGAAGGACATGGCTGACGTCTACGTAAGTTTATATGATGATAGTAATATTTACGAAATCAATACTGATGATTTGCAGGATGGCTACGGCGAAGGGCGCATTGGTTCGCCAAGGTCACCCACCCGACCACACAGTATGCGCCGCAGACAGAGCATGCAAGTCATCGACCTCGAAGCAAGGCTCGAACAATTAGCAGCAGAGAATCGCATGTTGGCCGAAGCCAAGGAGCAAGCAGAATCCAACCTTCATCAGTCGCAGCGCGCGACTTCCGACCTCGCCGACCGCGACGCGGAAATCGATACATTGAAGCGTACGCTCGACTGGTTCCATAAAGAGGTTGATCGACTAAAGGAGATCAACGAGGGTCTTACGAGCGCAAATGTCACGATCGGACAGCAGCATGATAATCGCTATACCCAGCTTGAGAGCCAGCATGCGCAAACAACAAGGGAGCTCGAAGAAGAGCGACACGCGCATGGAAATCTATCCGAAGGCATGGCAGTGATTATACAAGGCAAGGTTCAGGAAGAGCTACAAGACAAAGACCGCGAGCTCAACCAGTTGCGCAACGAGCTTGAGTCGGCGCGCGAACAGATCAAAGAGATGCAGCGCCAGATCCTAGCCTCCAAGTCCGAGGATGCTTCCTTCCTTGTTGTGCGCAACGAGGATTACTTCGATGACGCCTGCCAGAGACTCTGCGAGCACGTATCGCAGTGGATCCTGCGCTTCTCGAAGTTCAGCGACATGCGCGCCTGCCGTTTGACATCGGAGATCAGCAACGACAAGATCATCGACCGGCTAGACAACGCCGTGCTCGACGGCTCCGATGTCGACGACTACCTGGCCGACCGCGTGCGCCGCCGCGACATCTTCATGTCCATGACCATGACCATGGTATGGGAGTACATCTTCACGCGTTACCTATTCGGTATGGACCGCGAGCAGCGCCAGAAGCTCAAGTCGCTCGAGAAGATGCTCCTCGAAGTCGGCCCACCGGCCGCAGTCCACCAATGGCGCGCGACGACGCTTTCCCTGCTCGCGCGCCGCCCTGCGTTCGCCGCACAGCGCGACCAGGATACTGAGGCCGTCGTCCAGGCTATCTTCCAGACCCTCAGCACGATCCTCCCGCCGCCTTCCAACTTGGAGGAACAAATCCAGGTGCAGCTCCGCCGCGTCGTGCGCGTCGCTGTAAACCTGTCCATTGAGATGCGCACCCAGCGCGCTCAATACATGATGCTCCCACCGCTGCAGCCGGAGTATGACGCCAACGGCGACCTGGCGCGTGAGGTCGCCTTCAATGCTGCGCTGATGAGCGAGAAGATCAGCGCTGGCGGTTCGAGAGGAGCGCCACAGGTGAGCGGCGAGGAGAGAGAGGAGGAGGGCGCGGTGGTGCAGGTTGTGCTGTTCCCGCTCGTGGTGAAGCAGGGCGATGATGAGGGAGTGGGAGAGGAGGAGATTGTGGTGTGCCCGGCCCAGGTGCTCGTTGCGAGACCGAGGGAGCCAGGATCGAGTGTTGGGATGAGGGGAGGGAGGAATTCAAGCAGAGTTAGCATTCCGGTTAGCTCGGCGATGGGTAGTGAGATTTAGTGTGATGGGGAGGAGGAAAAAATGTGATGATGATGACGGATGGGTGGAAGGAAGGATGAATGGGATGTGTTAAGATATTGGTTGCTTTTTTGTTTTTTGTTTAGCTGGCGTTGGGTGGATACCTGCATTTGGGCCCTCTCTTTTTCGCGGTTGCAGAAGGGGATTGGGTATAAGATAGTTTCCTTGAGCGTATGTCGAATTGATATTTTATGTTTATTGTCTAGTAATCTGTCCTCGACTTGCCTTGTCACGTATCCCCTCCGGTTTATCCATCAGCCATCGATATAAAACCTATCTTTCAACACTACAAGAAGAAGATTCGCCGTCACTACGTAGGAACAGCAACAGCACGAATGAAATGGCTAGCGCAGAATCCGGGGGATTCAGAATGCGGGGATAACCTTAGCTCTTGGTGCCGTCTCTTGCGTCTTCTGTACGACCTTCTTGTTCCTAGCTTCCGCGGAAGGTTATCCGAACACCGATCCCTCATGGTTCTAATGGTCCATTGTTCTCATACTTCTTCCGCGGCAGAGGTTTAAATCTTATTAGCCGGGTCATCAATCACACGAGGACGTCGGCAACGGCCTTCGCTCTAACAACACTAACAGCCCTCTTAAGAATATCCTGACGTCTCCGGAACTGTTCGTCCTTCTTTATGCCGCCAGCTGCCCGGATCCTGACTTCTCATTCTTTGACAACCCAAAGTAAAGGAACGAATAGCAAATAACTGCCAGATACAAATTCAGAAGCACATGATGTCGTCTCAAAGGCTTTCGGGTAAAGTCGCCATTGTCACCGGAGCCGGCTTCGGATTCGGAGCAGGCATTACTGAGAAGTTCGTCGCCGAGGGCGCAAAAGTGGTCCTCGTCGACATCAACGCAGCGAATGGAGAAAGCGTAGCAGCGGCTCAACCGCAAGGGTCCGCGGTTTTTCTCCAGGGGGACGTGACTTCTGAAGCCGATTGGTGCAAGGCGCTTGACCTTGCAATCAGTTCATTCGGGAGACTCGATGTTGTTGTCAATAATGCCGGTATTGTGAATAAGGCAATCGTACGTATCTCTCCGCCTCAGAAGTGGAAAGTTGCATGCTGACTCCACAACTGTCGTCTCTCGAACTCTCAGAAGAAGAGTTTGACCGAATATTCCGTGTGAATATCAAGGGTCTCTACCAGAGTGCCAGGGTCATTAGCCCCTTTTTGCAGAAGCAAGGCCAGGGCGGTGTTTTTGTTAATATATCGAGTATAAGCGCTCTGCGACCTCGTCCAAATCTCGTCTGGTATGCTGCCAGCAAAGGCGCAGCAAGTGCAGTATGTCTTCCCGTGCCATTTCTAGCCGCTCATTATCAAATGGGTACTGATACTGTGGTTACAGGCTACCAAAGGGCTAGCAGCAGAATTGGCAAAGGATAATATCCGCTGCAATGCTATCTGTCCAGTTGCGGGAGAGACAGCCATGTACGTCTTAGTGCTTCATTGAGCCCTTTTCCCCTCCTGTTCTCCGTTCTTGTTGCAGCTATATTCGTAACTAACACACTGGTGCTAGGGTTCCCCTCTTCCTTGGAAAGCCTGATACCCCAGAAAATCGAAAGCAGATATTATCAGGAATTCCGCTTGGCAGGTTCGCAACCCCAGCAGACATCGCAAATGCCGCAGCCTTTCTCGCGAGTGACGAGGCAGCTTTCATCACAGGAATCGAGTTGCCAGTCGATGGAGGCCGATCGTTAAATTAGGTATTTTATATAACTATTATGGAAATGAAATATATTTATCCGTCTGTGACAAGGAAGTAATTGCTTGGTTGCCGTAACCAACTAACAGGACAGAACAGAACAGAACAGAACAGGGAGTTTTTATACACTCCGACCCCAAGCAAGGTGCGAAATCATCTGTTGACATTGTTCCATCAACTTCAGCATCCCCATCCAACCCATCCATCTTCCCCGCCTCCTCAAATCCTCCATCCCCCCTATCCTTCCCCTCCTTCAACCATCACCAACAATCACCAACGCATATAAAATTCCCCATCCCATCCACTATTACCAAAACAACGCATCCGAACTATTTAAATTCAATCTAGGTGGAACGCCTGGTCCACGTGTAACTCCTGCGCCTCACACACCCAACCCAACTCGTTACGACACGCTCTCCACTCAGAGCTAGCATGTGTGAAGACACCAAGCCGAGAGATGACAGCGAGATCGGGCGGTGGCGGCATTAGGTGGTGACAACAAGAAGCAGCTCAGCTGGACTCAGCAGCGACATCAAGGGCAGTGATGACAACATCATGTTCAAGGGGGGTTTAACAAACTCCAGTGAGTTATCCAGCCAGTAGGTTCGAGGATGTAAAGTACAGGAAAGCCCACAACCACTTGACTTGGGTTTATTATAGTCATCAGGATGGAGTTCGAATGAAAGGTTTACTGAAGATTATGCGATCGGATTTTAACAGTAGTTGCTTAGGATCGCGGGGGGCGCGGTCTTACTAGATGGGTGTGTGAGAAGTGTTGGGGGCGTGGGAATGCGTATTAGCTTTTGCGTTCCTGAGACGAATGATATGAACAGAACAGGAGACTTTAATACGAAGCAGGCTTCAGAAAAACCTTGTAATCACCGCCCTGTAAACTTCGGCATTCCCATGCACCCCATTATTACCAACTTCTCCACAACTCCTCCTCGACTTCTCCCCAACTTCTCCCCAACTTCTCTCCAGCCTCTCCCTCCCCAACACCCCACCGCTTCCCCCTTTTTCCACGACATTCAGGACACTATAAGAGTGCACAAATAATGAAATGAGGCCCTTCAACCTTCAGCGGACAAAATGGCAGCTTTCCACGACTGGCCTACTCCGAGGGAACCACGAGAGTGCAAATGAAGCGCACAGATTCATCGGCGGGGAGGTGGAAGCTTGGCCCTTGCCTTGAGGTTTGATGTTAGGGTGGCGGTGGGGGAAGTGGTGGTGGGAGGATGGAGCGACAGGGGGGGTTGGTGGTGACAGCAAAGCACTGACAGCAGATATCACGGGGACAACAGTATCATATTCGAACGAGGGGATTAACGGACCTCAGTGATAAAACCAGCCTCACAACAGTGTGTCAGCCTTCCCGGCTGGAACGACCATACAGTCGAGTTCTACCATGGTTCAATTTGGATGTGAAGGAAAGCATGGCCCTGCTGTGGAGGAAAGATTTATATACATTATTACAGCGGGGAGGCATGAGAAATGTTAGGGAGGTTAGGGGATGGACTTATCATTTGCAGAGGGGGTTGAGGTGGTTGTGTTGTTCTCATGGTACGGGGGAGGAATATCTTATAATCGTCATTAAATTTAAACAGAAAACAGAAAACAGAAAACAAACAACTTCATTCTCTTCCTCTTCCGCCCACCCCTCATCTCCTCATTCCTCATCCCTCATCCCTTATCCCCATCTTCCCACCTCCTTCCGCACATCCGCAAAAAACCCACGTCGGCAAAAACCTACATAAAGACCATAAACCCACCTCCTCCCTTCTACTCCATAGCCCACAGATTGGAAATGACAAGGTACACGGTGTTACGCTCTTGGCCCTTTGCTTTCTCCGATCACGAAGCTGCAGCGTATAATTCCACCATTCCCTTCCATGCGTGTGCCGTGCTCTTGCGCGTATTGTGTTTATGGAGAGGCCACAGTAAGATGTGACGGTAGGGTATCAGCGGTGACAGTGAGAACAAAGCCGTGACAACAGCGTATCGACAACAGCATTACCTTTCAGCAAAGAATCAACAACTCTCACACATCAGTGCACAGCACGCCAGCCCACCAGCAACTTGTCATCCCAGCAACCGCCACGCCTGTTCCACCAAGCCTCGATTTGGATGAAAGTTGGAGAGGCATTTTCTGAGCGTGCTTGGAGGGAGTTTTATACACGATCAAGGTAGGAAAGGACATCGCAAAGAAAGGATGAGAAGTGATAAGGAAGCTGAGCGGTGTTCACTTGCCTTTGTGAGGGGTGAAGAGAAATGTATTATAATAGTAATTATAGTAAAAATATAAAATATAACAACCTCCCCTCCTCGCCCCCAAGAAATTGACACAGCAACAAAAAAAACCAACATAAAATCCCCCAAACCCCCCTCCTTCCAAAACGAGCTACAACACAGACCTCACTAAACAACTTCATACAAATAGTAGAGAAGGAGACGTTACGTATACAGACAGCATCCTTTTAAACAGGCTGTTGTAAAATACTCAAAGAACGGTGCTAGGAAGGTAGATATTCGCCTGGCGTCCCTGTCTCCCGCCTACTGTGCCAATCCATAAACGCTTCGCTGTGTTTGTTGGGTTTACTTAGCTGACGACAAGAGATGGGTGACGGTGGGCTGTCAGCGGTGACAGGAATCTGGGTGCGATGGCAGACGCTGTACTTGGGGGAGGGGAAGGGGGGGTCATTTGGATATTGGGTGAATGAAAGGTTGCGGATCTCCACTCAATCTGCTTGGTAGTTATCGTTTCTGTCACTTTCCTGGGGAACAGGCAATTACTTGGAGGGTCATCTTTATTCATTTTCTTGTAGGTTCTTGTTGGTGTTAGAGGGGCGTGTTTGTGGACGCAGATATGGTGTGAAGCCTTTTTGGGGGAACGTGATATTTAATAATCACCATTATAATCGATATAAAAAGATAAAATAAAACAACCCTATTCCCATCCCCATCCCCATCCGCCCTTCCGCTTCCCCCCATAATCTCCTATCATCCCTCACCCCTCCTTCCCTTCGTCCAAAAACCATAGCCGCAAAACACATATAATAGCACCCCAAACCCACGAACCACAGACAGAATATAAAAATCGAAGCACTAGGCATGAATATGACCACGGGGGAGATGAGGAAATATTTAAACACTTAACCCCTCTAACATCCCATATCATTTCCGCCCGTCTGCACATCTGCCGCTCGCTGAGGTGAGAAGCGGCCCGACGACGGTATGAGAGGGCAACGGTGAGAGGAAAGCGATGACAGCAGCGAATCGACGACAAGACACCGCATCTACATGAAGAATTAACACCAATCATCTCACACCATCACCAACTCACCAGCCACATATTCACTAACATCCACGGCGCCTTCAACTCATCTGTGGAAGATTCGTAATTGTTGGAGAAGTCTCTTCTAAGCGTGTGTAGAGGGGGTTTATATATGCGGCGGTCGGAGGGGTAAGAGGGGTTATTTATTGTAGGAGGGAGGGTGGTAGGGGGGGGGGGAAGAAGTAGAGGGGACGTGGGAGGTGGGATGATGGTATTACTTACCCTTTTGCGGGAGAACGGGGGTGAGGGGGTTATATTATAATAAAATATAAAGATGCGAGATGTCAATATATCATCCCCTCATCCCCAGTCCATCAGGAATCCACGGCCATAGAACTTTTAACAAAACCGAACTTATATACCAAGGCCTTCAATAACCTACAAACCATGATTCAATCCCGTTCTTCGAATCAATGAGAACCATACTCGAGAACAACTCGAGGATCCATCTCTAAGATCGGAACACCTACCTCCTCCATCCAAAACGTGGTGTATTCAATCCAGGCGCGAGAAGGGTAATGACAGCAGTAGAGGATGGCGACGGCGACAGCAAAACGGTAACGGCAAAACAGTGACAGCAAAACCGGTGACAGCACCACCATCCTACCAACAACATCACATCCACCCCTTCCCCCATCCCTCATACATCCATCCCCCCCCCTTTTCTCCCCTAGAACCCAGCCCACCCCACAGAACCAACCACATAAGAACCCTAGCAAACCAGTTACGATGTTTCGATGATGGAAGAAAGCGTCCCCTCAGCGTGCGTGGAGGGGGTTTATATACACAATCCCACTGGCCATTAAAGGGAGGTGATAAGGGGATAGATGGGAGGGGATGGCAGATTTAGATAGGAGGAGCACGTGTGCGTGCCAGATCTAGGAAGGTAGGCTCTTGCACTCGAGCAGGTATGCCTGGCCTCTTCTATCCCCTCCGGTCCCCGGTCCCCCATCCCCCATCCCCCATGTTTCCATCCCCCATCACCCTCCAAATTCCCATACCTGATACCTGTTCTCACTACACCCCCGTAATCACTCACGTGCACACATCCCGTCCCTCATCGTCATAGCTCACTCACTCAGCCTCCCACGCGGCGCGCGCGCGCGCAAAAATCCTGCTCAGCAGCGGGCGGCGCTCGTTTATTTCCCTATCTCTTGGTCCGTGTTCGCGACTCATTCTCCCGAGCCGCGTCCGTTTTAGCGGTAGGGAAAAGCAAGTACGTAGGCTGGAAGGCAGGTAGGTAGGTAGACAGGTAGAGAGGAAGGCAGGTAGACAGGTAGGAAGGCAAGCAGGCACTTGGACTCGTGTTTCTTTTTTGGAATTTCAATTCGTATCCCCCACGTAGACAGTAATCGTGATTATCATTCATCATCACCCCCGAAATCCCGGAGTAATGTACGGAGAAACAAACCCTACCTCCACCCCGTACTTATCCAAATTACCCTCTCGTCACGCATCCCTCATCACCCCCATCAACTATCCCACAACTCAATCTCGCATCTCCGATTTCTCCAGTATTTCCAATTCCCGTCTGACGAAAGTCTTACATGCACGCCCAGGGACAGGCAGTCAGTCGTGCAGGGATCATCACCCAGCGATAAGACTAACCCCCTCTTGGCGCGCCACCTTGTTTTAGCACCACCCGTCTATACTGGATTGGGGATAACGGGACCAGGGGGGAAGGGTTCTTATCTGTGGTGACAGCATTGAGTTACGGAGGCGACAGGGGGGGAGATAGAGGGTCGGGAGGGGTCGGGTTGTTGTGTTTGGTGTGTTGGTGGCGAAAGAAGGGACGGGGAGGATCGGGAGGGATGTTTGGGTGCTGTGGTTTGCTTGCTTTGGTTGTGGGAAGGGGAAAGAATCGGAGAAGATCAGGATTGTGGTAGGGTAGATGGTACGTTCTTCTGCGATGGTGATGCAGGCGATGGGGGAGTAGACAGTACAGTTCTCTGCATAGTCGTCTGTAATCAACAGCCAAGTCTACAGGTCAGACATGTGATTCCATCCCCTTCATACATACAGCCCAAACATGTGACTCCATCCCCCCTCAAGCAAGCTTTTCCTTCCCATCCACCCGCAAATTGGCAAAAGAAGGAGAAGATTGATTCTTCACTGCCTTACAGACCCTCTACAGTGCCCAACAGCCCCCCCTTCACAGAAATCACAAGTACACTCTACCTCTCCCACCTCTCCCACCCACCCAAAACCACCCTCAACAAGGCTAACTTACACCCACACCCACAAGTACACACAACATCCCATTCTAGAAGCGACGCGGGCATCGATGGCGCCGGGTGCGAGAAATGCTTATTTTGTGCGTGGGTTGGTGGAGCAGACAGCGAATGAGAGACAAGGTGGATTTATTGGAGAGAGATAAGCTTCCTCTCTCCTCGTCGCCCCCCCTGTCCTTTTTCGTTACTCCACCCCTCGCACACAGCCGCATCTACGTTTTCCTAGTTTCTGCATGCGAAGTGTACGGGGCTAGTGAGAAGATACTTTGTTGGATGGTATATTTTATATGAAAAAATAAAGTACTGTTTCTCTACTACTACCACTTTTACTACTTTACCCTCAGCTTACACTAATGCTAATCTCTCGATACTCCTAACTCATCGTGTCGTAGCGTTATCAGTTCCTCCCTCCGCCCACCACTGTACTTATCCTCGTCTCTAATCAGCCGCTACTCCTCCCCCCATTGGCTGCGATTGACCCTTCCTTCGGTTTGTAAATCTCATTAGAACGCGAGAGTGGACTGCCATCCGTCGATAGTACATCTTCCTCCCGCTATTTCTATACCACCATCAAAGTACCCGTCTCTTCATTACACTCCATTACAATGTCTCTCCCTAACCCAAGAACCAGGGATCGCCCACGGTGGCGGATCTCCCACGCTCCCATCTTGCAGTGGTTCACACTTTCTTTACCCTACTCTACTATACTGGCACGCACTCGGGTAGACTACCATCTTAGCACATCTCCATACTAACCGCCCCCCATCCCTCTATCTCTCACACCCAAACTCCCCTTCCTCCGTCTGTCTAACTGGCTCCTTCCATCTCTATCTCTGTCCTCTCCTAGCACTCTCCCATGCCCTCCTAGTCTTCCTAGTCTTCCCTCTCCCTCCCAATCCCCATCCCCACCCACAAACCCCCCATCTAGTCCACCACCCACCCAAACCCCCATCCATCCCGTCGACTACCGATACCGGGGACACCGGGACATGGAACGAAAGGAAGGAAAGGCAAAAAAAAAGGAAACCCACTCCATCATTATGCGCTCCGGAAAACCCCACAGATGCTAGGGAGAGAGTAGGGAACCTAGACCTGGCCCCCTAGCCCCCCAATGTTCTATTCGCGGCCTGGAGTTGGGTAGCAGGGGGGGTGGGCTAAATACCTTCCTCCTCCCCCTCCCACACACTGTTGTATTTCCATATTCTCGCGTGCACATATTGAAACTTGTCTTTGCTGCTTGGAAACTACTCTTAGACCTTGTCTCTCTCCAATTCTCGATTCTCGATCCTCTCTACAAAGCAAGCAAGCTCAATTATAGACGACGACGAAAATTTATTGTTATCACATTATTTATCCTTCGCCACATACATAGACACCACACGATCTCTTCTCTGTGAGAAGAAGGAAGAAGGAAAATATCCCGACGACTATAACTTCCTGTCACGTAGGACAACAGCACACGACATACATATATATCCCCCCCAATTCTCACCACACCTCGACCCAACAGCCGCCACTTGATCCTCATCTCTCTCACCACGTCGAATCCTCTCGTCTCGTCTCTTCAATCTTGGTAGCAAAAGCCTGCCAGCACCGCCACCTCGAACACTTCACACCCCACGCGCCCGTCCTCTCGGAGGGCTTCGCGTGCAGACATGTCGTACACCGGCATTGGACCCCCCGTGCCCTTCAACGGGACTGAAGGCGATGGAGGAGATAGCAGTACGCCCTCCCATCCCATTATCCTCAACCACCCTCCCAAATCCGCACAGAAACCCCAAACTAACACCCCCCAGCAACGACAAACCTAAACCAATGGTACCAATCCGGCGACCAAGCCTTCATCCTCGTCGCCTGCTGCATGGTCCTGCTCATGATCCCCGGGCTCGGCTTCCTCTACTCCGGGCTCGCGCGTCGCAAGTCCGCGTTGTCCATGATCTGGGCCTGTATGGGCAGTTTCTCGGTGATTGTGTTTCAGTGGTATTTCTGGGGATACTCGCTTGCGTTCAGTCAGTCGGCGACGAATGGGTTTATTGGTGATCTGAGGCATTTTGGGTTGATGAAGACGCTGGGGGCGCCGTCGCCAGGGAGTCCGTTGATTCCGGAGTTGTTGTTTTCTTTCTACCAAGTACGCCCTTCTCCCCCTCTTTTACACCTCCACGATAGGGACAGCGTACTGACAAACACCAGATGATGTTCTGCGCCGTCACCGCCGCTATCGTCATGGGCGCCGTCGCCGAACGCGGCCGCCTCATCCCCGCCATGGTCTTCACCTTCTGGTGGGCCACCCTCGTCTACTGCCCCATAACCTGCTGGATCTGGAACTCCAACGGCTGGGCCTTCAAATACGGCGTCCTCGACTACGCCGGCGGCGGTCCCGTCGAGATCGCCTCCGGTTGCTCGGCTCTGGCTTACAGTATGGTCCTCGGAAAGCGTCAGGAGAAGATGATGCTTAACTTTCGCCCGCATAATGTGAGCTTGATTACCCTGGGCACGGTGTTGCTGTGGTTTGGATGGTTGGGGTTTAATGGCGGGAGCGCGTTTGGTGCGAATTTGAGGGCCGTGATGGCGTGTTGGAACTCGTGTTTGACAGCTATGGTGGCGGCTGCTACGTGGTGTCTGCTTGATTTCCGCCTCGCGAGGAAGTGGTCGATGGTTGGGTGGTGTTCGGGATGCATTTCTGGACTTGTCGCTGCTACGCCTGCTTCGGGATTTATTCCCCTCTGGGCTTCTGTTCTTCTCGGCGTTGTGACGGGCGTGGTTGCTAACTTTGCTACGAAGAGTACGTCCCCCTTCCTCTCTCACCTTTCTTTCTTTCTTTCTCTTTCTTGGAGAGCACAGGCTAACGGAGACGCACAGTCAAATTCTGGATCCAAATAGACGACTCCATGGACGTCTTCGCCGAGCACGGCATCGCCGGCGTCGTCGGCCTCCTCTTCAACGCCCTCTTCGCAACACCCACCATCATCGGCCTCGACGGCGTCAACACCGGCGTCCTCACCGGCGGCTGGCTGGTCCACAACTACCGCCAACTCTACATCCAAGTCGCATACATCCTTGCTTGCGGCACCTACGCTTTCCTCATGTCCGCCATCCTCGCTTACACCATCAACTTCGTCCCGGGATTGAAATTGCGCGCCGATGAAGCAGCGGAGTTGCTTGGCATGGACGACGATCAGTTGGGTGAATTCGCATACGATTACGTCGAAGTCCGCCGTGATTACCTGGCCTGGACACCCGCCAAAGAGGGAATGAGCCAGGTGGAAGAACGTATCGAACCTTCCGACCTCCATGGGATCCGCGAGCATGGCGAGATGGCGAGTTTGTCGGGGATGGGTATGGATGGCTCTAGTCGACGGGGGAGTGAGGGTGGTGGTGTGGGGGGGATGACGAGGGGGAGCGCGAGTTCGGGGGTTGGGACGCAGGGGACGCTTGTGGGGGGACGGCTGGGGGGGGTGGAGGAGGGTGTTGCGGTGGGGGCGGGGGGGGAGATGAGTGAGAAGGTTGATCTTGGGAATGGGACGGAGAGTGAGAGGAGTGGAAGCAGAGAAGGGGAGGTTGAGGGGAGGAGGAGTGGGTAGATGACTCGATCTGCCGCCGAGGAGGGGTTGTACATTTTTCTGTGCGAGTACGGACGGGCGTCTTCGATCTTTTTTTCAGCGGGTGTTCTTTCTATCATCGCCATCATCATCATCATCATCATCATCATCGTCCGCCATCTACGCAAAACATTTCCTGGCATTTTTTATCATTTTCATCGGACCGGTTGGGGAGCATGTTTGGGGGATTGGTTGCACATATATATCCTGGGTTTTTTGGGGAGGAGGAGAAGGGGGGAGGAAGGGAAAGAGGGGGAAGGGGAGATGGGAGTTCTGTTCTGTTTTTTGTTCAAGATACCAAAAGCACAGTTTGTCTGTTCAGTCGCTCGAGAGTGGGCGTGGGAGCGAGATGAAGGCGGAGGTGGAGAAGAGGGAAAGTAGGAGAGGGGGAGGTTAGAAACTATAAATATAAATCAAATCAAAATAATATCAAAAATCACATCATCCCCCCTAACCAGTGCCTTAAAACCCTTCATCCCCCACCACCTAGATCGGGTTGGCTCTAGCTCTGTATAAATACGGTGCCGGCATCACTCGAGGTAGGCAGGTCGAACTTACTTACACCTAGACAACGAGATGATGTATGGATCTATGTGGACCACTACCTACCCATCTTTATTCTTCTATCAACAGTATACTTCCCTATGCTTTATACGCTAATGCTCCCCTATTAGTATCTCTCGGATGAACAATCCCGTCGTCTATGGCTTTTGACAAAGGGTACATTGCGGGCTTAGCACCTGGCACTGCTGTGGAGAGGAGAGGGATGAGAATCTACTAGCGGGATGGAGGGGAAATGCGACTGTCTGAGATATGGGCGGTGGGAGGTTCTGTCGTTGTTGGGGGTTTGTTGTCACCGCTTCCTCTCTCTTGTTAGAACGCTTCTCCTTACTATCACCCACACGCCCCCTGTCACTACTGCTACACCCTCACTCACTCACTCACTCCCACAACCTTTCACTCACTGACTCACCCACTCCCGGAAGAACAGGACAGACATACACTCCTTTCGACACCCTCCCTTTTCCGTATCTATCTCAGACGGGGTTTTTCTGAAATCAGCGTACTGGGCAACTCCCCTGGTTAAGGTAAGGAACTCGATATAACAGCAAAAGGCACAGTTGTAATAGACTCAGAGGCGATGGCGGCTCTGATATTGTTGATATATCTGTTTCCGATTTCTCATCTCGTTCACAGAACACCATAACACTTAGACCAAGCACACTACTATATATCCACCAACACTCGAAGAATAGTCACATACGACCATAGACTCAAGAGAATTGGGCATCCCGTCCGCTCTGCCATACACAAGCTTGAGATCGGTGGATTAGTAGTTGGGTGGGTGACCACCAGCGAATACCCACTGTTGTATGTTTTTTTTGGTTGTTTTTTTGTCGCCTACCTACCTAGGGTGGATAAGGAGGGAAGGGGGGAGAAAGGGAAGAAAGCGTACTGGATTGCGCTTTTGTTTTTTGGTGGATGTTTGGTGGCGGGGAGGGGTGGGGGGGGGGGGTGTTTTTTATACTCGGGGGTTTCGGGGATGAGGTGGGAGGGTGGGAAGGTGGGAAGGGAGGAGGGGTAAGGGGGCGGAAAATGGGGCAGGGTTTTCGTATTATATTATGAGAATGCAAGGAATCATCCAAACCCACCACCATCCCATCCCCTCTCCCCCCTTTCCCCCATTTTTCCCGCCCGCTCCTTCCCTACTAACAACAACAACCGTCCTGGTTTGGGTTGTATAAATACCCCCCCGACCCCGGCATCACTCAGAGCAGACAGCGGGGATCTGTGTGGTTATGGTGGTTGTGGAGATTGTTGAGGTGCTTGTGGAGGTGTGTGAGGGCGCAGTGAGGACGGGGTTGCTGTCACTACGTTCTGTCGTCGGGGCGCTGCTGTCGTTGCGGTTTTGTTGTCATAAATAACCCGCTATCACCACCTACCTACCCCCTTTCACCACCGCAAGCACAACTCCATCCAACCCCCCCCCTTCCCCCCTATCACCGCTACAGGCACAACTACATCTAAGACGTGTGCATTTCTGAACGATGAAGAGGAATCCCCTTTGTGCCATTAACGGGACATCTCTCCCATGGTGGTGGACGTAGATGCGAATTCTCACCTCACCCCACTCTCGCACGACCATATGTATGTTAGTCCTTGATACCCTATTGTCCACAGACTTCCCACATTTATATCCTTTGATAAATGTTCGTATGTGGTGGAATGAGAGGAGTAGGAGGGAGGGGGGTGTTTTTATGGTTGGGGATTTAGGGGGTTGTTGCGATGGGAACGGGGTGGAGGGGGGGGGAAGAGGAGAAGACGGGGGGGTTGGATTTAATATCATCGAGGTATGTAGCCTTACGCAGCGATTATACAAGTCATCCCCACCTCACGTCTCACATCTCACATCTCAAATCCCGGCACTCCCCTATCCCTGCTCCCCTTCCCTAGCCCTACCAACAACCAGCCTGGTTCGGACTCTACAAATACCCCTCCTCCCCTAGCATCACCCTCAGCCTACCACACCATTAATATCAAAGATCTTACCCTTCTCACGAGGGCATTGGGGAATATAGAGTCGGCGGCGGGGAGGGAGGAGGGGGGGTGAAGGGCTGGATGGATGGTGGGGTGTTGTCGTCACTGCGTTTCTGCTGTCGTTGATACAATCCTGTCACCACCGCTTCCCTGTCGTCGCTATCATCACCTCACCCTGTCCTGCCGTCCCGCATGACCCTGCGCTCGCGGAGGATAGGACACAGCCGTGAGTATCTTGCAGGCTTTGTCTTCCTGCCGTCGGCAGGTTGATGTGTTCTGGGATTGCTGTCTTGTTGTATGGTGGAATGGAGGGGTGGGGGTGAGGGGGTGCTTTATAGGGGGAGGGGTTGTGATGTTTTGATTTGGAGGATGGGGAGACGGAGATATATTACGATGAGATATTTCAAATCTTGACGGAGGGGCTGGGGGGCCCGGGCATGGGAATGTTCATCGAAAATTTGAGTCTTGAGTTGCATCACTTCCATTTCCACGACCGAGTCCATCGTTCATCGCTTTCCCCATGCTCACCGCTGAAGTCCTTCAGCAACTCTCCTCCCTGCCGTGATGCACTACATAAATTGCAAATCTGCTGTCCCAATTCTCCATGCACAGCAATAATATCATCCTCGTCCCCATCCCCTTGCAATCATAACACCTGCGGTGCTCGGAAATATGGGCTGGCGCATATATAAGCGGCCAGGATAGAGGAACTGAACTGTATCAGCAAAGAAAACGTCGTGAACCGGACCGTCATCCGGCTCGTCGAATCGAACCGATCCTGAGAACAATGAGCATGAGTTCTTGCGCTGCGCGTGTCCAACGGATGTGAGTGCGGATGTTCGGGTATCTGACGGGAAGGGGAGGGGTGACAGCAGAGTGGATGGTGAGGGGCTGACGACAACAGGGTGTGGTTACAGCAGCAGAGTAAACAACAACAGCAGAGCCGCCGAACGACAGAATACCAGTTCTCCTGAACTACCCACCTCCATAGAGCCGCATCGTCGTGTGGTGGCAATGAGGGTGAGTACAACAGCGTCGCCGGGGTGGATGGGCCTAGGCAGTTGTCTTCGATTTCTTTCTTGTGGGCGCGGTAAAAATGATGGGAGAGGGACGGGGGGTTGCTATTTGTATAGTTCGGAGTTCTACGGAGGTTCATGGGAAGGGGATAAAAGGGGGGGGGAAGAGAGTTTTTTATATACTAAAATAAGATATCTGCTCCTGTCAGAAACCACAGCGAGAACCCCAAAACCAACACACCCATTCTGTCATGCTTTATGATCGTGGTGTGCGCGCGGCTAGGGATATGGGTTGGTGAGTATATGACGGGGTGGAGAGAGAGGAACTGTATTGCACCATTAAACGCCAAAACGATAAAGGGCAACTATCACGGTGGGCTAAGAGTTTATGGCATGGATGTGCAGTGGATGGGGTTCTGGATTCCGAGCGTGTTGATTTAATGTTGGTGGTGGGGCTGTTGGTAAAGCAGACTGTTGACAGTAGGGCTGCTGTCGTCGTTAGCACTTTGCCGTTGTTACGCTTTTGTTGTCGATACCCCTATCCTCACCACTACCCACCCCTCCGTCGCTACCATCGGCGCCAGAAACAACACATTTGCAGAGCCATTCTTCTACCTCTCGATCCCATGAAAGATGCATCGCCTTGCTACTTCTATGGATGGAAATGATGGTGTCTTTCATCTCTTTTTGTGATTCTACAACTGTACGCAGCGAGCGGCGGCTACAAATTTATAGCTGCTCGGCCCATGTATGGTGATGGTGCTTGGAGTTTGGTTTAATGGGATGGGGTGGAGAGCAATCTATGGCTATATGAAACTATCCAGACAAAGACATACCATCGCCACAGCAGCACCATGGATGTCGGCATGCGTAACTTATTTAAATCCCCCTATCCTCCACTACGCAGAAACCAAGGATTTAAAAGCGACTTCCGAAGGCATCAAGGGTTGTCCTGTGTGGGCAAAGGGGTTTGGAATCGCAGCAGTGGAACGTCGGCGTGGGGGCTGGGAAGACGGAGATAATAATGGAGGTTTGCTAGAGCCTCTTGTCGCTGTTGGTCTGTTGCTGCTGCTGTTAGTCTGTTGTCGTCACTTTTTTTGCTGTCGATACCCCTTTACTACCGGCCCCACCTCCTCTGTTCTCGAAGCGCTCGCACAGCTCACCCCCCACCGTAGTCCACCACCAAGGCTCATCGCCCTCGCTGTGCCTTTGCCTCTATACAAGCAATTTGAGGTCGTTAAGATGAAACTTTCCCTTGATCTGCTCGGGATGAAGCTCTTTGAGGAAGGCTGAGTTACCTCCTGGTCACTCACCCTGACACAAGCGTAACTCCTCCTTTCGTCGACCCGTGGAACAGTTTTGATGACATAAGTGAGGCATCGACTCTCATCAAGTGTATCCAATGCCGCGGCGAATTTATAAGCTTCTACACAAGGGTGACAAGAGACTCTATGAAGTATCCTCACAGGGGTCAGTTGCCATTTCGGCGTACGACCCTATCAGTCCTTGCCCATGCCATAAAAGCCTAAGCTGCCAAGGCAATTTGTTTTCCTAATGCCATATCCCCTGTCATTCAATTTTCCGCCTATTGCCGCTAATTTTCAGTGGCTTATTACCATCTAATTCCCCACACTCCATTCTTATGCTACCTTAATATATTACATCGCGGCAGATATATACCGAGCTTCCCTTCTCGATAATCCCTTGGCCAAGACAGGAGAACAGGCAATAATCAAACCCTGACGTTTAGTTAAACTTTGTAAAGTGGGCATCTGAAACAAATAACTCGGTCCACTAATCAGAAAGACTCTCGATCTCCCTCCCCGCATTTTGAATTCCTCTTCGCCTCTTGGCAACGGTTCCATCTTAATGAGGTTTTATCTACAGTGGAACTTAAATCAAAATTATAGATTATCTCCCATGACTGAAGCAGAAAACCTTGAGAAATTCTTCCGTTTCGCAATCCCCTTCCCTAATCTAGAAATTAATGCAACGATGAAATTTATTAAAAGGCATCACATTCCTCCATCCCATTTCTCGACTACTCCCACTACGTGTGCTATTCCTACCAAGTAAATCGATTATGAAATTGACAGCTGTTATACTTGCCGGTCTAACCAACCTTGCCGTTGCCTCAGATCATCGTGATCTTAGCGGCGATGTGTGGGCTTCTTCGTTAACCAAGCGACAGACGTCCTGGGCCAAACGACAGACGACTTGGAATCCCCCTTCGAACCTTGTCAAGCCCCTCCAAGAGGTATGGGATCACGAGTCGTCGACCTACAATAATGGGAATCTCCTAGGATTTAAGAACTATGGCTATGATATCATAAAGGCTTCCGGAGGGTATGTGTCTGCAATAACGCCAGATCAGAATGCTAATATGCTACAGGAAACTCAACTTCTGCGTCCGTTGGGACTCTAGTGCTACAGTGACCGAGGCCCAACGCACAGCCATCGCGAGCTCTCTCCAGAAAAACGTCAAGAAATGGACCGACAATCTCACTGGGTTCATGGGTTGGCCATACGACAATATTCCTGTCAATGTAGTTGGATGGGCTGCTAAAAACACGAACCTCCTTCAAGGTTCTACCTCCGGCATCGACGTCTATACAACGACAGATTCAGAAGGTGTAGCGGAGTGTGATCCCCGCTGTGGTCGTATTTTCCATCAAGATAACAACTATGGCTCCTGTCCGGGAGGAGCTGACCGCCACTATGACGTGTCTCTTTGGCTCACAGCAGGAATGGATGGCGGTGCTGGTGGTGACTGGGGCCAACGTGTTGGGAGCGAGTATTTCTTGTCTGCTCTCGATAATCCGCACATTTGGCTACATGAGTTTGTGAGTTTTTGCCATCTGATTGCTTCTATGAATTCTAACCATTCAGGGTCACACTATGGGGCTCGATGACTTCTACGACTGGACACCTACGGGCCAAACAAACTTCATCATGCTCGCTGGAAGCTCTCAGGTTGTTACAGAGTTCGATATCTGGATGATGAGAGATTTCTGGCGTCACGTCGCAAACCGGTAGAGATTTTTATCAGCAATAGCTATAACTTCTGTAAATATAAGACGTTTGAAAACACTTGACGCGGCTACAGCCTTATGCCTATGAGAGCAAGCCCCCGTCTATTATCCGCGCAAAGGGCCGCTTTTTATTAGTGAAGACTTTTGAGGCTGATTATTTTTAGCTGGAGGAGCTGATTTGATCCTTAATTTGCCTAATTGGTATTAGTTCTTACATGATATATGCAGTAATATATGCAGTGTGATTTGAATATAGCTCAGCTGAAGCGACTTCCCCAGCCATTTATAATAAAAGCCTAGAGTATATGCGTCTTAAATTCAACAACACCCCCAAGCCCATTATTATTTTTCAAAGCTTTTGCATACCTTCTTACGAAGTAATTTGTCTCAAAATGCATCTCTCTAATTTCCCCGTCGCATGTCTGTTAAGTGCAATCGCTCTCGCAGTTCCCACGACTTCACTGTCATCCCCAACCCAAGTTGATTCTGCGCCCAATCCAATCGGTACACTATATCCAACTGATGTCACCGGAACCATAAACGGCACGATCGCCGTGGTTCCAATTCCATATTCGCTCGCACGCGAGCTTATCCCATCCCAATATGGCATTCTGAAGAAGGCGTATAAATCTGCGTTGCCTGGATTCCCTCATGATATGTATCCCGTAAGCAAGAGTGGCACAGTGTGTATTGAAAGTAGAGTAACTGACAGCCCTTGTCCCAGCTTATCGTCCGGTCAATCCTTGATCACGATGTTGGTCTGAACGGAACTCAGCTTATACCGGATTTCCAAGTGGGTTTACCTCTTCACACTCTTACCAAACCTCTCCTAACTAATCGACTGAAGTCCGTTCACATATTCTACCCATTTGTAGACTTGCTCGGAGACGGCTACTCAAGCTTCGCCTATGGCAAATATCTCATTCTCACGGGGACGAATACTGTTGCAATCGGAGGTTCTGAAGCATATGGCCAAATTGCCATCCCGGCAACTTTCAAACCAGAAAATAATTCCTACGCCTTCTCTCATCCCTCGAGGGGGGGTCAGGAGATCTACTTAAACGCATACACGAATGAGAGCGACAGTGCGGTAGTCACTACTAAATTCAAGCCTCTTCCATCGGTAGGCCCGTGGCCACTTGAATTGTACGTATGTCCATACCTGTTTCCAGAGTTATGCTAAACTCCATTCAAGCTATGTCAATGTAACAAACCAGCCCATCTTTGCCGACGGCGTAAAGTGTGATCAGCAGATCACCTTCTTCAACACCACGCTTTCTACAGGCGTGAATGAACCAGTTGGTATAATAGGCGACATCTCGATTTCTGCGCCTTACTTGCCATCAGACAGTACTTTCAGGAATGTCTTTGGCTTGAAGTTGGACGTTGCTTTCCTCGAGAACAATCTCCTCGAGTGTCCGTCGCTGAAGGGTTTATAGTCATGTTTGTATCCATGGCGCTATATCTGGGTTGAGAGCTCATAGTATTAGCCATACCAGATGAGAGTTGGGGGGCTATATAACTTCCTGCTGTGCTCTGGTGTGATCCAGTGCGAAGATGGTGGATCGGCGGGGGTCATTTGGAGAAGGAAAACCCATACTTCACATGCAAAGATGTGTCAAGCATCTCTGTAGACAAAGCAGAGCCGTGACTGCACTTTCATGATTTCAATCCCTCCTTTTGCTAGCAAACCAACGGGTAATCGTGTAATCCTCCCCTTCCTCAGCCTCTCCCTTCCCTAGGCCACACACCCACCAAGCAAGCGAAACGCCCACCCCCTTTCCTAAGCCAAACACCCAACCTCCATCCTCAGGCCCCCAACCCAGCAAGCGAACCACCCACCCCCTTATAAACAAACATAACCCCCCTCCTCCCAGCGGCACAGTGGCGCAGTGGTAGTACCACTGTCTGGACAATCTGGCCAGCGGAGGATAAAGGGGTTATGGGTTCGACACCCGGTGATGAAGAAAAAAATGGGAATAAAGAAAGAGACTGGAAACGAGCGATCGACACGACAATAACAAACGACAAAAAGTAAAATCATAAAGATGATTTTCTCCCTCATCAGATATTAAAAGATATCTGATGAGTCTTTTGCTTTTTTGACTTTTTAAGTTATGGTTTCCAAGCGGTGCAAACGAACATCCTGCGCATTGTTTGGATTATATAGCATTATACATATCACCCCTATCCCCCATTTCCTTCGATCCCAACCCAAAACTCGCGCCAAAACTCCACCCCCTACCAACCCCCTCATAAGTCCTCCGCCCCCAACGCCCGCTCATCACTAATCACATAACTCAGCACGCTTAAATCCCAATACTGCATCATAACCCGCCACCTCTTCACGCCCCTCCTCCTCCGCGCTGACCCCCCATTTCCTCTTCCAATAGGTGAGCCCTCCATCCCAGGTAACCACTCCGGCATCGGCGAGACGGCCACGCCGTGGAGGCCTGTGGCGGGACGCTCGCGGTTACGGCCTTCTTGGGTAGCGAGGGGGAGGATGGTTTCGATACGCATTGTTGTTGCGGGTATAGATTCTCCATTTTCGCCCTTCTTTCCTCCCTTCCCTTTCTTTCCCCCCTTCTCGCTATTTCCTCCATTCCCGTTCTTATCTCCATTTCCTTCCCTAACCCCCCGGTCCTCCCTCACGCCCCCCTTCATAATCCTCATAATAGCTACCCTACCCACCTGCGACCCTATAACTACGCAACTAATACCGGGTACTGGCACAGCCATGTTCAGGCGATTGTAGAACTCCATAGGGTGCGCGAATTGCGCTGGTGCATGAGAAACATCCTGGCGCAGTAGAGGGGAACAGAATGTGGCTCTGCCGGTTGGCGGGTACAGTGTTAATGCGTGTCTGTTGAGATGGAGGATGAGATGATGCGGTGGGACGGGAACTGGAAGATGCGCGGCGGGTGAGTTGGTTGCGGAATCGTCGCTTTCTTCCTCATCATCATCATCATCGTCACCACCATCAAGGTCGTCACCCATATCCTCATCCCCATCAAACTCTTCATCGTCCATATTATCCACATCCAACAAATCCCCCCAATAAAGCCCCAAATCTATCCCCTCCACATCCGCCACATCCAACCCCCCTCCGGCCCCATACCCCCACGCAAAAAACCCCCCCGGATACTCTCCTGGAGTCTCCCTCGCCCCAACTCTCGTCCCCCGAATCTCGGCGATCGAGCGGCTGATATCCCATTCCCCCTCCCTGTCCCCAGGTGTACATCCAAACGCCTCTTCCACCTCCTTCGCACCGCGCCCAAACTTGTCGTCCAGCACAAGCACACCCCACCCCTGAGGTTCGCGCCGCCAATTCACGCCCCCCGGTGATGTAGGGATCCTCGTCTGCACTCCCCAATCCCAAAGCGAGAGGAACCACAGCGCCCCTCTAATATCCGATGCGACGATACTATCCGCGTCCCCTTGGGGCGTCGACGTGAACGCGATGGACGGAATATTATCACCCCGCGTCCCCAACCGTAAGCACAGTCGGAAATTGTCGCAGCGAGATGGCGGGGAGGGTGGAAGGGGAGAGATCAGTGGGAAGTTGGATAGAGGGCGGCAGAGGGATGGCGAAGGAGGGCGCGAAGGGGAGGGAGGGGCGGAGGAGAGCGCGAAGGCGAAGACTTGGACCTCATGCTTGTTGGAGCTTACTGCCACAAGGCGCGATTGGGAGTGGATTGCGAGGCCCCAGGCGCTAATGCTGACGTTTTCGTGGAAGAAGGGGGTTGGTTGTGGCGGTGCGAGAGGAGGGGTGGTGGAGGGTGGAGTGGACGGAGGTGTGGAGGGACGGGTGAGCGTGACTCGGTGAACGGGCGTGGTGTAGTATGCGAGGACGTCGCCGTCGGCGCAGGCGCAGAGGATGATCTCGCGGGTGCCGAGGTTGCCGACTATGAGATGGTTGATGCTGTGCGTGCTGTAGGCGTCTTTGTCGCGGAGGGCGTCGGCTTCGGGGGTGGAGGGTAGGTCGAGGATGAGGAGGGGTTCGGTGGTGAGGAGTTGTTGGGGGCCGGTGGGTTTGTAGATGTGGATTTGGGGGCCATAGGCAACGATGTACATCTGTGGATGTTCGTTAGTGGGAGTGGTCGTAGGTGGGAGATATGTTAACGGCCTCAGGGCAAGACTGGATCCGAAGATGAGGGGCTCCAACACAGTCTTGACCTGCAGTTCGACAGAGACTTGCTCACATTATATACCTGCGAAAGCGCAGTAAGATTCATACCCCACGCCGCACATCGTGGGATCTCTATATCATTATCCTCCACATACTTCCTCGGGTACTATCACAACTCATCAGCTCAGCTCGGCGTCGTCCCATGCATCGCACCTCCAAGGTTACATGAAGATATTATGAGGGGTAACTTACACGATCGCGTCCGCTCTGGTGGCCCAGAGGTTTCACGGTGATTTCTTCGAAACCGCTACGCGGACCCATAGCGAGCTAGATGCATGCTTTGATGAGAAGCTGTCGGTAGAAAGTTTATCTGGGGTCCGTAGAGCGAATCGTCCGTTTGGTTTCCACGTTTGTGATGCTAGGGCGAGGCTGGCTACGAGGCTGATTGACGTCAGATCCTTGTGGGACATATTGGTTTGATATTGCAGTAAATCCTTGATATAAAGATAATTTACGGACTAACATATATATCCTTCTGTCCTGGAGACTATGTGTGAGGCTGCTGTGCTTATAAGATTTAAGTAGACAGGGCTGGGATTTTTATTCTTATATGTCGGTCATATTTATTTTAAGATTATTATCTCAAGCTTCACTTCAGATATTTCCAACTAAAAACCCTACAGATTAAGGAGGTATATTTTTATCTAACCATGATCTAAGTTAACCTCTGTTACAATTTGTTTTCCATAAGCGCCTTAAATCACAGAGAAGTGCATATCCTTCTCCCCACTAGCCAGCATAAATCGTACGGTCATCCGGTGGTACAAAATGTGATCCTTCCACGCCTTAGAACGGCAACTCCTTCAGCTCTCACATTTTCTTATGCTTTTTCTCCATCAGCTCCAGCATATCTTTCATCCTGTAGTCCAACACCGGCGTCTCCCAATCATCCTCCACCAACGAATACGTCTCCTCATCGTCATCTCTTGGTTTCCTGGGATTAATAGCCCAATACGCAAAATCCGCATCAATCTTCTTCAAATACCTCATCAAGTGGCCCCAGTATCTCGCATCTCCCTCCCCCGGCTTAGCTGGTGCCCCAAACTCCCCAACCCACACAGGCGCAATGTTCCCCTCAACCAGATACCCCCAATTCTCCCTCATCGACTTGACAAACGACGCATACGGCCTCTTCGCATACCGCCCATCCCGACTCCCCCACCCCGACCAACTATACACATGCGACGAATACACCACCCTCCCCGGCACCACCAGCTTAACCGGCCTGTCTCTCACCTCATTCAGAAAATTTTGCGAGCCCAACCCCCCCACCACAATCAACCAATCGCTCCTCATGCCCAACAACCTATTCCCCGCCCTCTCCGCCGCCCTCGCCCACCTCTCCCAACTCATCGTCCCCCAAAGCGCTCTAACCTCATTCCTCAAATCCGCAGCGATGACCAAGGGGTTGTCAACATGCGGTCCCATAACCGTGACCCAGTTGTCCACCCACCCCGACTCGGACTGGTGGATCCGACATGCGGATGCCGGCAGGTGCGTGTTGTACCACAGCCCATCGCACGGATTGGCGCCGCAGCACCACGTCGCATGCGTGATATGGTTATTCACCACCACCGCTAGCCCCTCTTCCGTGAGGGCGTTGATCACAGCTTCGAAGACGTCCAAAGCGCGAAGGTTGACTAGGTCGGGGTTCGCGGCCAGCAATCCCGGGGGTATGCGAGGATTGGTAACAACCATTTCGTCTGAATAAGGCAGGCGCACACTATTAAACCCCAACTTCCTGATCGTCCTCGCAATAGCAGAGCGGTGCTGGATATCCAGCCCCGAGGGCACGAAGAGCTCATCGCTGCCACCGTACCAATTCACCGACGCGAGCTTGATGGGTTTATCATCCGCATCGAGGATGTGCCGGCCGCTTGTACGCAGCGGCGTCGCGGTAATTAGCGCGCTTGCGTACGATGCAAGTTCGGAATCATTGCCCTTGATGCGTTGCACGAAGAGGTCGATCTCGGGCGGCGGGACCCAGGGGTTGGAGAGCGCCGACTCGGCGCTGTGCCAGGTGAACATCATGTAGAGACTGGCTACCAGGAGGCAGCTCAGGAGGATGGGACTGAGCATTGGCATGGTGGGGGTTGCAGTGAGAGTGTTTGGAGGGGTCGGGGGGCTATATCGTGAGGCCATCACGGTGGAGTGGAAATGTGATACAGTAGGTGAATACTCGCTCGGAATCCTCGGATGGCCTGACAGCTGTTTGACCTTTCTGAGCCAATCCAGGGCCGGATACAGGTAGACTAGGCACCGGTCAGACGAGAGAACAGTTGTTCTTACTCGTGGTATGAAGCTAAAATAATAGGCTGACGTTTAGCTTTCTTCATCTTTCATAATCGATGACGACAATTATCTCGAATGATGTCGCCGGACTAAGATAGGCCCTTGTCAACAATAGCCGCCTATTTCCCCACGACCCAAACTTTGACATGCACGTGACCACATAGTTTAAGCGCCGCGAAACGAAGCTAGAAAGTGATAGAGTAATGATACGCGCCCACCGAAGATACGCGCCAGCGATAAGATTGTCAGCGGCAAAACGAAACCTCCATCTTTATTTAGATCAGCGGGATGGAGTCGAGAAGGATGGGCGGCTGCGATGGGGGCTGATTCCTGAGGGAGCGGAAGGATCAATTGAGTAGGTGCGTTCACAAGCTGTGCATGATGAGGTGGCCGCACGTCGTGGCCGATAGGTAGCGGGTCACTGGATGCAGGTATAGTATAGGCAGTCCCCAATACCCGAGAGTATGTTAGCATGTCTGATCTGTTGGTGATGAGAATAGGTGCTCGCTCCACTTCACTCTACACGACACTCAGAGTTTGTTGGACTTCGTCATGCTTTATGCCTTCGTTGGACGTCGTCACCATAACGCGGCGCAACAAGGTCGTGAGATCCCTTACTCTATCTCCTCCCGCCCTCAAACTATCCGAGGTAGATGTGGCTGAGCGAGAATGCTGTGAGGGGCAAGAGACAAGAGACAGCTCAAATACTACCATATGCACAGTCGTGCAGCAGGTGTAACCCAAGCAGCACGTACAGCACAGCACCGGCTGGTCAGCAAACAGTACATTGCCGGGACTCGACTCCTCGCTCGGTCGCGCGTCTTCTGTCCCCTCACTCAGCCCCTCTATCACCCATTATGGCCAATGACACAGTGATAAGGGCGACCAGAGAAGGTCCGCGCCAAAGACACAACGAATGGGAGCGCAAGGGACTGGGGAAGACTGGATAGGGACCTGGGGAAACGAAGCCCTGATGGGAGGGCCAAGAGGAAGCTGAGTGGTGCTGTTTGCCTGTGTGGAAGGAGGAGTACTCTTGTGTGGTAGCACTGTAAGGAGCGTTATACCGCACAGTCTCCATGACTGCATTTTCGTGTTCCTGTCGCGTTCCTGTCGCGATGTGACCACAAGTGGTACTTTGCCAGGGTTGGGGATAGTGGAGATGGTACTTCGTCATATGCGGGTGGACACATACAAGTGGATGTACCATCCCCTCTTTCCCATCCACTCACAGTCCGTCTCCACGGGTCCCGCTGTCCCACGCCGGTCCCACAACCCACAACGCTCCCACAGTTTGTGATGTCGGGCGGCCCATCCCAGTCCTTACCAGCCATCGCACCTCTTTTCCCAGCATCAGCCCCTGACTAGCAGGGTCCGTGGCCTGCTAGTGTCGTTACAGATATGCTCCTCTCTTTCCCAATCCTGTCGTGCTTTGGTGATTTCTGGCGGTTTGTGGTGTTTCCTGGCTGATTTCTGGTGATTCCTGCTGCCACTTTTACCGCTCAGGCAAAATGTTATATGCCAGGACTGTTAAGGGTACTCGTCTTGTACCAGTATACCAGCGTTATTGGTGAGAAGTACGAGTCTTGTGCTCAACAGTGCGCGCAGTCGAGGAGGCCGAGTTACCCAGTCGTGTCGTGCTATCCTCGTATACCGCTGAGGTACCTGCTCGAGAAGGGTCTCTTCCCGCCTGCGCTACTACTGGTATCAATTCAAAGCTCACGCTGCTTGAGCTAAGGGAAAAAGGGCTCACTCACAAAGGTCACTTCTGTCCGCCATGGCATGAACGGACCTGCTCATCGGCCTCATCGTCTCCCGTCAACTCTCTCACGATAACTTCATACCTCCTGTGTCTCTGATCAACTCTCCCGTTATAGCATCAAACTGTGCCACCAGCGATATTCATAGCACTGCTCGGTTTCGAAACTACTCCCAGCGTTTGCTCCGTGAGACTTAGCGAGGGTCACGGACAGAAACCCCAACCCAACGTCTCTCACTCCTCCTCCTCGTACCCGCTCACACGCGCCCGCTGTTTCGGTGGAGGCGGCCCACCTGTTTTGTGAAATAAGTCGATCCCCAGATCCTGGGTAATAGTGCTCCTGCCGAAACAACTTTACACGACCATCTCGAGAACCTGTATCACCCTCCTCACTCGGTCCTCCATCCTCGCCCATCGACATCCCCCTCTGTTTCCGCGACGTCGGGTAAATTGGAACGACCCTTCCCGATCCTCTGACCGTTCAGCTCGTCGTCCTCCGGTTTCTAAACGACGTTTCGCTCGAAGACAACGCCGAGTCGTGCTGCAGGTGAAGACATAGATTGTTTCGGCCGTGTGTTCTGCTTCGCTGAATCAACTGGAAACAAGCCCTCGCTCCCGCTTCAAACACTCGACTCCGAAGCCAGCCTCTTTATTGTTTGCCGCCTCCCCTCAAGTGGCACGAACATACTGATCGACGACCTGGGGATCCGATTTTTCGAACTCTCATCTCCCGGAGCAAACATCGAACCCTCTCCACCCAGAACGACCTCCCTTACTCGGATACAGGACGACATTTTACACGACTATCCTGCGAAGTTGCCAAATTGCCAAAGCCATGTTCCAATAGATATACACGACTCCCGATTTTATTACTTTGCGGGATATCTCAGCTGAGATTATACACCCTCTCATCGATACACGATGTCGATGTCACTTCCCGTCCCAGCAGTTCCGCTCGGTGGCTGCTCCACTATCTACAACAACACCCTTTACTCCTATTCCGCCGACGCATTCCAAGCATTACCATTAGATAAGGGAGCCTCATGGGAGCAATTGCCAGGAGGCGTCTCTGTTACCGGAGGAGTCTGCGTGCAAACCACTTCACATAATGCGTCGTCCCCAGCGGCCCTATATATCGTCGGAGGAAGCGCAAATGCATCGGAGACAAGTTATCAAGGCCTCCAAAGATATTCTTTCGAAGATAGCACCTGGGAGTCTATCTCGCTCTCATCGGCAGTAACACAGAACCGCCTATACCACAACGCCATCTACCTCAATGCTTCGTCCTCGATATTCATATTCTCCGGGAATCAAGATGGCACGAAGCAACCTAGTTCGGAATCATTCACCATCTCAACCATGGCGCCGTATGAAGTCCGGTCGTTCCCATCGTTTGCCCCACCAAGTATTGAGCCCATGCTACTTACCTGGTCCGATAGCCAAGCTGCCGTCCTTGGAGGAAGCGACTCTAACACGAGAGTTATGCTGTTCAAGCAAACCACCGACCCGTTGTTAGCATGGGAGGACTCTAAAATTACACTAGACGCCCCGTTGAAGACTGATGGGAGCGTAAAGGCTGCCATTGTCGACGGCGATGATAAAAGCAAAAGTCTATATACGTTCGATATGACCGTGTCACCCAATTCGGTGAACCGAATGCTACTGGTTGATCAGAATGGAAACCCTATGACCAATGTCAAAGCCGTCAAATCAAGGAGTTCCAACGAAGTTCGCGATATCACTGAGAGAGCTACCCTTACAGCCACAGACTGGCCGCCATATAACTCATCACTTGCCCCGAAAGCCACACGCACAAAGTACTCCATCGCACAAGATGCAGACGATCGCATTGTCATATCCGGGGGTAATGAGGAGGATGTGTTGTGCATGTTCAAGGCAAGGGAGAATTCGTGGGTAAATGCGACTTTGCTTTTATCCAAGGCACAGGTTCCGATCGGAATTACCAACACACCCACTTCAGTTTCCACAGAAGCTCCAGCAGCTTCTTCAACAGCTGCAGTAGCCGCAGAAGCCTCGTCGCAACTCAGTCGCAGGCTTCTGGGGATTATCATCGGCTCTGTTGCAGGATTTGTTCTGATAGTGCTAGCTATCTTCTTCTGCATCAGGAGGAGGCGCAAGCAGCGCGTGTTCGCCGAAGCTGGCCACCAACGGAGAGCAAGTGGCATCCCTGACGAGAAAGACCCAATGGACTTTGCAGACCGTGGAATACGCTTCGACCCTACTAAACGCTACCAGGGACATGCTCCCCAAACCTCAACGGCCTCATTCTCGTCAATGGCCATCTTGATGGGGAAGGTTAGCTCGACACAGCAACCGGCTCTCGGCAGAAGAGGCGGCAGCAACAGCAGCAACGCCAGCAGCAACTTCAACAAGAACTACAAAAACACGATCAGCAAGCCCATCCCCCAGGCTCGCGCAGTACCCGAAACCTACGCACGAACCGAACGTCCCCCAGTCGTTGGCGGCTCCAACGCCGGACCAACACCCCGACCCCGCGGAAGCGGCGTGAACCGCCAAGGAAGTACCCGCCGCAGCTCAGGCTGGAACCGCTACTGGTCCGGCGGCAGCGCCCTCAACGTCCTCGGCTTCGGAAACAAAGGGGCCAGCACTTACGGCTCCCAATCCGACCAGGACTCCATGTACTCCGAGACCGCGCACCCCACGCGCGGAACCCAGCAGTCCGCTATGGTGCCCCCGCTGAACTTTGGGTCCCAGAAGGGGCGCCTTAGCCAGGTGGCTTCGGGGAGTCCGACGATCGCGCATCAGCCGAGGAATTCACCCTTGGAGCAGGGGATGTCGGGCAAGATTGAGCGGCCGCACTCTGCTGTTAGTAGCGTGTCGAGCTATGGCGATCTGAGGGACGCGTATCCGGGAGTCGCGTCGAGTATTAATGAGGAGCATCAGACGTGGACGCCGTTCGGCGGGGAGAGTGGGTGGAACCAGGGGGAGCGCGTGGCTAGTAGCGCGTATACGGAGAGTCAATATGGGACGCCGCGCGCGACGATGGTGGAGGGGAGGAGTGGGCATCAGGGGCCGAATCAGCAGTCGACGGATATGAGTTGGTTGAATTTGGGGGATACTAGGCATTGAGGAGGCAGACAAATGTCACTGTCACCCCTACGGCCATTATCGCCCTCACCGCCGCTGCCGCCGGATAAACCACTCACTCACTTATTCACTCACTAACGCCCACACACTCTCTCTTGTCGAACCGGTTTTTTTTGGGGGGGAAAGGAGAATAAAAAGCAACTTTAGACCGACACTTTTACCTCACGAGCACACACACACACACACATTTTGAGCGCCCACATTTTTTTGCAGCATGTCGGAGCGCGCGCGCACGGTTTTCGATATCATAATTTTACGGCGCATCGTACTCTAGCAAGCGAGCGAGCGAGCAGACTTGAGAGCGGATCTGTATCCAGGGGATAATTTTTTTCTTCGAGTTGAGATAAGGCAGGCGTCTTACAATCGTTTTTTTGTTTTGGATGTTATGGAGTTTATGATGGATATGATTTGTATGGGGTATCATTGGGAGTGTTTTTTTTTAACAACTACCTGACTGGCTGATCTGACAACTGTGTTGTTCTGTTCTTTTTTTTTCTTGTTACTTGGCTACCGCTTTTTTTTGTTTGCAGATACCGGGGGGAGGGGGGCGAATACCAGATGCTTGGGTCCAGGGCATACCAGAATCTATGGATGGGAGAGAGAAGGGGGAGAGAAGGGGAAGGCAGTGGTGATGGGAGAGGAGAGATGTGTGAGATGGATGTAGGCGCTGGATAGTAGATAGGAAGAGATTACTGTAGCCTACACTTACATACCTTGTTAAACTACGGTGGATCCGTAATGGAGGCGGAAGAGAAAGAGACATATTTCCAACAAACCCAACCCAACCCAACACCGAATTGCCTCATCGTGACTTCCCTCTCTCTCTCTGTCCTATCCTATCCCCTTCTTCCCTGTACCTCCGAAGACCAAAGAGATCTTCACCTGTACCTGCATCCCCCCCCACTATCGCCTCCCCTCCCTTCCCTCCCGCTCGCTCGCTCACTACGAATGCCCCCGCCCGGCCCAGCCGTGCAGGGAAATTGACATGCAGATGCAGATGAGATGAGATGAGATGGGGATGGGGATGACATCTTCAACCTTCTAGAATGGATGGAAGCCCGCCCCAGCTGACAACCTAGTTACAGACAGGGAGGGAGATAGGGACCCTAGTCTGATATTAGATGTGCATGTGAACGCCCACCAGACCGCCCCGACCAGGCTGGATGGGCCGCCTCGTACGTAGCCTTGTTGGGGCCTTGTTGCCACACACATCTAGCCGCTGCTAGGGGTGGTGCTGGTGTTGGGGGTGGCTACCTGGGTTCTAGTACTACTACTGGTGGTGTTGGGGGTGGCTGCCACTGGGGGTGGCTGGCTGCTGGCCGATGCAGAGAAGGCTCCTGGTTGCTGCAAGCAACGTAACGGGAATGGGTAAAGGAATTATAGAGGCGGGGAAGTCGGGGACCCGGCAAGGCCGGTGAGGTGGTGAGGGTGTGAGGGTGCAGCTAAGGCGGTGGAGTGTTTGGGGAGTGCAGTAGGACCTTGTAGGACCTTGCAGTGCTGGGATGGGATGATGGGGGCAAAAGTTTTGTTTAAGTTGAAGAATCGTCATGGAAGTACTGAAGGAAGTGCAAGTTCAGCTTTGCTCATCTACTAAAAAGTGCTATACGCCGCCGCCCGCGACAGGCCAAGGCACAAAAGTCCCGTTCCCCTCTGCCACCCGTATGAGAGCTGTGAGAGGCCAAGGCAAAAAAAAAGGACCATCATCGGGGTTCGGGTCCAACCCTGTCCCACAGCTACCTGTAGCGGCATGCGGGACCCCCTAAAAGCCAATAACTCGCTTCTAGTGGCAGGTTTCTGGAAGGGCCGAGGAAGGCCTAAGTGCCTAGGAAGGGGGCAAGGCTTGTTGGGCGCTGGTAGGGGGGTGCTTGTTTATTTGCTTTTTTGAGATGAATTAGTTGGGGTTTCTGTGCTTTTTGGGGACGATGATGATGTTGTGCATATCATGGGGTTGGTTTTTGATGGTTTGGGGATTTCGGCTTAGTTATTAGTTTTGTCGGCGAGGGGGATGGGGGATGGGAGGGGGTTAGTTAATTATAGTAGGTGTATTTTTTAGTTTTTTGGGGGGGTTACGTGGGATGGTAGGAGGGGGGGATGGGGGGAAGCCGACGGGGGGATTCGGGGACTGTGGTAGGTGGGTGGTGGGTGAGTGGGTGGGAGTTGCTGTAGATTTTTCAGTTTAGTAGTACGGTAGAGGTGACCCCCAAATTCCTAGACTGCCCATGCCATGGGGCATTTCCTCTTATATAAGAAAAGTACAAGGGCAAGACGCGGCTGCTGCACCCGATACCTTTGTACTGCTTCTAGGATGTATGTGCGTAGATTAGGAATTCTCGGTAGTCGATCACTCCGACGGAAGAGAATTAGAGGAGGAGGGGGGAGGGCGGCTGGGAGGGATGGGAGGGAAGGAACTGGGATACTGACTGGTAGAGACAGAGAGGGAGATACAGAACATGGACGTGAATGGTAACGACGGGGATAACGGGTTACTCAGAAGGGTTATTCGCTTTATATTATCTATCTATAAGGCGTACTTTGAGGCAGTCGGCATTTCTATACTTATACTAATACTCCTCTCTATCTCTATCTATACTCGTCTCTACTCTATACTCGTCTCTACTCTATACTCGTCTCTATCTCTATACTCCTCTAATCCCCAACCCTAACCATCAAACATCCCATCCCTCATCTGAAGCCACTGGAAACAAACTGTGTCGGAACAATTAAACCCTGGAACCAACACCACTAAACTACTAATCATCCTAGCTGGGATAATACTCGACGCTGCTGCATAACGAAAATCCCAAGTGGCAATGTAGCAATGGAAAGATGTGGGGTTAGTCAAAAGTGACTTGCAGATACACCCCCGAATATCGCCTCGAGTAAGTCACTTCTCTCTATTCCCACATATTCCACACTCTACCACTTCCAACCATAGTCTCTAGGGTGGACACCCTTAGCCCGCCGCTTCTCCTCCGAGCAGAGCCCTCTGTCAAAAGCTTTGCATCTCCATCTCACCCGTCTCCGTCGCCATAACCCACCGCCGCAATCCCATCTTAACGTCGCCGCTCCCCGAAGAGAAAAAAAAAATCGCAGCCGAGTCGACACGAGAGGCTGCGCCCATCACTACAACCGCCGCTCGATAAGGGTCTTCGCTCGCGGCGCTGCGACGGCCACCGACCGCCCCCCCACCCCCCACGCACGCCGAGCACCCGCCCAAACCACAACCACCACACTCGACGCCGCGATGATGGACACGACGACGTCGTGGGAGAGTAGTGATCCGACGCTGTCGGCAGCTTCGCAGGATGACTTTCAGTTTCTCGATTTGGGGATCAATGGCATGGGCGACGAGGTGGGGTTTAATTTCCAGGACTATGCCCCGCAGCAACAGCAGAATCAGCAACAGCAACAACAACAACAACAGCCGCAACAACAGCAGCAGCAGCAGCAGCAGCAGCATGCGCAGATTATGAGACAGAGGGGCGTTGATGCGATGGGCTCGGCAATGGGGAATGAGGCCGCGATGATGGATCTCCAGAAGCACGGGATGATGCAGAACCACATGCCGATTACGACGAGTGCGGCCATGTCAGCGATGACCCAGCCCTCGCCCGTCATCACGCAGAACGCCGCGGCGCCGGATAGCAGCCTCGTCGAGATCGATGCGCAGATCCAGTATCTCCAGTTGCAGCGCCAGCAGCAGCAGCAGCGCATTGTCCAGGAGCAGCACCAGAATTACTATGTCCCACACAACAATCGTGGTGTGCCGCCCACGCCGAATAGCATTGAGATGCACAGTGGTGAGAGGCAGCTGTACCAGCAACAGCACGATCCGCAGCAGCAGGCGATGTTTGATTCTTATCAGATGCGCCTGAGGGAGCAGGAGGTACGAAGAACTTGAAGTACCCCTCTCCGAACAAATTACTAACTCAACTAAAAGCTCGCCTTCACACCCCTCGTTTCCCCCGCCGTCACCCCATTGGAAACCCACTTCAGCCTCCCAGAATACACCATCCCAGGTGCCTACTTCAGCCCCCTCTCCTCCCCAGCACTACACGCCCACACCGAGTACAGCTCCATGTACTCCCGCGCCGAGGTCTCCGCCTCCTCCCCCTCAGACATGAACATCGATCTCCTCCCCCCTCCCGCCAACTCCACGGGAGGCCCAGGACGCAAGCACTCCATCGGTGCGGGCCGGAAACCCGCCAAGCCGCGAGCCCCGCGCGCAGTCCGCCAGTCCCCCGTCGTCAAGGCGCAGAGGAGGAAAATGACAAGCACCTCGATATCAGCTGAGACGCTATCTGAGCTCGTCGAGCCAGCCCTAGCAGCGAAGCGGTCGTCGACGAACTCCCCCTCGCAGCCGCAGCCACGAGATTCCTCATCGGAGAACAACTCCATCTCCCCCGAGCACCTCTCCGACATGGCTCCCCCTCCCCTCCCCTCCTCCAACTCCGTCAGGAAATCCCCCTACCTCACGGCGCAAAACAGCCATCCGCGCGTGCAACAAATCATCTCCGGCACCGCGGCAATGTCCCCCGCCACCCCAGCATCCCTAATGCGCATCCCGCGTAATAAGGAGACCATGGCCTCTCCCTCCCTCAGTGTCCACGCCGAGCAGGACGACGACCAGCTAATGGAAGATTTCGTCCTCCCCGAAGCTGCAAATCCGCACGCCGAACCACCCAAGGTTGCTACGCTCGAAAATAACGTTGCCGCAGCTGCCTCCCTCCCCAATCCCGGCTCCCGCACGCCGTCTTTTAAACCCCTTAACGACCGCGATACTTCTTCTTCTACTTCTACGATTACAAACAACAACCCCACGCCCTCCCCGCAAATAAAACCTCAACCCCCAACACCAAACCCAACATCCACCCCTTCCCTCCGCAAAACTCCCAAACTCGCCGCCCGCGGCTCGGCACCGCGTCCACCATCCGTGCACGCCTCCCCCGCGCTGCTCCCTCGCATCTCGCCCAGTCTGAAGCCCATGACGAGGGGGCCATCGATCAGCGATGACACCGCCTCGCTGCTGTTGGCGACGAAGTCGAATTACCAGAATATCCTCGAGGGAACCCACCTCCCCGGTGTCTCGTACCCAACAGAGTTATCAACAAACCTAACCTCAAAGCGAACGAGTCACAAGATCGCAGAGCAGGGGAGGAGGAATAGGATTAACTCCGCCCTCCAAGAAATCGCGACGCTGTTACCCGGCAGCGCGGCAGCGGGGAGCGGGAGCGGTGATGCGGAAAACGGTGATGGTGGGGAAGGAGGAGGGGGGAAGAATCAGCAGCAGAGTAGTAGTAGTAAGGCCAGCACGGTGGAGCATGCTATTGAGTATATTAAGGCGCTGAGGGGGGAGGTGGAGGAGGCGACGAGGAGGGCGGAGAGGGCGGAGAAGGCGTTGGCGGAGCAGCAGGCGGCGGCGGGGGCGATGGAGACGTAGGGTCTTGGGAAATGGAGAGATGGTTGATGGGTGATGGTTACTATGGTAATGGTTTTTGGGGTTTGGAGAAGCGTTGGGATGGTTGGGAGGCAGTTTGAAGTGTTTTTATGCGGGCGTTTTTGGGGGGTTTGTGAATGTGAGATGTTGTGGGTGTATTATACTATCTATCTAGCCAGCTGAGGGCGATTAGCATATGACGATTCGATGAATCGAGATCTATTGCAAAATAGACATTTATGTTGCATACTACACTATATACTACACTATATCCTGGAGCATGAGAGGAATGGATGGGTGCTCGTAGATCCTCTCACCAGCTTAACACGAAATACCCAAACCACACCAACAGCTTCTCTCCAAACAACACCCCCATCCCATCCTCACCCTCTTCACGCCTCAATCACACCCACCCCATCCGGACTTCCCGCCTCTCCCCCATCCCATCCCCAGCCTCGCCTGCACCTCCCCCCCCTTCCTCAGCGCCAGGTCGTGTGTGTGTGTGACCCCCACCCCCCACGCCCAAGTACCACCAAGTACCAACCATCCACCCTCCTCGCCCATCACTAGCGCACATGCCGAACCCCAGTAAACGTCTCAGAGCTCCTACCTACGTCGAGTAATGCTCGTACCTACGCCGAGGACTACCAATACACATTTTATACAGCCTTACATACTACTACTGCAATTACCCGGCCATCTCAGCTCTCGAATAGAACTGTCGCGCGACCACTTTTACACCCCGAACTAAACGAAACGAAATGGCGTCCCGCGCTTTCACACCCGCTGCGCTTCGCCGCGTCGCAAACACAGCAGTCGCGCCGAGGTGCGCGCGCGCGTTTCAGACGACGGCGAGGAGGGCGGAGGAGGGGAGTGTGTTGCCTGTGAGGAAGCCTGTTGGTGCTTTCCGTGGGGGGTGAGTCTCTTTCCTTTTACTGTTGGTTCACTTGCGCGCCCTTGCGTTTCGGCGGTGTGAGGGGGGAAGATTGGCGGATGAGAAGGATAGAGAGGAGGATGGGTATGGGCATATGAGGGGATGGGGATGGATGGGAGAAGAGGGAAGAGGATGAAGAGGAGGGGCTAATGAGAGATATAGGTTATTCGGATTCTTCCTCGGCAGCACCTTGACCGGCGCGGGGGTGTATTATTACGTCCTTGAGGAGTATCGGGTTGCGAATGAGTTGTTGACGGAGGATATTTATGTACGTCTCCCCAACCCCAAGCCCCAGCTGTTCTTCTGTTGCGGGAGGAATAAGAGGATGAGAAGGGAAAGGCAGTGCGATGGTTGGATATTGGATGTGTGGCTAACGCGATGGTGATATAGTCCCTACAAGCCGCAGTCCAGCGTGTGCACGCCTACGTCGAGACGTTGGAGGAGAAGCTGGATAATGCTGAGAGGAGGAAGTAAACCAGTGGGCAATTTATACAGGGGAGGACTATGATACGGTCGGGGTCTGGCAGGGCTGGACTGGATATGAGGGAAGAAAAGTAGTGATGAAGGAAGGGAAATAGCGGATGTTTTCAGCGGCTTGATGGAACTGTAGCGAAATGAGGGTTTGAGCGCGAGATGTATATGATCTCTATGGATACCTTGACGTGTATATTCTTCGTTGCCTTGCTGTGATATGTTATGTTATATCCCAATAATTCCCCCAACTATTTAACTTTTACACCCCCAATGCGCGCATCACCCACCCACCTCCCACAGCCTCGCCAACCCAAACTTTCCCACCCACAGCCTCGCCTCCCCCATCATCCACCTCACCACCCTCACCTTCCCACCTCCACCATCTTCACCCACCCAACCTTCCACAACCTTTACAACACCCACACGCCACAATGGACCTCTTCGGCGTCCACGACCTCCCCACCTCCAAATCCGCCTCGGCAGGGTGGGCCTACATCCCCGACACCCTCTCCAGCGCCGCAGCCCCTACATCCCGCAAACGCGCGCGCCACACCGCCAGCGCGCACGACCAGAGCGCGAGGCAGGATGCGAAAGTTGCGAGGGACCTGGCGGCGTTGGAGAGGGAGGGGGGGGGGAGGGAGGTGAGTATTCCGGTTGTGCCTAGGGGGAGGGATGGGGCGGGGAGGGGTGAGTTTTGTCTTTCCTTATTGTGCTTTACTTCCCTTTCCTTTCCTGGGCGGCGCGTGGAACTGCTTCGAGTCCTGCCTACGTTCACCAAAGCTGGAACTGGGGAAAGAGGCCGGGGGGGAAGCGCGGTGATGGGAGAACTGAGAAATGGAAGGATGAAAGCTAATGATGACCAGCAACACACGGAAAAGTAACCCCCGCCGTCCGCAAAATCCTCCAATCCCAAAAAACATTCGCAAACCACCTCTCCGACGCCGAAGCCCTCGCTGCTCTCGCCCCTCCCTCCTCCACAACCGCTGCCCCATCCACCACCGCCGCAGCCACATCCACACCCACACCCGCCGCTGCGAGCCCTGCGCCTACGGCGGCACAGTCGAAGAGGGGGTATAAACGTCGCTCTCTCGCTGCTGGGGCGGCTGCGACACCGACGCCTCCGCCGATGAAGATCGAGACGCCGCAGCCTGATACGGTGATGGCGGATGCAGATGCTGATGCCGGAGGACTCCTCCTCTCTACAGCCCCGAACTTCACACCACACCCTGGGGATAGCGATCCATTGCTCAGATCCAGGATACCAAGTATGCCAACGAAAGAGGAGGTGGAAAGTTTGTTAGCAGAACGGCCTAGGGGGTATTTAGAAGCCAAGGCCGGGTTTGAGGGGACAGCAGGAGGAGGAGCAGCGAGGGTGAAGGGAAGGAGGTTCTGTGAGGTTTGTGGGTATTGGGGACGCGTGAGGTGTATGGCGTGTGGGACGAGGTGTTGTGCGCTGGAGTGTTTGGGGGTGCATAGGGAGGAGTGTTTTGGGGGGTATGGTGCTTAGTTGTGGGGTTGAGGGGGGGGAACTGCTGGGATGGGAATGGAAATGGAAATGGAAATGGCGTTCTGGGGGGGGGGGGATATATACATTGCTGCGTTGAAAGGCTGGCTGGGGGTGTTACTGTTACTGTTGGCGGTGTGCTTTATGGCTGCGGGGAGCGGGTTGTGAAGAGAGAGATAAAATAAATAGATATCCAACGTCTCTAACTCTGTCCTCTATCATCTTACACATCCCCATCTCCTCCCACCCATTATATTAAACCGCTCGCTCATGTATCAAACGCACCCCTATCCTCCACCCTCTATAAAAAATAAAAAAAATCTTGAAAATCTACTCAACCTTCCCCTTCCCCCCCTCCAAAAACTCCACCACAGCCTCAACAACCTCCCCAACATCCGTAATCACAAAATCATGCGCCGCCCCAACCTCCACATACCTCACCCTCCCCTCTCCCAGCAACTTCTCAGCATCCTCCCTCACCTCGTCAGGGAGCACAATCGGATCCTCCGTCCCGACCACAAGCAGCACCTCATCCGTCCTCCCCCTGCGTAGTCTCTCCCAGATCTCCTGCTGTCCCGTAATCGGCGCGTAGCGGATACAGCTCAGGAATGCGGGCACGAAACCCGGGTGGTGACGCAGCTGCCACTGTACGGCTTCGGGGACGGTGAGGTAGGGGCGTGTTAGGGAGAGGGGTGTGAAATCTGGGTTCGGCACGCCTTCTTGGCCGGGGAGTTCGGCGTCTAGTACGGAAGCTGGGGCCTTGTTTTCTTTGGCGTACATCGGCCCGGCGAGTAGACGGCGTTCACAAAGCCAGACCAGCCAGCTCTCGGGAATGAGACCGGTGCAGTAGAGCACTGTACTCCTCGAGCTCATGTGTTGAGGTCGGATCAACCCCGCTGGGGCGAGGAGGATGAGTTTGCTAACGAGATGAGGGAAGTAACTCGCGAAACCACTTGCGATGCCTCCCCCCAAAGAGTAACCGAGGAGTGTGAAACCACCTGGCACGCACCACGGGAGGGAGGAGGAAGAGAGAACCAACAGGAGCTGCGTGGTGTACAGCCGCAGGTCGTGCGGGAGGGAGGTGGGTGTGTCGCTGTATCCGCGCCCGAAGAGATCGAAGAGCATGACGCGGTATCCCTTCTCCACGAGGCCGTGGGCGAGCCCGCCGAGCGCGAGGCAGGGCGTGGTGATGCCGTGGACCATTAGGATTTTGGGGCCGGTTTCTGGACCCCATTCATGGACCCTTATTGAGCCATACTACTTAGATGTTAGCTTCTGTTTCTGCTTCTACTTCCTCCTCCTCAACTCTACCGCCACCACCTAGTTGCTATCTAGCACAAGAAGACTAGACAGGACCACGAGGTAGATAATGGGGCCAGCACATACCGGTGTATCCACATCCCTCCCCCCCGGCAGGATATCAGGCGGGTACTCGAGCCCCTCGCGGGCCGCCTGGGAGAGGTGCGGGAGCAGCGTCGATGTGGGACCGCGGGTTGTGAGGGCGGGAGCGGAGAGGGCGAGGCGGGTGAGGTGGAGGAGGGAGAGCGTTGTTAGGGAGGTGAGGGCGATGAGGGGTATGTTGGAAGTGGAGGAGGGGTCCGGGAGGGACGAGCGGAGGCAGTGGAGGAGTGTCATTTTGGGGTTGGGATGTTCGCAGGGAGATGGTCGGAGATGTGGAGATGGGGGTAGAGAGGGAGGGAGGCGGTAGAGGAGGGGATAGATATTGTGTCTCAAGGGGGTTGAATGGCTATAGTGAGGCTGAACAGTAGACCCCTTGAGGCTGCGACGAAGGCGTTTCTACCATCTCGAACCTCGGCTGGGATGTCATTGGTTAAGCCGATAAGCTGTGCTGTACTGCTGTACCTAAACTCACACCCTACCATTTTGCACACACGACCAGCCAGTACTAGAACACGTGCTCACAGCCAAATGGCTCACGGAATGCTAGCAGCAGCATAGTAAGAGAAGGCGGATGTCGTCGGTCGGTCGATGAAGCTGCTCTCGAATATATAAACGTGAGATATAACACATCTCGGGCCGCCGCGGAAAGTATGTAGCAAACGGCACAGCTCCACCACCACCAACTTCCTATACGTACCTCGCACAGCTCTCAAGCCCTCGCTCAATCAATCTGGAGCGTCCAGCCAGCCATCCCATCTGCAGATTTTCTATCCCGGGTAAATAATCTGCGATGCAGTCAGGGCAGGCCCCTCGTCAGAGCCAATTGGTGCGCGTCGTTTGTGTGAGAAAGATGACGTGCATGAAATCGCGATGCGATGTGCCAATCTTCGATGAGGAGCGATGATACGCGATGCGCGATAGGATGGAGGGGAGGGGAGGGGAAAGCGGGAGGGCATGGGGGAAGGAAGGGGGATGCGACGGTACAGTATGCGATGGGATGGGATGGGATAGTTAGACAGGCGGATTTTTGACATCAGCAGAGAGGGGGATAGATCATCTTCCCAGCGTTGTTGTTTGCTGGTCGACCGCGGGCGATGCGCGGGCACGGGGTTGTTTTGCTGTAGACCATGCGATTTATCGGTTTGATTTTATTATCGACTGAGCGAGCGAGCTGTTAGCTGACCTGACTATTGACAGGTACCTCACCTCGCGAGCGCAGCCAAGCCCTGGAACGAAGCTGTTGATGAAGCCACGGATCAGCCACGGATCAGCCATTTGATCAGCCACCGCTGGAGGGGATGGAGCCATTGGGCGCGGAGGTGTCGACTAGGCCGTACTACTGTGCGTGCTATGTCATCTGGTGAGCCAGAGATGAGGGGAAACTGTGAACCATGACCGGCTGGAACTGTTTCCCTTTTTTTTTTTTTGTCTTTTACTCAGTTTATGACAGGATTATGGGCAGGTTTCTAGTTGCTTGCTTGCCTGCTTGCTTCGGTTCGGGGCGATGGATGGGCAGAGGGCGCAGTCCCCCGGACTTTCAAGATTATTTTCAAGGTACAACGATTTGAGACAGGTTGGCTGTACTGTCTCACTGTACTCCTGTCGCTGTCCTGTACCTCTCCTACATGCATCGTGCTGCCTTCATGCATGGATCCGGCGCGCGGAGCAGGTAGGTACAGGACGTCTAGTCACCAATGACCTCGTAAAAGACCCGCATACGGGCATCGGGCAGCATACATAAATAGCTGTAATATGCAAGACAACGAGCGTTAGCAAGAAGTGCTAGCAGGTTGGCAGAAACAGGTACTGTAACTGCAGGATGGGGTATGTACGCGCGAGTAAGATATCTTACTCACCTCGCTCACCTCGCTCAGGCACCCGAGGCCGGGAAAGGTGAAACATGACGACGAATGGAGCGCGGCGGGTGCGGGCAAAGGAGATTGGTTTCATTCGGGAATTCAACCGGGGCAGGGCGAGGAGGACCGGGGGGGGTGGATGGGGATGTCAAAGCTCCTGGTGTTTAGCTTGGGGAGGTGCAGGTAAGGTATGCGAATAGACGGGTGAGGAGACGGGGATGGACAGGAATAGATGGTTGAGTAGACTGATATAATTAGAGGATTGGGTATACTCTGTAATGGTCAGGTCAGTAGATGGATATACTATGTAGGAGTAGTGGCCTGTCTAGCTTGAGGAGTTGTCGTGTCAGTTCATTTTATACAGATATAGTGTCTTTTCTATTAGACTCGAGTAGCACAACAGTGAAGCTAGGGATGGGATGGACGGTACAGACGGGTCCAGAGGAGGTTTATCGCCGTTTATTGTCGTTATTGTGTTACCTGTGATACTTCACTTTGTGGTCAGAGTAGAGTAGACTAAATGCAAAAGTACTGTACATACTTTAATACCTCGTCTACCTCGTCTCCTACTAAAGTATCTTGGGCGGCTGAAACCAAACAAACACAGCCCTCTGAGCTTCCCCACTCTGCCCAGAAACACGCACACACAGATGCACATACGCAGACACACATACATAAAACTCACGATGGACAGACCACCACTACCACGCTACGAACATGGCAATTATGTACTTGTCCATATATTATCGTATGGCAGTGTACCTCGATAACCTGCGCAAGGTATGGCTATGAACCATGGCGCCGTCCGAAGTTGCCCGCCAGTATTGTATTGTATTGTATAGTCAGTACCTCTAGCCAAAGTCTACTCCTGCTCAACTTTTAGCATCTCTAGTATCTCTAGTATCTCTACTATCTCTAGTATTGCTCTATTGCCTTCTAGCTCTCTTCCTTCCTTTCTCTCCTTGCCCTGCCCACAATCAATCCTTCCATCCATTGCTCTTGCCCTCCCTCAGCTCTAGAGTTACTCAACTATCCCATCTAAAGCCCATTAAACCCATCTAAGCCCTTCACTAACCCCATCTAACCCGTCTAAACCATGAAAAGTGCCCACTTCCAACCCAAACTACCCTCAATTGCCGTCAATTCACAGCCAATTCTTTCCCTTTCCCTTCCTCCCTTCCTTCCCTCTTCTTGGTTTCCCTCGTTCCCGCCCCACCCTCTCTCCCCGCCGCCCTTCCTACTACTGCTGTACTCCTAACTCCCCTCCAACACTTTTTCAGCCTACTACTCGAAATATACCTAGCTACCTTTACCATAACCTTACCACCACCTTACCACCACCTTACCACACCTTACCACACCTAACCACACCTAACCACACCTAACCACACCTAAACCACACCTAACCACACTAGGAGTACCTTACCTACCTTACTTGCACCCCCCCCCAGCCAGCCCACTACGTACTTGTCTACCACACACCACCACACACACCACAAACCACCATACCACACCCAAAAACCTACTTCCACACCTCCCACCTTCTATCCTCTTCTTACCTCCACCCTCCCACCTCCACCTTACCTCTCTTCTCTTTCTTCTCTTCTTTTGCACCACCTCATCGCCACGATCGCCCGTTTTCCTCACTCTTCCCTATTTAGACATCTTTGTGTGTCCTGCGTGCGCTCTATTATTATATTTGTTTCTCTCCTTCGATAAACAAATTCTCCCAAGCCGCTTGCCAAAAAAGTTCCCACTCGGCTCCTTCGTGTGCTTTTCGTGTGTCTGGGTTGCGCGTCGCGGGTGTTCGGACTTGAAAACTGATTTTACCAAAACTGCTTTCCACCAAAACCAACAATCCGAAAGAACAACGAACCTTTCGAATTCGGCTTTGTCCCCCAGCTACCTACTAGCATCTGCGCCTTTCTTCAAAATCTTTACGATCCACGATTCAGGTCCTTCTAAACGTATAAATCTTGCGCCGGTTTTTAATATTCTCGACCAACCCAAACTTTCCCCACTGCGACCTCTCGAAACCTTGCACATATTTTATCCCGCCGAAACTCGCTCTCCTCCTGGATAACCTTCCGACGACGACAACGACTTACCGGCTTTAAAGGGCTTCTTTGAAGTAAGTGCGCATATACACACATCTCGATCATGGTCCCCCCCCACATATATACAGGAGTGCTCAGTAGTTGCTGTTTGCGCGTCCCAACCCTGTGCTTTTCCCCCCCATAAAGTTATGACCTGTCCGGCTGCATTGTCCTTGAGTGAGGTCATCGTACGGTGCGATTGAAGTCCCAATTGTACTCGATAAATGCTGCCCATGCTGTCCATGACATGTTGTCTCCAAGTAGGAGAGATCTATGTGATAATTCTGGCCCCATTGCGCCAGTTGCGCAGTGCGTGGCGAAAGAGTGCGATCGAAGTGAGGTCGTGGGGCTGCTGTAGAGTGACTCCCAGCCCCATCCCCCCAAGAATGGTTGCCGTCGGTGCCTCACCGTCGCCGTCGATTCCTTGCCGTGAACCCCACAACGCGTCACACAGGCTTACCTTCTTGCCCAGAATATTTACCTCGACGCTTCCTCTCTTCCTCCACACAACCACCCTTCACCTTTACAGTACTTCTTCCAATCTTGCACAAACACTTTATTGCCATTGACAAACCTAACAACCCATCAAGCTTGCAACGCCATGTCTTTCCCAAGCTTCGACCCCTCGCAGGGACAACCTGCTCCGTTCACCGAGAACGGAAACACTGGCCTCACCCAGGGTCAGCCACCGATCCAAAACATGCAGCAGAACATGCCCAGCATGCAACAAACTCCCCAGGGCTCCGATACCCAGGCCCCGTTCCAGGGACAAGGTGCTATGGAGCAAGGCCAAGGTGGATCGACTGGCGCTCCTGACTCCAAGACCACTCTCTGGTAAGTTTGAACCTCATCCCTTCATGGTGTAGATCTTGGGCCATACACAACCTTGGTACCTCTGTGTATCAACCTTGAGTTCGTTCAGGGTGATCATACAGATTCAAGAATAATAGCTTGATAGCTCTTTATTCCCCTGGATCTGTTGCTTCACCCCGCACCTAGTGTTGACCTTTGTTCTTCATGGATACTAACCTCCAACAGGATGGGAGAGCTTGAGCCATGGATCGATGAGAACTTCGTCCGCAGCGTCTGGTTCGGAATGGGCGAGCAGGTCAACGTCAAGATGATCCGTGACAAATTCTCTGGGTAAGCTCCAATCCTGCCAACTGACCTTGTTGTTTCCGATCTAACCTCCTCTTAGCAACGCCGGCTACTGCTTCATTGACTTCACCACGCCTGAGGCTGCTGCCAAGGCTCTTTCCTTGAACGGATCCATGATCCCCAACACCTCGCGCCCATTCAAGCTCAACTGGGCTTCCGGTGGCGGGCTCGCTGATAGACGGTCAGAATCTCGGTCCTTATTCCCTGTGTTTAACACCTTGCCTGAGACTTTTGCTGACTCTCATTGTAGTGATGACCGTGGACCCGAATTCTCCATCTTCGTTGGTGACCTCGGCCCAGAGGTTAACGAATATGTCCTGGTCTCGCTTTTCCAGTCCAGATTCCCATCTTGCAAGTCTGCCAAGATCATGACTGATCCGATCTCCGGCATGTCGCGTGGCTACGGCTTCGTCCGCTTCTCCGATGAGGGAGACCAGCAGCGCGCTCTCACCGAGATGCAGGGCGTCTACTGCGGCAACCGCCCCATGCGTATCTCCACCGCGACCCCCAAGAACAAGTCTGGCGGTGGTGGACCACCTGGTGCCATGGGCGGTATGCCTGGCGCCCCAATGGGAGGCAACATGGCCCCTGGCATGTACTCCATGGGAGCTCCCCCGATCGGCTACTACGGTGCCCCCCAGCCAATGAATCAGTTCACTGACCCCAACAACACCACCGTCTTCGTCGGTGGCCTCTCTGGCTACGTCACCGAGGACGAGCTCCGCTCTTTCTTCCAGGGCTTCGGAGAGATCACCTACGTCAAGATCCCACCCGGAAAGGGCTGCGGCTTCGTCCAGTTCGTCCAGCGCCACGCTGCTGAGATGGCCATCAACCAGATGCAGGGTTACCCCATCGGAAACTCCCGCGTTCGCCTTTCTTGGGGACGCTCCCAGAACAACTCTGGTCCCGCTGGAACCCCCTACAGACCGGCTCCACCGCCACCACAGTACCAGGGCATGGGCATGCCACCATCCCACCCCTATGGAAACTTTGCTCCTCTTAAGGTAAGAGATCGAAACCCTGCGAAGCATGTCAGTAAAAGTTATCTTGCTAACCACCAATCTATAGTAAAAGCATGAATGATTCTTCCGTGTCTCTCGCGAATGGAGTTAGTTAGTCAGCACTCACCGGCGTACTTGCACTTGGCTTGCCTGTTTGATCTGGCTTCACTTCTGCTCATCGACTTTGCCTGGAGCTACCGTTTATTACTCTTAGCGTTTGCCTTGTCAAAAATGATGGGTGGGGATCTGCATTAACTTAACGACGGCCTATGTACAAAAGTGCATTAGAGGGCTCTTTTTATCACGCGACGACGACCTGGGGGTGCTTCGGATCAGTAACAAAATGTTTTGCGTGCTTTGGTCTTTTTTTTGTTTTTTTGTGCTTTTCGCTGGCTTGTGTCCCGTCGAGGGTGTGTTCTTGTTTTTTTTTGCCGCCATCATGTTTTCTTCAAGGCGCTTTGTTATGGATCTTCGAGGGTGCAGATTTCTGGTTTGATTTCGGAGCTCTTTGGGCCTTCATTCCAACCTGTGCTTTTCGAGGTTCAGCGGCATAGCCTTTTATCGGAGGAAACAGAATTATCTGATGGATCGGTCAATATATGTGCCTCTTCTTCCTCCTTTCGACGGGATCTCGCGCAGCCTTACCTACTACTAGTTGTTTTCCTTTCTCTCTTCGGATCTCTGTGTTTTATCGTCGTCGTCGTTTTTTCCAAGTACCACCCACACACTCACGCCAAACAACGAATCAACACAAGAAAAGTTTTTAGACTCTCAGGGATTAACATACGACGGACGGCCTATCTGCGGCTTCTCTTTTTTTTCTTTTGAGTTGTGCTCTTTCGGGGGTTGATGGATGGGGAAGGTGTAGATCGGGATGGATGGATGGGGGGATGGAGAGTGGTAACAGATGAATTGAGAAAATTTGATGAAGGTTGTTTCCTTTTGCTTTGGTGCTGCTGTTGTGTTGTGTTGTGCGGTGCTGTTGTTGGCGTTCGTTGCGTACGTTGGCTTGGCTTGGTGATCGTTCGTCTGGTTTGTGTGTTTGGTGAATGCTGTGTTGTTGTGTTGAGTTGTGCTTGTGCTGTGATCGTGTTGTTGTTGTTTTGTGATCGGCGTTGCGTGATCCAAGTGAGAGCTTGAAGAAGGTGAAGAAGGTGGTAAGTTACTAACGCCGGTGAGTTACTAACAGAAGGTTAAGGTAAGTTCGTGGCGAGGGTGAGTTACCTCCAACTCGGCAAGGAGGTGAACTTCCTTCTCGGGGACCTCGTCGTCGCCATTGTTAGATCGGTGTGTCCTTTGTCCTTTCGCCCATTAACCTCGACCTCAGAGTTCTTTGTGCCCATTGTGACGTCGTCCTCGACGTTTTATGCTCAACGATTCCTGTGATATATGATAGGCAGCCGTTTTGGTTTGGTTGAGGGGGTGAGGGGGTTGAAGACGTTCGTTGGGGGGGCGGCAGGGTAGGCGGCAAGGGAGGTGTTGCCGCTGTGTTTTTATGGAGTTCCGCTAGAGGAGGGGGGACTAGGGCGAATTAGTCGGCGTTGCTGTTGTTGCTGCTGTGTTCTATGGGCTTCCTCTAGAGGAGGAAGGGGTGGCTACTCTGCTCTAATTGTTTGTTTCGCAGGGCACCTCGTAGCGTAGCATCTCGAATGAGAAATTGTTGACGCCGGTGAAGTGCAGGTGGGTATGAGGTATGGATCTGGTTCTTTGTAGAGGATAGTATGCGTCGCATATAGGAGTCACGGAAGGCGTAGAAGACATGGATGTCATGCAGAAGGCATGATTTGTAGAAGATACGAACGGCACGTAGAAGCTACGGCTACGGTATATATCAAGGAGTTAGTCAATGGCATCAGTTAGAAATCTAGCATTTGCAATTCACAGACTGCATTTATCCTAGCGTATGTAGAAAGACATTGCTCGTAGAAGATACGACGCCGTGGCGGCACATAGAAGGCATAACTGCACGTAATGAAGCAATTGAACCATAGTATGAGCCAAAAAATTGTATTTGCAATCGGGAGTGTTATATTAACTCTTGTCTCCTCTGGTATCCCTAACGCCACTCTCATGAATAATTACAACAAGATATAAAAGAAAAACTCCCCCCATGCACCTCCATCGTACAAACAACACTCTTTTCCACCACCACCCCATCCAGCGCAGAGAATAGCCCAGCTACCCGCACTCCACTCCACTCCCACTTCCACCCTCACCTCACCACCCCTCTACTTCCTAACCTTCCTAGCATGCTGCACCAAATTCTCAATCACCCCCTCAAACGCCTCCCTATCCCCCAACTTCTCATCAGTCCTCCTCGTCCAATACTCCAGCACCCCCTCCGCCGCGCCCCTCAACCCTTCCAACACCTCCACATGCTCCCTCAACTCTCTATCACTCAACCCCGCCAGCGCCTCATCAGTCGTACTACACAACCTCCTCGCAGCGCCTAGATCCAGCGCCGGCGCCGGCGGCGGTCCACGCCTTCTTTTCGATTTCCCCGAAGAGTCGACAGAGGCGGAACTCCCGTTGCTGTCACCCTGTAACCTTGCCACTGATCCCAGTCGCGCATCAGACGAGGTGCGTGGGGATGCAGTAGACGGGAGAACGAGTTTAGCTTGCTTGCTCGCCGGGAGAATCTCATCTAAATCGATCGGCACGCCGAGCGAAACGAGAAAGAGGCGGCGAATGCGGGAGCGTAGCCAGTTTGGTGGGTTGAGGGGCGGGGGGGCGCTGAGTTGGGCCCAGAGGGAGGCGGAGCGGGGGGTGGGGAAGAGGGAGGTGGGGGGGGCGACGGTGGGGGCGGGGGGAGAGGGGGGGAAGAGTGTGTCTAGGTAGGGGGTTGTGGCGGCGTGGACTTCGGCGGGGGAGTCGAGGGTGTCGAAGGAGAGGGGGGGCTGTGGTGGTGTGTTAGTAGGATTGGTGGGTTGGAGGGGAGGGGGTGGCAGATGGGAGTTGGGGGTAGGGGGTAGGGGGTAGGGGGGAAGTGCGTGCGTCACGCGCGGTTGGGACGGGGTGGGACGGTTTGTGCTGCGCAATGCATGCGTGTGTGTGTGTGTTACTTACGAGGGATAAAGAAGCTATCTGCGGTAAAGACTGTACAGGTTGCACACCCGCCTCCTGGAACCCGTCATCGAAGTCCCCAAACTCCGCGTCCTCGTCCCCCTCCTCGAAATCGTCAAAGTCGTCACCGAAGCCCGCATCCTCGTCCTCGTCCTCATCCCCGTCGGCATCAGTGTCGTAGTCTCCCGCCGGCGGGGCGAGCGCGTGGCTCACAGACAGCGGTCTGGCGACACTAGAGGTTCGTGACCTCGTCTCGGACTCGGGCGCGGAGGGGGAGCTAGGAGAGCGCGGCCGCGTACCTGAGACGGATCCTCCCTCCTCCTCCTCTGTAGAAGCAGCCCCGGAATCTGGGATGTGGATGACGCGGTCGGGCTGGGCGTCGACGGGGTAGACTTTAGGTGTGCTGGGTTTGTGGGCGTGGCCCCGGATGGGGGAGGGGGGGACCTCTTCGAGCACCGTCTGGGGGATGGGCGTCAGAGGACGAGGGACTGGTTCGGTGGCGGAGGGGGTGTCGTCTTCAACGAAGGCGACTTCGTCGGGCCGGGCGTCTTCAGAGCGCTGGTCGTAGGCTGCTGTCCCAGGGACTTCGCCGTAGCTGGCTTCGTGGTCGACTCGCTCCACCCGGGTCGTGGGGATGGGGGATGCGGTGCGGGAGTAAGCCGCGCGGTCGCTACGGGCATCGGAGAAGTGGTCGTCGGAGTCGGAGGATTCTGGAGGGGGTGTTAGTTATGTGTATTCACTGGTTGTGGGGGGGAGGGTATCGCTCACCCAGCTCGTGGGCGCCGGGGTCTTCGATGGCCTGGCTTGGAGGGGAAGGGGGGGCCAGCGTTGCTTGCGTGTCGTCTTCGGCCATCGTGTCTTCAGCGGCGTCGGCGGACGCAAACTATCGTCTTTGGGGGCACTGAAGGCTTTAATGTAGATAGAACTCTAGTCCATGGAAGCGCTCAGGATGCATCGGTGTATAAAAAGTTAAGTGTATGGTCGAGGGCGGGTCTGGGCTGTGGTCTGGATGCCCAAAAATAATGAGGCTCGCTAAATCCCCAATGATGCATGGGTGCTCTTGAAATTCGCGATCCGCGCGCGCCTCACGGTAAAAGCTATCTGGGCTACCACTTGATTTATCACGTTTTACGTCTAATACCCTCGACGCTTTCCCTCTCAACCTCACGCACGCGTCCAGATCTGTAGAGGAGGACGAATTCACGCAACTGGCCCACTTGCGTCCGGCCCCGATCCTGTGCGCTGCAGAATTCTGCCTCGAAACAAACGAAATACATGACAATAAGCTCTTCCACGACATAGCTCCTACTGAATTGCCATCCTCAACGAGCTCAACAGACGAATCTCACCCAATATGTCTTTCAGCTTCGGTGCCCCAGGTGGAACTGGTGGCAATCTCTTCGGACAATCCACTACACCAGCGTCATCGGGCGCGCCCACGACGGGCCTTTTTGGCCAGCCTACGGCAGGTGCCACGGATAACAAGCCAGCCTCAGGTGGCCTCTTTGGGGGTGGTGGTGCTGCAGCTACGACAAAGCCAGGTGGATTTTCTTTTGGCGCTACGCCAGCTACGACTGCGCCGTCAAATCTGTTCGGGGGAGGCGCTGCGAAGCCAACCGCATCCGCGCCTTTGTTTGGATCTTCAACCACAACCACTGCTCCTTCCGGGGGCTTGTTTGGGGGGCCTACTTCTGGAGCCACGGCAGGTGCAACCCCGGCAGCGGCTCCGGCTGGTGGACTCTTCGGTGGTGGATTCCAGGCCAACAAGCAGCCCTCTTCCTTTGGCAACTTCTCCTTCGGTCAGAGTGCAACTCAGAACCCACCCAGCTCTACACCAACCACCAGCTCCTTCCCTACCCCGAACAAGCCAGAGACGCCCGCAGCACCCGCCAACCTCTTTGGCGGCGCAGCCAAACCCGCTGATGCACCGGCTGCTGCTCCTACTCTCGGCTCAACTACACCAGCTCCAAACAAACCAGCCGGCAGCATGTTCAGCTTCCCTTCATCTACAACCCCAGCTGGTACTCCAGCAGGTGGTAACGCTGCGGCGCCATCTCTCTTCGGTGGTCTGAATAAACCCGCTGCTCCTGCTGGTGGTGGTCTCTTCGGGGGTCCCAAGCCAGCAGCGCCAGCGGCTGCACCTGCGAGCGCGGCACCAGCTCCTGGAGGTCTCTTTGGCGCGGCGAAACCTGCTGCACCTGCAGGCGGAGGTCTATTTGGAGGCGCCATGGCCGCGAAACCCCCAGCTGCGCCAGCTACCACCGGTGCCGCACCGGCGGGAACCACCGCCCCCGCTGCCCCCGCGGCTGCAGCAGCAACCCCTTCGCTTTTTGGCGGAGGAGCAACTGCGGCAGCTCCCAAGCCTGGTGGACTTTTTGGTGGCGCTGCTGCTACCACTTCTGCTGCTGCCCCTGCATCTACCACTGCACCAGCACCCGCTGCACCAGCAGCCGGTTCTCTGTTCGGTGCCAAACCCGCCGCCGCAACGACATCAGCCGCTGCGCCGCCCACTGCAGCAGTTGGTGCCGCGCCTGCTACTGGTCTCTTCGGTGCTAAGCCTGCTGCCACGGGAGCTACCCCTTCTACAGCTGCACCTGCAACGGCGCCCGCAGCTGCTGCAGCTGCAGTTCCAGGGGCAACCAACCCAAATGTCTCGACCGCTGGGCCTGCGCCGCAGATGTCCCGCTTGAAGAACAGGACTATGGATGAGATTATCAACAGGTGGGCGAGCGACCTTTCCAAGTACCAGAAGGACTTCCAGGAGCAGGCCACAAAGGTTGCATCCTGGGATAGACTCTTGGTGGAGAACGGAGATAAGATCCAGAAACTCTACGTCAGCACGTTCGAGGCTGAGAGGGCTACGTCTGAGGTAGAGAAGCAGCTTACTGCTGTGGAGAACATGCAAGGAGAGCTAGAGGGCTGGCTGGATCGCTACGAGAAGGATGTTGATGAGCTCTTCAACAGGAATCTGGGATCGAGCGATAATCTTCAGGGTCCGGATCAGGAGCGCGAGCGCATGTACAAGCTAGCTGAGAAGTTGGCCGGGCGTCTAGATGATATGGGTAAGGATCTCACGAGCATGATCCAGGAAATCAACACGGCGTCGTCGAGCTTGAGCAAGGCTGGGAAGCCGGATGATCCTGTAAGTTTTGGGTTTTGTAAACTTCTTCTAAATGCATAGTCTAACATTGTGTAGCTACAACAGATCGTCAAGGTCCTTAACGGACATCTGTCCCAACTCCAATGGATTGATCAGAACGCCGCTGCGCTCCAGGCCAAGGTCGCAGCTGCTCAAAAGGAGAGCCGTAGCCTCGGCGCCAGCATCCACGGCGACAACGAGTCCGAGGCATCCCACGAGATGCTCCGGTCGTATTTGGGCAGGAGGTAATGGGATGGTGGTCATGAAACGGGTGGTCATCACGAAGAAAGGGCGGGGACAGGATTAGGGTATATGGAGTTTTTTCCCAAAAGAGGGTACGGAGTAGACGTTTTTTTGCCCCATGTATTTGCGAGAGTGGAGAAATTTGTATTATTCAAGAAGATGTGTCGGTCGCAGGTAGCAGTTGGGGGGTGAGGTGAGAGTTGTATATGAGACAGTAGAGAGTTTACACAGGCCGAGGGCCGTCAGTGATGGTACACTGTTAATTGCACCGTACAATAGGACCTCTCTGTCCGTTACCAACTATTTAAACACAGCCACCACGTGAATCCTCCTCCTCCTCCTCCTCTCTTCGAACTCAACTCGTCATGGCGCCACGGAGATCGGTTATCAGCTAAACGGAGAGAAAGCCTCAGCTATGCCCAGTGTCCATCCAATGCGTCCCGTGGGGGGGGGTGTCGCGGCATACTCACTTTTGCTCGCCGCCCTGGTTCTTGGTGAACTCATCACTGTAAGAGACGCTCCGTCAGCACTCTGTTCTAATATAATGTCTACTCATAGTATGAATATAGTTGCAAAGGGGGAATCTCACATATCCTGCTCAAGCTTCTTGATGTGATCCTGCGACTTCTCGAGTCTCTTCTTCAGCTCCAGGAGCTTCTCCTTCTCGCGCTGGCGGATAGCGAAATCCTCCTGCGCCTTCTCGCGCTTCTGGAACGCATCACTACAACACCACGACAGTTAGTCAAGATTCTCCTCAGCTCGTCCCGTCTCCGGATAGAAGGGGGGGGGGGTAGGTAGTGGTGATGCAACATACGTTTGTCCAGATGGGCGGACAGAACCGGTATCACCGGCTCCCATGGCGCGGGCGGTGGTTGCGAATGCGCGGGTCGCGGGGCGCGTGGCCTTGACGATGGACTGGCGGAACATATTTTGTGAGTTTGTGGGTTGTGTGGTGTTTTGGGGGTGGAATTGATATGGTTATGAGTTAGAGGTGGAGGTGGAGGTAGGTTTCCTTGGAAGCCCGATTTCAAGCTTGAGCTCATTGCTTGGCGGCGGAACGGGCAAGCTCGGATAGGTTGTTTGGTCACGTGATTGGGGGATGCTGTAGAACCCTGAGCTGGGGGCGGTATTAGACGGGGTTTTTTGGGGGTTAGTGGGTGGTGTGTGGACGGTGGTAGATTGGGGTCACCTGATTGGATGCGGGTGTATTGGGGCTGTGAGCAGATACGTAGAGTATGTCATTGGGTGTGCGTGTAGAATTGTAGTGGATGTGTATCTAGTAGCACCCAGTAGCAATCAGTTACACACCGTGGCCTTCGTCCTATCCCTATCTATCTGTGCTGTACAGTACATGCAATTTATATTCTCCGACCGGTCATGTACAGCGCGCGTCAAAACATAAATATAGAAATATATAGTAATTACTAAATAAATAATTGAAAATACCTACAACTTCCAATAAAATACTACAATTTTATATATCTACCCCCATAATTTCAAATTTATGCCTTTGTTGAGGAAAAGCAGCCTGATTGCGCTCTCGTCCCCCCAAAGCGCACATCCCCTCACTCCTTGGATCGACACTCGTCCCTTCCTCATTCGGTTTAGTTCCAAAAACAGCGAGAGACTGCGGTTGTTCCATCCGCTTCCCACCTGCTTCAACCTCAACTCACCCAAACCTCAAAATACACAATATTTCCCCTTGACACGCTTTATAATCTCACTTTACCCTCGCCTTGATCCGTCTTCTGTCTGATCAACCTCATTCTTCACTTAGAACCCCTCACCTCCTCTATAAAAGACAGGTGAGCACTTTCTCCTTTATGTTGTTGTTGTTTGGCGATCGTTATCCGCCATTTCACCCCCCAAAGCCCTTCCCCTACCCCCATTCCATCGGACAACAACATTACCCTTCAATGGATCCTATATCTTGCGCCATCCGGAGCGCCTCATCGACATATCTCTTTATCATTGTCAACGCGGCTTTGCGACTCTCGCTCCCGTTGTTGTGATACCCGACGACCCCATCGGCACGGGAACCATGGAGGGGTAACCCACATACATGGCACCTTGTCCTCTCATACCATCAGCTGCACGGCATACCACAAGCACAAAGTCCACTATATCTAGCTAGATACCGATATCAGATCATTGCGACCATCCTCCAGATATCAATCGTCCATGTTCACCTCTGGCCGTCCAGCTTGCCCTAGACGCATCTAGCGCGACACCTAACACCACCTAACCCGCACGAGGCTTATCGGCCCCATTGGCCTTCCAAACAAACGTCAGTACATCATTTACTAACGTATTCTGATCACAGCACAATCCCCGCCAAAATGGGTTACGAAGATTCCGTCTACCTCGCGAAGCTCGCTGAGCAGGCTGAGCGCTATGAAGGTAAGTCGCTCTATACGAGGTCCAGCGCGTTATCGTGGGCTGACTTGTGGTGTTTACAGAGATGGTCGAGAACATGAAGAATGTTGCATCTGAAGATCAAGAGCTCACCGTTGAGGAGCGCAACCTTCTGTCCGTTGCTTACAAGAACGTCATCGGAGCCCGCCGCGCGTCGTGGAGAATTGTCACCTCGATCGAGCAAAAGGAGGAGTCGAAGGGAAACGCCGGCCAGGTTACTCTCATCAAGGAGTACCGCCAAAAGATTGAGGCCGAGCTCGCCAAGATTTGCGAGGATATCCTTGAGGTTCTTGACAAGCACCTGATCCCATCTGCCCAGAGCGGAGAGTCCAAGGTTTTCTACCACAAGATGTGAGAATTCACTCTGGACATCATACGTTGACAGCAGCTGACGCGATCGAACATAGGAAGGGTGATTACCACCGTTACCTCGCTGAGTTCGCCATTGGCGACAAGCGCAAGGAGTCCGCCGACAAGTCCCTCGAGGCTTACAAGAACGCCACTGAGGTTGCCCAGACTGATCTCGCACCAACACACCCAATCCGTCTTGGTCTTGCCCTGAACTTCTCCGTGTTCTACTACGAGATCTTGAACTCCCCAGACCAGGCTTGCCACCTCGCCAAGCAGGCCTTCGATGACGCCATTGCTGGTAAGTTTTGCTGTTGTAGAATCCAGTATCTTTGACGGTAACTAACACGGGAAACAGAGTTGGACACCCTCAGCGAGGAGAGCTACAAGGACTCCACTCTTATCATGCAACTCTTAAGGGATAACCTGGTTTGTTCACACCCATCCCTGCAGTCGTGAACTACCCCTAACGAAATATAGACCCTCTGGACCTCTTCTGAGGCCGAGCCAGCCGCCGAGGCCGCTCCCGCTGAGGAGAAGACTGAGGCTGCCGCTCCAGCACCTACCGAGGCCAAGGCCGACGAGTAAATTGACAAAAGCTGGCGTTCCTGATCGGTCATGCGGGTTACTTGTGAAGTAATGGGGTTGCTTTTAGCACGTTTTCGCATAACCTATTTGTCGACACACAAACGACGGAGCTTTTTGGAGGTTCATTCACAGAAAATCTTTGCGCGCGCTATACGTTTTTCTGATGGGGGACCCCTAACGCGTTCCAAGGCTATCTTTGTTACCTTTTTGGCCTCGTCTAGTTTGTCAAGAATAGAATTTGCCCCTGCACTGGCCGATGGCGTCTTCCACACAACCTTTTTTGTCGCTCTCTCTCTCTCTTCTCTATCTCTCTCGATCGATCAAGCGTAAACACACAAGACAAAGATTCCTTGATTTCTTTAATCTCCGGCGGGGTATAGAGGTCTTACTACCCAAGTGGGCGTCTCTATCTCACTTAGACAGACTATGAATAAAAAAAAGCATTTGCACGTTCAGTCGATGAGTAGCAATGATTGTGCCTATTGTGATATGTTTGTTGACACTTGAGTATGATGATGATATCATGCATGCATACAAACATGTGACTGGCCACCTCACGCGTCTCATCATCACTCAAGTTCACTCATAGCAGACAAACAATCACAACTTCAAACATAAGTAAATAGAATTCATGAATTTGTGCTTTCATTGATGTCTTCTCAGTTAGTAATCTCTATCATCAACCTCATCATCATTCATTCTCCAGTATAGTCCAAACCCAAACAAGAACACGCAATAATGGTTATTAGAACCCAAACAACACAACCCCCATCATCACAAACGCCCACCCAATTCCCAAACTCCAAAAGCAGAAAAACAACCAATCCACACACACTATGCTGCGCCCAAACGCAATAAAAAACCAGGCGCCCCCGCCCAGACATGGAGACGATGACTTATGCCTATGCCTATGAAACGCCCCTTTCTCTTATGCAAACTACCGACCGACCGGCTTGCGAAACGACAGACAGGAATTCGTATACACAAACAACAACAATGCAGTGCAAAAATCCGTCGACTTTCTATGCGGAACAAAAACTCCAGGGAGCAGATTATGCCTCCCTAACAATGGCGGACAGACGGAAGGCTTAGAGACCAGACGCCTTGCGCGTAGCAGCAGTCAAGCTGACGCTCCCCACGCGACCGCTGGCCTTCCGGACACCCGCGCGCGCTTTGTCGCCCATGAGCGAGTCAGCGCGCTTCGGGCTCCCGCGGACCTTCATGCCGATGGTCTGGGATCCGCTTCCGGACTTCATGCTTCCGGGCGTCTTGGGGCGGCCGCTGCCGATATTCTCAATATCGTTGCTGCTATCGTTGTCGATGGCGGAGTAGATGGTCGTGGTCGTCTGGCTGACGGAGCGCGCCTCGCTGCGAGCGGGCGAGCGCGACGACTTGCGCGTGGTGCGGACACGCACGTTCCACTCCTCGTCTTCGGACTCGCCATGCACGGATTGCCGGTGGATGGAGATCATCTCCGTCTCGCGCTTGACCTCGGTGGCTTCCTCAGAGCTGCCGTAGCTGCCCGTGTTTCGGCCATAGGGGTGGTGGCGGTCGTTGCCGCTGCGGCTGCCCTTTCGTGGCTGGCCCGGGGTGGGGGCGGGGAGGCAGTCTTCTTGGACGCCGAGGCTGTTGCGCTCGTTGTCGACTTCGCCGAGGGGAGCACGTCTGTTTTGGCTGCCGTTGGGAGGGGTGGCGACTTGTGCGCTGTTGAGGCGGAATTTTTGGGTCGCCTTGGTAGGGGTGCTTGGTGCGGCGGCCAACTTGGCTTTGATCTCTGACTCGATCTGGGCGCGCATGTCGATCTCGAACTGCTCGCGCTCCCACCACTTGCGGAAAGTGCCTTGGTTCAGGTGAAGCCAATGCTGTTGGGGGCCGACCACCATTCCGGGGCGCATGAAGCGCATGAATGCAATAATCTCGTTGGCAGTGAAGCCGTACCTGTAGATGAGGTATGCGCCAATGAGGCAACCGGTACGTCCAAGTCCGGCCTTGCAGTGAACTGCAATGCCCTTCTTCTTGACGGTGATGGTCTCGTGGGCCAGAGTGATGAATTTGCGAACAGTTGTCAACGGTGGGCAAGTGCCATCATCGAAGATCATGTCGAGGTGCTCGATACCGAGAGCCGTGAAATATGAGGGAGAGTATAGCTCCGAGTTTAGCCTCACGACAAGGCCAATCTGGCGCTCGGCGAAATGTGTGAGCACATTCTTAAATGGCTGGGGGAGTGTAGGGTGGGCGTCCACCTGGTCCAATGTCGTGGGAAGGGTGGCATACAAAGGTGATGACTTGGCGATTGGCGCCACAGGTGTATGTTGGGGAGAAGCAAAGGCAAGGAAGTCGGGAGTGAGCCAGTTGAAGTCACCCTGGTCCACACGCTCGTACCTCTCATATTCTTCGAGATCAAACTGTGGTAAGGCGCAGAAGCCTTCCTCCTTCGCTCTCCACACACCGTAAACAACATCTTGAACGGTGATTCCGTAATCAGCCTGGCTGTATCCAGCGTCGCGGAAAGGCATCATAGGTGGGTCGGCTTGGGCGATCGGCGCAAGAGCAAGATGGGGAGCCCATGACTGGATCAACACCATGTAGCATGCGAGCAGGCAAGCTGCATTTGCACGGCCTAGAAAGTTATTGTCAGCAACATTCCTTGCGATCTATGGAGATTCAACATACTGCGGGGATCAGCTTTGCTGTAGAAAACAACTGGCCTCGCCTTGTTCTCAGGCGCGCCGAGGATATCATGGAATTGGACGGCAAAGCGGTAGAGGTGTCCGATGTGCAATGGTCCGAAGTCGTGGTGGAAAGCATTGTAAAGCAGGGTATCGTCAACAGAGAAGTAGCAGGGTGGGTTCTGGTCCTTTGCCACTGGTTCCGGTCCGTCAATAGCTCTGGATGAGCGCTTTGACGGAGATCGCCTCGAGGGTTGTTTATCGTGGTATGGGAAGTAAGTGTCGGGACCTGGGGTAGATGTGTAGGATGCTAGGTATAAACGGTCTGGCAGAAACATTAGCAATGATTTGGGGCCTTGTTGTTTGCGCCCAGCAACGAGGGTCTCGGCGTCGGATATTGAGGGACCCATTTAAGACCAAACAAATACTTGGATAGTGAATGATGGTCCTGCAATACTAAATGGCGATACGGGCGGCGATATCCAACATGCTCCCGTGCCATGGTATCTACACGTCGGAGCGCAAACCACGGCATGGGAGAAATATGGCGCCGACGGCATTCCACGGAGACACCTATTGGGAAGGAGCGATTCTGGAATGCTTACCTGGTATATACTCAATGATCTGCCCATAATGGGAGCGCACGGTAGAAGGCATGATGCAGATTAGATTGCTGTGTTGGTAAACAAGATTCAAGGCACTGCGACTGCCAGGCTCTCTGTGTTATACGTTTCGTTGCTTGCTTTCAAACAGCAAGTGAGGCAGGAGCGACTCGCGTGTATAGTAGGTGCAATGGTCGAAGAGGAAGTATTGCTTTTTCTAGTTGCCAGGGAATGGCAGGCGTGATGATGTGGCAACGTGCTATTGACCAAACATTATCTTCGATATAGAGCAGGAATATATGAAGCTTGAACTCGTCGCTGGTGTGGGAATGAGACTCGTCAACCTTCTCAGTGTCGAAGGAAGAAGTATATAGCTGGGCGAGAGAGTAAATACAGGAGATCGTTGGTAGAAAGTCGGCTTGTTGGTATTTTGAAGACTGGACTGTACCTCTCTATTATTATACGAATAATCCAGAAGCACTGTTTAGGCCTACGTTGCCCCAATTGGCCATATGTTGTTGTTTACCCCCCGATTTAACCAATCAGAGGCCGGACTGCTAAGCGGGTGCGCTTGTCATAGCAACGCCTCTAATTGACTGGTCCGTGCCGCGGGGTTTTGAGCCGCGACGGACCTGCATTATCGACACCGACCAGTCGTCCAGGCTACGAAGATCCCTACATTACCACCCCGAGTTTCAGGCCCCTTCACATATACGCTATACTTGAGTTACTATGGCTGTCGCCGTGGACCCGGAGTTTCCATGCTCGCTGTAAGGCAGATCATGAACCACACTAAATAAAAAATATACTCTGACATCTATACAGCGTCATTGACATCCCGCTGCCGACTGAGCGCCTTGCTTCCTCTGCGTTGCAGGCCCTACAGGTTGACAAAGAGCTATCTGCCCTTGTATGCCGCACGCTGACTCTCGTTGCGCCGACGTCGGATGCGAAATGTGACAAGACTGTGCTGCGCACCGAATACAAAGCTACAACGAACAGGATGCTGCGTGTTGCTGTCAATGGCTTCATGGAGAGCTTGTCTGTGGCCCTGGCTATGATGGAGGAGTTGGATGTTGATGTACTGGACACATGAAACGGAGGGCTCTTCTATTGAACTCAAATCAGATCCGTGCAAAGGGCAACAGTTTCGCCGGAGAAGCCAAGTGGGCGCCGCCAGCACCGGCTTGCGGAATCGTCTCCATCCGGCATCGCCCTTGGAATCGATAGTAACAATATCTATTTGTTATACCTGCGATCTACCAAGGCAAGACTACAAATAAAAGGCGTTGTCCCCAGCGAGGAGAACGAAAAGTCTTGATATATTCTCAAGAGGCAACAGATCACATACTGTGTTTCAGAAAATGGTAGTCAGTAGCGAGCTACTGGACCGTTACAATGCATAGATAGGTGCACACAAAATGCAGTCTACCAAAGTCTAGCAGTTGCGAAACACAAATCACGTTCCAGCTATGTCGTGAAATGACTGTCCTCCGTAACTCAACTTGTAGCCGTGATGCCACAACCTCGAGACACAAAATCCTAGACGGCCGCCACTTATTGTACGAAGTGTGAAGTTGTATATATACTCTATGAGACGAACAACTGACACATACGACCATAGACTCAAGAGAATTGGGCATCCCGTCCGCTCTGCCATACACAAGCTTGAGATCGGTGGATTAGTAGTTGGGTGGGTGACCACCAGCGAATACCCACTGTTGTATGTTTTTTTGCCTCTTTTTTTTTTGCCATTTTTAGCTATGGAGTTGCAGGACGAGGGAGAGGCTGATTTGATATAAAGACGTATTCTGTTCACAAGTATACACATTGTCAAAGGGCAGTATTTTACAGAGGTTACAGTTCCACCTGTGTTGGTTTCCACAAAATAGTGTCAAGGTATAATTTATTTCGTTGCAATTTTTGTAGCAGATCATACTTTCGTCTCAAATCCAAAGTTCACACGCGAGCGTAAGGCATATGTACATTACAGGTATTAAAAAGATTCATTCCCCATCACGCTTACAACTCATCGTGCTCCTCAGCAGCCTCCTTGACGGCCTCAGTTGCCTCGGCGGCCTTGCTCTTCACGGCCTCAGTGGCCTCCTCAACAACCTCAGCAGCCTCCTCAGCAGCCTCCTCGGCAGCCTCCTTAACCTCCTCAACTGGCTCTGGGATAACGACGGAAGCCTTGTACTTGCCGTTCTCGGCGACAAACTTAACAAGGTCCTCAAGGGTACGGGCTCCAGAGTAGGTGATTGGGGCATCCTTGGAGCCGGCGGGGAAGAGCTTGATGGTAGGGAAGCCCTGGATCTCATCGGGAACGTCGTTGGCAGTGGCATCAACCTTGGCGATGGTGACCTTGGAGGAAACATCGGCATCGGCGGCGTAGAGGGCGGCAAGCTCATCGTACTTGGGAGCCAATGACTTGCAGTGACCGCACCATGGGGCGTAGAACTCAAGGAGAACATCCTTCTCGTTGTTGATGACAACCTCATCGTAGTTCAGGGCAACGACAACGGTGACACCCTCCTGGACCTCAGGGATGGGCTCAGACTTGATGCTTGGCTCAAGCTTGCCATCGACGAAGCTCTTGACGAAGGTGGTGATATCGGCGAGGGTGATGGTCTTCTCCTGGTCGAAGGGGAACTTCTGGTTCTTGGCGACCTCCTGGATGGCGAATGCGGGGAAAGAGTCAACCTTCAGGTTGAGGTTACCGGCGTGGGCACCGAAGGACTTGGCGTCAATGGTGGCGAAGTTAACGACACCCTTGTACTGCTCGGCAAGGGGCTTCAGGAGCTCAGCGAGCTCAGTGCGCTCCTCAGGGGTCTCGGCGAAGATGTAGGCAAGGGGGATCTTGGCCTCCATGTAGCCGGCGTAGGTCTCTGGGCCGACCTCACCAACAAGGGGGGTGGCGGAGGTCTTGATGAAAGTATCAATGTCCTCGGATACGAACTTCTCGGTGTAGGTGTTCTTGCCCTCGTCGAACTTCTTGTAGACGACAACGGCTGGGGCGGTGACACCCTCGGCCTTGGCCAGGGCGGCATCAGAGGTGGTACCGAAGAGGAAGCTGTCACGCTGAGCCTCCGCAATAGCGGTGAAGATCTCGGCAGACGCCTTGTCCTCGGCATCAACGTACGCAACAACGACAACCTTATCGGCGGTCTTGAACTCCTCAAGAGTCTCGGTGTCCAGAGCAGACACAGCTGGTAGGGATTGCTTGATCATGTAAGATGTGATCCTAAGATGGCAATTAGTATGCATTTCTGCCAGGGTGTTTATGAGAATGACTTACGCATCAGCCTTGCGAGGGCCAGAGTATGGGGCAACGCTCTCTGGTCCGCGGAAGACCTTGAGGGTTGGGTAACCCTCAACACCGTAGGACTGGCAGAGCTCAGCCTCCTCTGTGCAGTCAACCTTGACCAGCTTGATATCCTTCTCCTTCAAGGAGGTAGCGGCCTCCTCGTACTCTGGTGCAAGAGCCTTGCAGTGTCCGCACCATGGTGCAAAGAACTCAGCAAGCACAAGCGGGTTCTCGGCAATGAAAGCCGGGAAGGTGTCGGTCTTGAGGTCGTGGACATCAGACGCCGAGGCAATGGCAGCAGCGCCGATGAGGCCGAAGGCCACGTTCTTGAAGTTGAACATTGTGGGCGGTCGTTCTATTGATAATCTAGTGGGAACGAGAATTAGCAATGGTTCAACGTGGAGAAATAGGAAGCTTGGGAAGGTGGCGGGACTGGGGGGTCGGTGATAGCGGGAGTACCGCCAAATGGATGTATATAGAGGGGCAGAGATGCTTACCTGTTGGGTATTGATAGTCGTCTTCTTCTCGACTTAGCTGTGAACCCAATTGCAAGCTATGCAAACTTGCTTTTGACCAAGACAAATAAAGAAGAGAATGTGATTGTTGAATTGTAAGATTCGGTGAGAGGTGGAGATGTGGCTGTCTTTATCTGGGTATGGAGGCGGAACTCGCTAAGTGCTTAGAAACCTAAGAACAGCGTGTCTTTTGGAGCTATGTGTGTGTACGGTGTGTACGGTGTGTGTGAAGGTGTGCACGTTTGTCACTTTGTACATACATATACACTGGGCGGTACCTTACCTACCACAGTAGACCACAGTAGCCTTACCTTAAATCAGTCTAAAAGCAGGGATTCGGCAGAGGCGGAGGAGGCGGAGGAGAAGGCGCGACGGGATGGATTGTTCTTATTGTCTTACTCGTAGACAGTCCGGTGTATAGAATATAGTTTATAGAGGGAAGTATGTTATTGGTACCATTCCCACCATACCAGGGGGAGAACCCTAGGGGATTCTTGGGGAATGGCACTTGGAGAGTACACAGTCGACGACGCGGTACACATCTACCACAACCGCCCGCCTACATACCACACTTACTCAGTACACATATGCTCTAGTAGCAGTAATAATACTAGTAGTAACTATACCAACCACATCGTCGCGCCGTCGTCGCGGAGAAAGGGTCCTACTACTCTACATACTAGTAGTACTTACTATAGTAAATACTATACGGCGGCTAGATTACTCAACCCAGGCACTACGAGTAATCTGGTGCGGAGGAGTGCGGAGGAGGTACAGATATGCACATACATACATACACTACTTTATCTCCTGTGTGACTCCTACTATGCGAATTGGAATTGTACGACAATACACTCTGGCCGGTTCGAGGCAAAAGAATCTCATCAACGTCCATTCATTCTATGGCACCGCGTCCAATCGAACGAACACAGTGTACTCTTCTTCTATATCTATCCTTAGAGTCAAGTAGTATGATCCTCAGCCTCAGCCTCAGTCCAGGATGACAGTCACCATCCATCCACTGAGCTCTGTCCACTACATGGGTCACAGCCGATTGATCGACGGTCGACGGTCGACGGCTCGATCTGCCAGCTTGCCATTTCCCCCACACTCATACTCCATACAATCCATATACACACAACTGTAATACGGCACAATGGTCTGCTTCCCGCCGTATACCATACACTCCCCAGCATGCAAAGTAACTCAACTTACACCCAAAATTGTATATCCCATGCGCCTTCATGAGCCGGTGCACTGTCGGCTGAAAGGCTATGTGCATTGGCGTCTATTTCAGTTCAGCCACCGTATATTAACTTTGTCCGAGGACAGATCTCCTCACTACAGATCCACCTGCTGGACGGCATGAACTGTAATTCTTCCATACCGCTGTCATTCCCTCCTTCCTTCGCTCCTCCTTGGCTCCCTTGCCCTCAGCTTATTATCCACACGGTACGGATACTGGCCCGTACTGAACGAGTGCCCACGTAGTTACCCCACATCTTATCACCTGACTAGGTGGTGGCACTCACTCACTCTTGCTCAAACAGAAGCAGACATATTCAGACACTTTATGAGATATCTCCTGTGCTCTCATGTGTCAAGAGGTGTATGCTGTGCTTTAAAGATGCAACAACAAATTCTCAGCAGAGCAGTTGGAGGTGTGAAGTGGTGTGAAGTGATGCTCTTTTCCTCCCAAGAAGCCCACCTCCTTCTCCAACCAGAACAGAATTAGACTTCAATGAGTAGCACCTTCCTTACTTCAATTCTTTGGGAATCCAACGGCAACCTAGAATACTGTTCACCTCCCCTTCTCTCTTTCTCTTTCTCCTTTCTTCCCGCTTTCATTGCGTCTATCTCTGTGAACGCTAGTACACAGGCCGTCAGGTCGGTTTTTATTTCACTACTCAAAAGGTACCGGTTTGATATTTCTGCATTTCTACATTTTATCTCCTATGTCGTCGGATAGGCCCAAACATAGACCTCTCCATATGTGAACTCGTCGGCTTTATCTCGACACCTTCCATCGAAACTTCCACAAAGGCCCTCCTACTACCAGATGCAGACTTGCAGAGGGCCAAAATGGACGAAACAACTTCAGCAGAGCAGCGATCTGCTACCCAGAAGCTCCTCAATGAGTCTCGCCGGAATCAGCCTGGCTCAAAGGCAGGACATGAAGCCCATCGCCCATACAACCTCGCCATGGAAAATAATGACCCCCTCCTCATTCCCTCGGGGCTGAATAGCATGCTGAAGAATACTACCGAGACTGGTGACATTGGGATTTTCTCCATCAAACCATCTAGACTTCCTCGCCATCCTGCTATTACCAGGACGGCGGGCAGAACAAGGAGCAACGGCAGCAACTACCGCCGTGCGGAACCTCAACTCCCATACCATGGACCCCGGGTGTTCAGTTTGCCTTCCACTATTGATGACAGAAGTCGACTACCTTCATACGGCAGAGATGCCACGTCAGAGGTTGCGTCGTTATACGAAAACTCGAGTCAGAAATCCTCTGAAAGCTCGAAGATCTTGGAAGATCAAGACAGACGTTCATACTCGATGACCGTTTCTTCATTCTCGGGATATAGGCTTGCAAACCCTCATTCTTCCACTAGCCTCAGCGGCCAGATCGACCAAAATGATGCACAGCGGCCACGATCTTCATTCCAGTACCCAGCTAGGCTAAAAAGGCCTGGCTTTCGGCCCAGTTCACCCGCACTGACTGATGGGGGGGCAGTCGATTACAGACGCCGAGTTGAGATTCAAAGAGAACCCGGCAGTCCGAACTGCCAAAATGTATCACTGCGCCCCTTATCACTTCGCTCGAATGTAAACAGATCCACACCTATGGCCTCTGGGCAGGGTCTTTCGCCACACGGTTTCAACCGCATGCCAGTGATCCAACGAGATGATGCACCCGGCGAATGCTCGAATCATATCGATACACCAGAATCGCCATCAACGGCTAACGTGGGTGTGGCTTCCAGTAGCTATTCTCATTTACCCAGTCGCACAGCAGCTTCTGTCCCAATCCAAAATAAAGCGCGTCGCCCTTCCCCTTTATATTACGATTATACGGAAGACTTCAATGAAGCCAGGGAAGGGGATCATGCCCCAGAAGAATTGGAGGGCATTTCGCCACCATCTTTTCTTGTTGAAAAAACGATCCACGAAGATCGGGAGCTAAGCTCGGACTGGTCATATCTGGCTATGACTGATTTAAAGGGGCGTGGTTTCCTCGCAAATGAACAACTCTTATCGCCACATGAAGGTACAAAGAGTCTAAGGAGCCAGCCTGCTGATATTTCATATGTTGGCGGTGGCAAGCTACTACTACAAGATGACTCGGAGTCAGTGCCAGAAAATGCAAAACACCACAGGTCGTTGCCGGAATCAACCAAATCACCTGCCTTTAAACACAACGTGGGAATCACAAGGCCCAATCAAACCCCATCACAAAGCATCGAAACGAGCACCAGCACGGAAATTTCCAAGTCGAGAAACCTTGTTCGAGATGGGCCTCTCAGTTATACCGAGCCAGAAAGCCAACCCAAAGAAGTGGTTGATGAACCTACCTTTAGTGATAGTTCATCTTATGCCGTATCTCCACGTTTGCAGCAATTGTTTAGCCCTCCTGGCGGCCGCATTCGCACTTATACCGACTCCAGCTTGCCGACAAGCAGCCAAGGCGCTGCGATTCACGATATTAAAAGGAAGCCTCTCAGCCGTGAGGTATCAGGGGCAGATAAGACAGACAGCGACGAGAGATCTGGAAATAAGTTAGATCCGGTAACGCCAACACAAGCTCCACAAGGTCTCGAGACAAGAGCAACTACCCCTATTCTTCAACGCTCGGTATCAGCACAGAACAAACGCGACAAGTCAAGTCCGTATTTCCGAGCAAGGCCCAACTCGACATCTTCAACACAGCCGGATATAATACCAGAGGTTTCAATGTCTTCAACCCAGTCACGATATTTCTCATTTGATGCACCGAGTCAAAATTATGTCGAGTCGTCGGATGACAAGAGCAGCTCAATGCCTCTTCAGCGTTATAAACACTCCTTCAAGCATAGCCGGACGGAATTCCCAGCCAGAAAGTACAGGAGCGATGGCAGCCTGGTGGTTCCAAGTGAATTCACGTTCACTCAAGCTTCTGGAAAAAGCAACCAGCATGGGAATTCGGGGGGGTATTTGGACCAGGCTGGACCTTGTAACAAAGCCCCGCCTTCTGGAGGCCACGACGATTTTGGCACAGTCGGTGTTGTGTCTCCGATTCCAATTCACCCAGGCCAGCAATATTTGGACCCTCTGACAATGAATGATTCTGAGACGCAGGTAGGGCCAACAACACAACATTTCTTCTCGAAGTTTAGACTAAAGACGCGAGCTTCTACTGTTCGAGCGAAAGCCTCTCCTCCAGTTACTCGGCGACGGGATTTGGATGGGATCTATCCATTGGATGAGCGCCGGCGGGATGTCCAACTCACTGGAAGTCTTCGCAAACCTGTCAATTCAGCACCAAAGCTCAAACTGAAGGTTGCAAGAGCATCAGTATCGTCTTTAGGGACGGTGAGGATCAACAGAGAGGCTGCAGTTCAGGCAGATTTGGGAGGCCCGGAAGTATTAAGCCCCGAGGATTTGTTTACACCGCCCGCAAGGTTCGCAAGTTTATTTCGTCAGGTCAGTCGCCATTTTCGACCAAAGGACGAGTATGAGGAGATCAAAGCGCCAGAGGCAACTAGCGTTGGAGAACTAGGTGAAACCGGGCTCGCGGTTATTTCGAGTAATCCAGAGCAGACATCCGGTGCAGAGGCTATAATGAACGGCCCCTATCCCCAAATTCTTCCGAGGTCTAGTGCGTTCGTTGGTATTCCTTCGTCACCGTACCCTCTCGTATCTCGAGAGCCATCTCAAGATAGACGGAGTCCAGCAACCTCCCAAAGAGCCCGACAACCCCCACATGATGCAGCAGTCATTCCAGCTGATGTACAGCCGGGAGGAATCCAAAGCTGCTTCAGTGATTATGGTTCTCAGTTGGAGGGGTCCAGTCATCTGCAGGATAATATACCAAGTCTACGGGCAGAACAGTACAACCAACATCCCGGAACAAGAAGCAGACAAGCCTCCGTCAGCGCCCCGTGGAGGACAGGAGACGCATGGGATCAGTTCCAAGTCCCTGATTTTTCTGAGATGGATGACGAGTCTGAACTTGACCCTACTGGACCATCTCATAAATTGAAGACTACAGTTGGTGGCTGGTTAGAAGACATCAAGGCAAAGATGTTTAGTTGTGGGAGGGCTCGTCGTTGAGTAGGCTTATCCGCACAAACGGGCCACTACAGGAGCTAGTATTCTGGCCCGGTGTTGACTTATCAATCGACTCTATAAGCACACATTTGCCTGTATTATTCTTTTGTGGATTTGTATATCTAGAGTGCTCTTCAGACCGGTTGGTGGAAAAGGGGCATCTTGATAATGACCAATTCCGACCGCAATGCTTTCGTTTAGCCAAAGCCTCAAATGTTATTACATTAATATTTCTCGCATCGATCAATTTCCTGAAACGTAAATTATTACGATCAAGTTTATATGTGAATCTGTTATATGTGGACAGTATAGCTATCAGCTGGTATTGCAGGCGCTAATACAAGGGTTGAAGGTCGCACGGCGAGCATCCGAACCCACCACCGCGCTAACCCAACTAGCGGCTCGCTAGAAAATTTCTCAACGGTATATAAGCAACCGCCAACCTCGAACCTCTTTCCCTCTTCGTGCGGCGACCGTCTATTCTCCGTGTTGCTCAAAACATCCAGTAGCCTGCCAAGGTTCTTCGATGATGTTGCTTCGAGCGTCAAGACGGTCACAGAACAGACCCAATTGCAAAATACGGTTACTCGCTCACTGCGACCCGACGCTGATTCTCGCCCGCATTTCGTCTTTCGGGGCATGCGGGGGACGGGCTAGGGTTTGACGAGTTGACTGGACATCACATATTTTTTTCTTTCCATTAGTTTGGATTGTAGAGGGGATTTGAGAGTAGAGAGAGTAGAGGGGGGGTGTAGTGTGGTGAAGAATGAGATTATGGGTTCACTTGAAAATATCGACTGTTGCTCTCTTGTGTGCGGCTCAGTGGAGCGTTTGAGTGAATATATCGATTGAATGTTAATTTCAATCGATGGTACTGTCTGAAGGACTCGGCACCCGCTGGTGTAAAATCAATACTCTCGACGAACGCCGGTCTATTTTTATTCGTGTGAAGCGTTATGAAGATCTAGTTCCTTCCTGAACCGAAGACCCTACCCTTCCTTCCCATCACTCCCCCTGCTCATCTCCAATCTTCTCCAACTTCCCAAGTTCCCTCTTATCCCCCGTCTCCCCAATAAGTGCGATCCTATCGACCCTGACGCGCTCGCTGGACCCGTCGCCATCAACCACAAACACGACTAAGCTGGTCACGTTCTGGAACTTGACGAATCTCAGGACTACGTTCGCGGTGCCGGTGGAGTCCCAGTCCTTCTCCTCGAGGACTACGACTTGGGTCGCCGGGATGCCCTCTGCTTCGTCGAAACCGAGGATGTGCGATTTGTTGGTGTAGAAGTGTAGGGTCTTGGGTCTCATGGGGATTTCGTCGTCGTTGTCTGGGTTCGCGGGTGGCAGCGAGGTGATCTATCGGCCGGTTAGTACGGTTCCAGTAACTAGTAGGCAGGCACGAACCTGAACGCTGTGGATTTTCAAATTCGCCTGGAATGGCATGAAAAGCATCAGCTGCTCATCAGTATCACTCTCGACCCAGTCCTTGGTATCAGCCTTCTCTTTCCCATTGCTGTTGAGAGCGGTAGGCTTGCCAGTCTCCAGCAGGGTCCTAACAGTTCCAAACTCCCCATCCGAGTTGAGAAGCTCAAGCCCTTTAATCTCAACCTGATCCGTAACATCTCCATATCCCTTTGGCAGTTCGATCTTGCGCCACGAGCTTCCGCTGCCTGAATTCGAAGGGCCGGAGGCGTCGGTCGCCATATTCGCAAGGTCTCGGACTACGCGCTGCAGCTTCTGTACGTCTGCTCCTTGAACTTTCTCGACTGGCTTCCCTTGCTTGAATACCATAAACGTTGGCAGTCTAAATTCCGCGTCAGTGTGTGTGTGTATAGTCGGTATCGTGGGTTGGCTCACGCTGAGACGTTGTACTGCGCCGCAACCTCCTTCTGGGTATCTGTGTTGATTTTCACGAAGGTGACGCGGTTTGGCTGGGACAGGGACTCTGAGAGCTTTTCGTATATAGGCGCAACCTGTTTACAAGGTCCGCACCAGTCCGCGTAAACTACTGGGTGTCAGTATCGTGGTCTCGAATGGTGCCTGGTCGCCATGCTACTGCTTAGAAATTACCCCGCCATGGGGTTCAGAGGCCAAGGAATGGAAACTTACAATCGGCAACCACGACCGCTGAGCTTTTCAGCAGGCCAGCAAACTGTGCCGGGGAGCTTATCTGTATGGTCTTTGACATGGCGTAGAGCGCGTTGTGTGGTATATTGTGTCAGTACTCTAGAGGGGAGTCTCGTCCCAACCACATAAACACAAACGGAGAATGCCGGTAGTAGCGCCTACGTCAATGCACCCTACCAGCAACTCCAACACGAAGTGGGGAATTGCTATTCATATCTCATACAGCCTCAAGTATGGATCTTCCCCTCTCGAAGGTAAGGAACTTCGGAAATACAAATACTCGTACCAGTCACTTGTTACAGGGGCCTATACTATAGATATATACGTGCATTGTGGCCCAACACGACTAGAGGTAATAGTACTCAGTTAATTGATCGGAATTTGTATATATATTTAAATTTATTAAAAACCACATCCTGAAATAATTAACCTGGTAGTCACCCTGATAATCCAGTGATGGATATATAGTTAATGAAAACCTAGATCACGAAGCACGAATAATAATCCGAAAGTCATATATAAGTTGCAAGGCTCGTTGCTTGGATTGAATTGAGCGAGATATAAAGGCCTTCAAAACCAGTGAACAAAGTTCCACTATTCTAACATCCATTTCTTACATCATCGCTGAAGCTGCCGCTATCTAGATTATAGTCATACAAACTGGAAACCACGAGAAGGCGCAAGGAGGACGGGGCAACATGGTAATCTACTTCCTCCAGACGTTGCTATCAACCGTAATCTAAACAGTCGATCAATGGAAAGGTGCCAACTGAGCAGTAGCCTATCCAGGTTAACAAGGGCATCTCAGTTAATTATTCAGTGCATTCTTACCTGCGAACTGGCAACAAGTTCTGGCAATCGGTAGTACTTGCTATACGACGCATCACCCTTCGGATCTTGGCTGTCCTGGTCATTCTCTTGAACCGCGGGCTTCCCGCCATCCCCCGACGACCGAACGGACACGGGACTATGACCGAGTTAGAACATCTCTAAAGCATGCTGTGGTACTGAACTTACCCATTGATCTCGCGGTCAACTTGTAGGAACTCCTTCATTGCGTCCCTTGTCCCTCGCTGCTGAAGGTATTCCATATAGTAATGGCTCAAATCCTTGACGGTAGCAGTGGTCAAACGCGCCTTTCTCCTTATATCATCAAACACCTGCTTGATCCTGGTGTACTGTTCACTCTCTGAAGCTGTGCTCGTGGGTTGCTCTAGCTCAAACTGTAGGTATTTCTCCCAAAATTGGCGGCTGCTGGGATACCACTGTGCGTTGGTCTCGAAAACCTGTCGTGCGTCGGTAACTGAGCCGTTGATCTTCCACAAAAGGAATGCCCAGTCGACAACCAAGGCGGCCTTGGAATGTATGTCGATGGAAGGCGAATCAATCTGGTTCTTATAAACCTCAATAGCCGCCTCAAGACCAGACTGCCTCCTCTGCAAGTTCGCCCAAGAAACGATAGTCTCCACATTTCCAGGGAGTCTCATTAGAATCGCTTCGTGGATTTCCTGAGATACATCTGGCCGCCCAGCCGATTCTTCGAAGTATGCGTATTGAAGCCTGATCCCCGGTCTGCTGATGGGGACATAAAGGGTGCTCGCACGCTGGTAGATGTTGCGAACTTCCTCCTCCTTCCCATCCTGCGCAAGCATCCATCTAGCATATCTAAACCAGAATTCATCATAGAACGCGCAGGTAACCAAGCATCGCTCATAGAGGAATTGGGCTCTAACATAGTTTCCTTCCGCCTCCTCGAAATCAAGGTACTTTCGCCAGTTGACTAATTGATGCACATCGAGCTCAGTCACATGGAAGTAAGGGCGCTTAACTTCGGACTCATATGTCCAACGCTTCGTTGTCTCAGTTTGCGTGTTCGTGAAAATCGCCATATGGTCGTTATCGATCTTGGCGCGAAGCTCCCTTTCGACCTCGAGCTCCCCCTTCGGCGCTGAAGGATAATTTGACGCTTCCGTCATGATTTCCTCGCTGTACTTTGCGAGAACATCTGCCGGTAACAGCTCGGAAACAGGGCGAGTATGGGCGAGTTGACGGAACTTCTCAAAATACCTCGCATATTGATGCATAGGAATATGGACCACTCTGCTTAGAATGGCAAATATCTTGTCATGTGCCTCCCAGCGGTCCTCAAATTCCAGGTATTTATCCCAAAATGGATGTGCCAGAAAGTCTAAGCCAACACATGAGGCACCTCGCTCAAACAACCTGTGAAACGATGTTAGCGGAGTCTCCCAAGGGGGGGAATCAGGGTGCAAAGAAGGTGGTAGGGACATCAAATACGGAAAGGGATGCTGTGCTCGACTCTGTATCCCCAAAATCCCGAAGCTGGTAAAAAGATGATGTGCAAGGTGATACGACTTGGAAGCGAATAATAATGGCAGGAAAGAGATTTCCTGGTCCGGAGCGTGAGAATGATATCACACGATGGATATTTTAGGCACTCTCACCGTCTGTGAAAAGGATGATCCTTTCAAGCCCGTGTGGAATGTGTGATGGCATCGCTGCTGATGCGTGTGTTATGGGAAGGGGACCATTCATGTATACTTGCTTGTGTTATGGGAAGGAAAGCATCCATGTATACTTACTCTCTGGTGACATCAGGAACGTGGCTCGTCTCAACCTTGAAGGAGCAATAGTCTGTCCACAAGTCTACCGAGTTTGTGATGCTCGCGACACCTCGCTCAAAGACCTTGCTGTATGTTAGCGGGCTCGTCCTTTATAATTCGGAGCATTATTTACCATTTCTGCGGCTTCGGTGCCTGCGATTAAAAACTCGAGATCCGCATATTTCTTCCAATACCCAAAGAGTAATGGAAACTTCAGGAGGAAGCGGTCGTAGACATCTCGGACGGTGGTAATTGCTTGAGGACTCGAGTTGCGATTTAAGCCGCCTTCCAAAGACTCAGCAGCTCGGACAAGCTTCTCCCAGTTTTCAAAGTTATCTGTATCCTCGAGCTGTATTGTCGGCGCATATGTTAGCTTCTGTATCGCACAGCTTCCAAGGTAGTTGATCTACTTACGACTTCGTTATTGAGCTTCGTTATCTCGGCGCTCTCTTCCTCAGTTCCTCCAAAGTGAAAGTCAGCCATCGTTCGTGATGGCTCGATCCTCCGCTGGTATTTAACTTGAATAGAAGCTGCGATTGGGTCCCAACTTGGGTGTTGTGGGAATAAAGAAGGTTTCGTTGGTGAAATCAAGGTTGCTATCGAGGTTGCGCGAGTCGCCCAGACGACCTGAGGAAACAACCGCGTCCAGAGCCGAGACGATGATGTCTTGGCACGCTAGTCGTCGTTAAAAGAAGTAGCAAATATTTTCCACTCAACTTTCTTCCATCTTCCTGATACTATGGGCTGGTGATGAACGATACCCAGGTATCACCAATATAGGAAGAGAATGAATGCTCCAATGGAGCTTGATCTCAAAAGACCCCTTCTGAAGCCTCGCAACCTTCCTCTTTTCGTCATTCATTCCACCAATCCAATGGCTCAACCATTGATTTCGACATCTGTCAAAGGTGTTTGTGGGCTGGCCTACTGATCTATTCCAGATGAACATCACGACAGGTCTATACATATGGTAAGCTACTTTTTATTTTCTCTAATATTCTGCCCAAGCACGATTTTTTTTTTGTCGCGAGACAAAAGCAACATGATGAGAAATATTTATATTATCACAGACCTGTTCTGGAACAATTATGTGGATAACTAGGTACTTACTGAACTTGCATCAAACAAAACCTAATTCAAAACTACAAACAACGATTCTGAATTATTGCTAATCAATCGTTTTAGGCACTGTTACTTTCATGGCACAAAGTCCACTCAGAAAAACCTGAGTTTTGAAGCTTGGTGGTTCAATATGCGGAATCCAATTCCGGGATGACAACTACAATGGAACTGTGATGGTAATACCAGTTCTTTGTTCATCAGACGTGCAATTCAAACAGCACAGAAATAAATAATATCAAATATATTAATGTTTAAATATTGAACTGATTGACATCGTCGTTCCTGATTCGTGAAACCATATTCAATGTGACATGATACTCCGTCCTGCTTCCCAGGGCAAGATATCCATACCTACCCAGTCAACGCCAAAATCCAAACTCCCGCAACAAGTTAACAATACTAATTCCCGCTCGCAAACCCAGATATCTCTGCGCTATTCGTAAACTCGTAGAACCCCCAGCCATCCAGCTACGGATGCAGCCTCAAAGTCAGCGCCAACAAGCTCGCATAAGCACCCATACTCAGCGCCGTCAAGATAACCACCACCTCCCCACTCGTCCTGAACTTCTTCTTATTCACTCCATCATCCCCTATTTCACTGAAGAACTGCCTGTTTCCGACCCAGCGCCGATAGGCGCTGACAAGCACCACCGCCATGCCATAGATGGCGAAGAGGGCGCCGACGCTGTAGAATTCGGCTGTGAAGATCTTGAGGACAACGAGGGCGAATGTAAACTGTGAGACAGCTGTGCGGATGTAGGCGCCCTCAAAGGTGCGTTGAGCAGCGCGGATTTCGACGAGCCTGAGAGGATAATTAGAAAGGAGAGCACAGAGTTAACCGGCATGGGAGAGTTACTCTTGCGTGGTGAGGATGACCGAGCGGGCCCGATGTAATCGGAGGTGGTAAGTGTCTTCGGGATGTGGCTATGGTACATTAGTCAAAGGAACAGAGATCCGTTGGAGGGATAATTCTGCTCACATGGAACATGGTGTCGTTGGGGATTCAACTAAGTTGAAAGTTCCTGAAATGGCGCAAACGAGGCTAAGCCATTGATGTGAAGCTATCACAGGTGGGATTGATTGTAGATAAGGACTATAATTACGGAGCCTTATATTTAAGGCCACAACGTTAATACGGGACACTATCCCCAAAACTACTGTATGAGAATCACGACAAGGAAGTCGCGGATCCTACTCTGCAGCGAATAACAAAGGGAGCCTGCCGACTGATTACGCTAAGCTTCCCTTTAGCCATTAATTAGTGTGTTGGTCATTAATCCATGTGAAATAAAGATCTACGGGAAGCATTTGCATTGGCACGGTGTTATTCGGAGTCAAAAATGGTGATTTCGTTGGGAATAATATCCCAAGACCTTGAGTCTCACACCGACATTTAACAACGCCCACACGGGCCTACGTCGTTCTCATCACTGACCCATTGCTCATTATCCCCGACCTCCAGCTCGTTCTACCGCATGTTCTACTTTCAATGTCTTCGTTATCATTCTCCGCCGTATGTAGTTGGGAGCCTTGCTACTGTGGGCGCCCGGCTTGCGCTGTGTCGTTGTAATATACTGAATCATAAGGCATATTGTCGCCACCGCCCTGGGGATTGAGTGGCATGTTGGAATTATTTGGAAACCAGCTATTGAACCCCTCAGCGGTTGGCGCAGCTGAAGTTTTCATATAACCGTACTGCGGAACCGACCAAGGCTGCGGTGCTGAGGATGGCGGTTGCTGCCGAGGATCGGAGATGTGAGAGGATCCGATGGTTGGGCCTGATACTGCAATCGAATTTGGATCACCCGATGGGATCCCGTGCATATAGGGTGCCTGGGGCATGTTCTCGAGGTGCCCAAAAGACACGGAACGCTGGGGTACCACCCAGTTGAGCTCTTCTCGGGGTCCAGGTTCCACCGCACCTGGCGACCAATTCTGATGCTGAGGTTGATTCAAAGGTTGAGAGTACATTGGGAATGCTGGGGCCAAAGATTCTTGGGAATTAACGCGCCAGTAACCGGAGGCATCGGCCACGGGTCTCGATGAAGGTGGTGGTTTGGATTGCATCCAAGCCGCCGAATTAGGTTGGTATTCATTTTGCGCTCCGAAGACAAGGCCTATAAGAGTCAGGACCGAGGCCATCGGAGTCATATGGGTAAGTTTGGGAATACAGACCTCTATTTTCAGGTGGGAAACCATCGTCTTTTAGCCTTTTTAGATCCGAAGAGCCGAGATAAGGAGGCATGGCCATATTATTTGGATATGACAGTCCATTCTGTGTTTCTGAATTACGGCCCATCTGATCTGTAGGGGATGACGAAGAAGAAGCCCCGCCGACTCCTCTGCCGCCGGGTGCGCCACGCTGGCCCTTTGATTCGGGCTGCTGCGGCGGTTGGTCAACAGGGTAGAAGTTGCATTCCTTCTTCAGTCTGATGCAATTGGCGCATCGATTTTGGAGGTCTCCTGGCGCAAGAATGCATCTGATCTTTCTTCGACGGCAGTGTCCTATGGAGTGTCAGCGAATCCGTGGGCCTATGAGGAGAAGTTTAATAAGACAGAAGAAAAATAGGTGCTAACCACAAGCAACAGAAGTTCTATGGTATCCCAGCTTATTTCTCCTCTTCTCGGCCGATGCCGCCAAGGCTGCATCGGCTATCGCTTGATCGTGGATGTTGGAGGTTGACGATGACCGCTTTACTTTTCCTCCTTGGTCGGGCGCATGCTGATCGAGTTCTTGAGAGAATAGGTTGCTATCTAGCACTTGTTGCGATAGCTCTGGGGGTATTGTAGGTGGTATTTGGAAGGTGCCAATCGAACGTGGTGAGAGTTTATAATCCGCGCCGGAACTTGGTGGAGGTGGGTATTGGTACGACATGATATTTGAGTTTTGGCCAGCGCTCGTCGGCTGAGGCGATGCGCGGATTGTTAACCAGAGTACAGTTTTGGCTTGATGAGCTCATGTCCCATTCACTAAAGATCGGAGCAACGGGAACCGCAGTTATCGTCGTCGTCGTCCAGCTGAGTTGGCGCCTATGCTTTGATCCCCCCCACGGTCAACTATGCACGGGTCATAAGAAGTCCAGTTCGCATTGTTATTTAACGTGCTTCTGTCAGGGCTGTATTATTGAAATGGACGGGCAGGTGCAGCAGGTAGGCGCGGTTTATAACGTGGCTCCTGATCCAGCCTGTGAGCTGCGCTGGATACGCCTGTGGAGTAGTAAGACAAGTCGTGGCTGGCGCAGTATGCTTGTTGTTGTTGTCTGATTTCGCTTCGAGTCGCCCTATGGAACGATTTCGCCAGGAATGTGAGAGCGGGGCTATCGTTGTGAGAGGCCTTCGCTGTGATATTAGCACTCTCAATAGACTGAGGCGCTCGAGAACGAGGAAGCGCGGGGATTCGGCGCCACCACAATGAGTGTCAAAAAGCAAAAAAGCTGTAGGTGGCAGCTTTGCTTTGATCTCGACAGACTCGCAGTTTTCGCTATTGTCGCCTGTTGGATGGCGTCTCTGGCGACAGATTGCACGAGCGGGGCGTCACAACTGAGCCCTTTGTTTCGGTTTAGCCTTCAGCCCACGGATACGGGTCGCAATAGCGAGACTTTTTCCCCGGACGACGTCGCAGGGGGATTGGGGTTATGGAGGGACTGTAGCGAAGAGACAGGTCTCGTGGGGAAAGAAATTCCAGGAGCGAACAAAAGGGCAGGGTGTACATGATAATAATATCACAGACCAGAGAGCGCCAGAGAGCCGCCTCCCGAGGTTTGACCTATCATTGGGCGGGGTCAAGAGGTGTCACGTCTAAGCCATGATGCCAGGCATTACTCGAGTGGATTTTTTGGGATGGATGGGATCATGGAGGCGGTGGTGGCAAAGGTGGAGGAAGAAATTGCTGTGATATGCATGGCAGAGTGGTAGTGCTGTGAATCGAGCCTACGTCCACAGGTCGACGGGCCTTTTAGTCTTGCGCCACAAGATTGAATCCACCCTATGGACTAGGAGATGAACGACTAGCTCCAATGCTTGTCAGTGGTAAAAGAGATGAGATTACCTTATGCAGAAGTGGTTAAGTGGTAGTACTCTGGGGGGGCTGGGTCTATGGGTTGGAAGCATGTATGGGCTTGTCTCTTTTTTTCCCTATTCCAATGGACTTTTCCCTATGGGCTTGTCTGAATGGGCTTTGTTGTATGGGGCCTAGGTCTGTATTGGGGCTGGGTCTAAGGTCTAAGGTCTAAGGGCATGTCTACCTGAAGAGTAACGGTTGAGAGACATTGAGGGGAGAGGACATGAGGGGAAAGTTCATAGGCATTTGGTGGGATTTGGTAGTGGTTGGCTGGTGGGGGGGAGGGGGGAGAGGGGGGGATCGTTTGGGTGGTTTTGGGTAGTTTTGGGTGGTTTTAAGTGTGGCTTTTTCCGTCGATACTGCAGCAGTGAGCGGCCGCCAACGTGCCAACGTGCCAATGCATGTATGTACAGAAGCGTGTGAGTACTGTGGTTTTATTGTACAGGTGCAGTACCATTGTATATCTGCGTCTGTATACAAGTTGAACATCACAGAGGGGAATACTATAGTGGTCAGGCGTAAAGTACGCAATATTGAATAGCGTGGTACATTGACGGTTTGTAGTCGTTAGTAGTCACTACAGTGACATGCAGCATGTGGGTAGTGGGTTCTTATCTGGGGCAGTGCTTTTTTTCCTGTCAATACAGTCTTAGTCGGCGTGGTGGGCGTGGGCGTGGGTGTGGGCGTGGTGGGTGAGGTGGTCGTTGTCGGTACCCATAGAACGGTGAGGGGGCGCTATAAACGAGCAGTGGTTGCGTACTAGAAATTAACTAAGAGTAGAGTATGATTGACATGACGTGAACCCGCACATGATATTCAAACCTCTAGCTCTAGTGCTATACTGAAGCATATTACAAGTGGTCTAAAGTAGTAATTACCACTCCAGCGCTACTATAGCACTAACTAACTAACAGCTACCCAGTACCCAGTATCTCTCGCTTGATATCTATCCCTACGTACGTGCTATCCCTCCTATCCCTACTATCCCTATATCCCTACTATCCCTACTAACTCTCCATTACCCCTACTCCCATCCCTACTGCAACTCAAACTTGGATAAATGCTACTTTTATACATATGCCTGACTTCCTTATTTTATTTTCGGTTTTTTGTCTTATGGTGTCCTATGGTTGGCCGGCCCCCCTCCTCCATCCAATCTCCAATCGGTATGGCCAGCTAGTCTAAATCTCCACGTGTGACTGACGTCCCGGCACTTTCAGACGCATCCGTGACGGGGCCTGTTCCTTGCTTGGTCTGGTGTATGGTCTGGTGTAGCACAGTCTGATGTATGTATTGGCTAGATGAGATGGTCTGGTATGGTCTGGGTGGTAATGAGATCTGTCGTATTGGGTCTGGGTGTGTGTTCGGGTGTGTGTGCGTGGTGGTGGTGGTATGGCGCCAAAACAGCCTTTATTGTTCTATTCTCATTATTTCCCTCTCAGTCAATTAATCGAAATGCATATTGTGGAGAACGACATGTGCTGTGCTGTGCTGTGCGTGCGTGCTGGCTGGCTGTGCTGTACTATACATGTGTATTTTTTTTTATGTACGTATGTACGTATTTAGAAGCGTGTATGCATGAGTACTCGAGTGATGTATGTACACGCAATACAATAATGGGCGCCCTACAATAATACCAATACACAATACTATGCAATATTTGCTATTTGTTATTTGTTATTTGTTATTTGCTATTCGCTACGGCTATCTACGGGGACTGATGGCGGCCGGATGACCGAGGAAATAGAGAGGAGTGAGGTCAGTTTGGTTAGTCAGTCACTTACTCTCCGCATAGTGAAAAAGACAGGAAGTGAGGGGATAGAGACCAAGAATGTGTGTGTATGTAGCACAGTACTCCGGTCATGTACTCCTCTACCCTTTTACTGTTCTACTCCTCAACACTCTACTCCTCAACACTACTACTCCCGTACTCCTCTAACCTCTAACCTCTAACCTCTAACTTCTATCCTCTAACCTCTACTCTCAATTCTACTCCTCTACTCCGTACTCTACTAACTCCTCTCTTCTCTTCTATGTACATCGTATGCAGAGTTATGTATGTACAAATTCAATACTACTGCTACTTCGTACTTCTGGTGCTCTTCCAAAACACGCGGCCATGCACGCCCCTCATCAAGCTCCACGGCGGGAAACGAGTGGATGTCCACTAGAGTAGTCTACTGTAGTCTACAGTACTACTGTCTCTCCTAATATCCAGACTATACTACTTCCAGTACCATCTGCTGCGACGACAATACCCCCTGTTCCTTGTTCCCCAGTCCCCTGGTATTTATTGATCGCCATCTCTTACATCTCCCACATCTCTCAATCCACCTAGCCCCCCCTAACCCTCTCTAACCCCCCGTAGGGCCCCCTAGGACAAAAGGACCAACAAAAATCAGACCATAATACTAATCTCTCAGGCATTCCAACTGAACCCTATCAGACCCAACTAACCCATACAGCATATATATTCAACGGCGATCTTCCTCCAGATCCTCTATGCACATCTCACCCTCCCGTCTTTTCTCAGCTTCTCCCTCCCGTGTTTCTTCAGCTCCCCCCTGCCCAACCCCCCTCTTCCCCCCCCCGCTTCATTTTGACCCAGTGTCAATCCGCAGTTTTCTCGAGCCACGAAGATCCATTGTCGTCTTTTGTCCCCAGTATAATGTAACCGTCGTTTGGCCGCCAAGCGAACAAGCAGTTTGAATCCACTTATTTCACTCGTGGCCGAGGGATCTTTCCGCGTTTCCTCAACTAGAGTACGGCTATTCCTTCTCTATTCTATTGAACTCAATACTATACTCAAACTATACTCTGGCCTACTGTACTCTTCCCGTACTCTACCCGTACTCTACTCTACTCTACTATTAACTGTGTGTACATACTACTCTACTCTAACGTGAAGCGATAATGGGTTCCAGCCAGCTCAAACTGGACATCGGAAGCGAGCTGTGACGTTTGAGTACCTGCCTCCAATATTAGGTATTGGACCAGTATTGGACCAGCTTTCCACCCAAAAATGCAGAGGCTCTTGCGCCCGCTCTGGATTCTGTGGATTCTGGACTCCCTTTTCGCCCCGGCCAGCGTGCTACCGTATTGTATATTGTATGTATGTACATGCGCACGGAGTTATCCACTGTATTGTTATATCACCCTTCCCGAGCGTAGTAATCGTGGGGAATTTCCTTCTTGTGGTACCCGGGTCCTCGGTGACCCTCCACCTGAATCGTTCGCCACATGCACTCCGTACCAGCGAGTTGGCTGCCCCGTCTATTCGTTCCTAATTACCCGCAATGAATTGCCGCACCCCTCCATTGGACTTCAATCTAGGCTATTCCATTGGGCTATCCTGCTCGTTGTACTTTCAAAGGGAATTTTTGGCAGGGATGTGGGGGGGATATGTGGGCTCTGGTTGTGTGGGCTCGTCTCGCAATAACCCCGGGACGAAAGACTGGTCCAATCCTGGTTCTCCAGGAGATGGCTCCTGGCTCTAGTAATAGGATCACCAGAGGGATGTGACATATCCAGCTATACCTAGCCCAGCTGGCCATGCAGGCCCAGGCGTCACTCTCCATTCTTGTTCGCTCGTGGTACCATTGTTTTTCAACCAGTTGGGCCATCGCGCCCCCTTACAGAAGGAGCATTACAGTGATGAGCATCTATTTCATTCCCTCTCTGAGTTCACTTACATCCAGGAATTCGCCTCTTCCAAATTTCCCAAATCTTCTCAACACCATACAGCTCATCACATGGGGACTCCGCGGAGATACCGACATGAGGGGTTTACAGTGTCTTTCGTATATCTTTCCAATCGTGGATGTGCTTTCGGCGAGTATGGTATCATATCCCCTTCGCATATTACAGGATCTCAGGAAAGTATATGGTCCGCGGCCTGCCTGAGTCACGAGGTTTCTCCCCGCACAGTCCACAAACACCATAATCTCCCGCGTTCGTGTATAGACCTCCCCGACAAACCTCGCTCTGGCATTTCCAGACGTCAAGGACCATTTTTGGATCGAGGACATTGGCGCACACCATGCATGTAAGCGACCCGACACTGTGTTCCGCCGAACAGACAGGGCAGGCTGTAGTTCTTGATGCTGTGTCTGTGGATACCCCAATCGAAGGCTTTGCTCGCCGCTCCTGACTCAGGTTGGTTGATCTATGGGTACCTTCAGTTGGAGTTTGAGACATCGACGACTTAGTTGCGGCTTCTATCCTGACAGGTACCAGAGGTTTGTTGGTTTTTTTGCTGTCTTCGGCCACCCCGAACTTTCGAAGCTCAGACATCTCAACCTTCACATTGATTTCGTCAGGATCTTCATCGTCACAGACCCGAATCAATGTTCTCCCTTTGCCATCCAGTAACTTTTTGCCATCAGAACCCACCGCCTCTTCTGGATCCGATAGACCGGCTTCCCAATCACTTTCAGTCTCGCTCCCGGATTGCACGAGCTCATCCTCAGCCTTGACGTTTTCTGTCGTAGGAGTAAATCTTGATAGCGCCGCCATTGCTCTCAATTCTCGTCCGCGGTTACTGCCAGCGACGCGCGGGTTGCTGGCTGTCTTCTTCCCCTTCTCAAGCTTAGCCTTGGTCTCCTCGTCCGCGCCTAGAGCGACACCGTTGACCCCAAACTTCTTCGCAATCGTTCGTTCTTTCCGTTCTTTGTAGCTGAGTTTCGGCTTCGCGGTCCTCTTCCGCTTTCCAGATGATCTGAAAGTCCCGCCACAAAGATGTTCAGGCAAACTTTCCTCGCTCCCCAAACTTGCTTGGTCGTATTGCCCAGTTAGTAAAGTTCGGCCTCGACTCCACATTCCATCTCCAGTGTAGCCCTTCTGCCACAGCGCTTTTAGCTCAGTCGAGTATTGGTCTTTTACTTTCCAAAACGCTTTGGAATGGTTCATCTGCTTGCAATGTGCGAGCTCATGCATCATGACCATTTGTACAAACTTGAACGGCAGCCAGTGCCCTGATGGTGCCTTCAAGACAAGCTGTATGACCTCGCCTGCGTTGAAATTCCGCCCAAGAAACTCCGGATTGCACTTATGCTCTTCAAGAGACATCACGGCAAGATGATTAGATCGCATTATAGGTTTGCAACTCGCGGCGATGCGCTCGAGAAAGTCCTCAGAAAATTCCTTATCTGGGCCATCCAGTGGCTTTATGAAGTTGATGTGCTCATTAGGCTGTTGGCGACGAGCGTTGATGCGCTCGATACCGAGAGGCATGGTGGTGAGCAACTTCAGCAATGGCCATGAGGGCTATTACTTTAGTAGTGATGCATGATCGATAGATGCTTCGAAGCTGGCCACGAACGAGCTACAAGGCTGATGTTGAGGTCGGGAGGCAAATATGCGGGTAACTTATATCAGCACTCGCTTATCAGGGAGCCAACTGAGTCGACAACAAATATCGGCTCCGTGGGTGGAAACGTATAGCATGGACGGATAAGTCTCCTGAATAGGCACCAGCAGCCTCTGGTTCTCATGGAAAGCGTATTTATCTATTCATCCAATAGCGGTTTACATGTCACGTTTTCAAGCAGTTAGGCACCGGTCACGCGATTTCAAAAACGTTCGACATATCCCAGCCTGGTCAGCGTCTCTTGGCACAGATCGCACAACCCAGGGTCTACCATCCAGTTAAATAAAGACTCTCATTTCGCCTGATAATATGCTATCCCCATGGTTTGAAGCGCCAAATGAAAATGAAGCAAAGTTTCCACTCCCCTGTCCTTAATTTTAAACCACATCTCAAATACGGTGTTTTTCGCTCTCTGTTATCATGTTAGCTTCCATAGCAGTCAATGGAACCGAAGATATTCCTTACCTAATCTGGAGTAGAGCATATACAGTGCCATCTGGTTGCATTCGGCAGTTCCAGTGATCGTGACAAGCCTCTCGTTGCTGTTATCTTGAGGCTCGTTAATTTTGATAACACTTCCACTGAGTTGGCGTATTTCGTTGATCTTAGCACCACCCTTGCCAATGATAGCTCCGACCATATCATTGGGGATATAGATTTGCTGCGTCAAGGGCTGGCCTGGGACAACACCTTGCATTGGCTGAGCTGGCGGCCCGGCGTGAGAAGCTGGGCCACCATGGCCTACTTGCTGTGGCTGCTGTGGTGCTACACCATACCCGGCAGCGGGGGAACCGCCGTAGTGCATAGACGCGCCGGCTTGCTGTGGGCCTGGGCCTTGAGCATAAGGCTGTCCGTACTGGGCTGCTGGCGTTTGGCGAGATCGGATGTCATTGTGGCGGACGTTATCCGGGTGGCCGTAGTTACCCCCAGCAGGTTGTGGAACATAAGGGACAACTTGCATTCCACCGGGGATCACTCCAGCCGGGCCTCCGCTACGAGTGGCATATGCTGAAGCTGTCGGTCCTCCGAATCGTTCAGTCAATTGCTCCAAAAGAGTGCTGGCTACATAATAAGTGGCGATATGAACGGCATCGGCAACGCCAAGGACGACGACGGAGCGTTCAGTCGAAAGAGGTAGGCATGCATCCGATGCGTTCAGTCGTGCCCCTGACTGCTCTTGGATTTCTCTAATTCGGACACCACCCTTCCCAATAATCGAGCCGATGAGAACATGCGGAACAAGAAGACGAAGCGGGTATGTCCTTGACTGTGGAGTTGATGGCTGGTCAAGTGGTTCGCCATTTAAGGTGCGTATAATCAAGCCGAATGCCTAATATTAAGTTAGAAGTGTAATAGTTTGGTGAAGGGTGGTAATATACCTTTGCTGCCGCATCAACCACGCCGCTGACAGTCAGGATTCTCTCCACGGCGCCTTTTTGGTAGTCACTGACGGTACATTTGGCGCCAGACATCTTACGAATAAGTGTCACATTCTCTCCTCCTTTACCTATGACAGTTGCGGCCTCCGCACTTGATATAACGGCGCGTATGTGGATCCAAGAACTTTCATCGTGCTGGAGTGCATTTCCAGATGAACCTTGATCTCCTGTAGATGGGATAGAACCTTCAACAGTACGAGTACCATCTGGCGCATCGCTCACAACAACATCGCCTTGTGTATCCTTGGACTCAGTTTGAACGCCATTGGTTGAGTCACCACCCTCAACCTTAGCATCACCCGCTTCATCTTCTAAGGCCTTTTGTCCCGCAGTCTCATCGATTTCTTCCTTCGTAACTTTGTCAAGGGCCGGGCGTTTGGCATCTGGTTGATCAGTGGGGCCGGATGGGGAAGATGGATCTTCCAATGGGCGCTTGGCTGACTGGATGGGGGTGGGTGGTGAGGCAGACATATTGATTGATTTCGCTGCTTGTTAATCTTTGAATAGCTCAGGATGCGGTCGGAAGGGAGGTCGGAAATAATTAGTCTTGTATTGATCGAATTATGTACACCGTGGGGATGCTCGAAAGGAAACGTGCTGGTGCTGGTGCTGGAGCTCGGGTGAGGGGAGAGAGCGTGTGCTTGGACGGAATCTGTTGAGAAGGGAATGCGATGGATGGAAAGCAGCCAGGTTCCGTGACGGATCTGTAGGCTTGTGTGTGATGGGATCTGTGAAGGCGGAGAGCAGGTGAAGGTGAAGGTGAGTGATGGATGAACAGTGGTTTCAGGTACTTTGTGAAGAAAGCAGATTGAGAGACCCAAAGTCAAACCTCTAGATCCTCCAATGCTGAGATGACCGGACCGAAAGTTGCGATTGTCGAAAATATCCGTTGGGTTAGAGTGACGCTCGAGGATATATTGCCGTCAAATTAGGGATGACAACGACGGTCAAGATGCCAGGAAGAGGGTTGAAAAGTTGGCAAAAGTGGAATTGCGCGTGAGTGCAGATGTAGATAATACGCGTGGATGTCGAGAAGCTGGTCGGTCTTTCAAAAATAAGCTAGTCCATGAACAGAAGCAGGGAAAGACACGTGATATAGAGCCTCATAAGTTACCTTGGCATCATAATGACGCCGACAAGGCTTTCAGCACTTTAGGCAGTGATCTCATTAGGAGTAATATTTGCCTTCGTGATATATATTTCTTATGAAAATGCCTGTAACTTCGTCTTTTCCTCTGAGAGTTCATATCCCCATGAGATCCCACTACCGGTAACTGTACAGTATAAACGTGATATACGAGACAGTATAGTTCAGACAGTTGGAATCATGGCATCGACAAGTGGAACATACAGGCCCAGCAATCATCATGGTCTTAAGGAGGATGGAACTCCCGATAAGAGAATGCATAGCAGTGATACGACATATAAGCCGAGCCATCATAATGGCCTCAAGGAGGACGGCACTCCTGATAAGAGAATGAATACAGGACGTGAGTATTTTCAACACCCTCCGCCTTTAGTGCATACTTCCGTGCATATTGTCACCCGCAGGCTGTTTGCTGATCGTGGCTAGAATTTGCGCATGGTAAAGTAGATCCTCACCAGGCTGGCCAGGTCGGAGGTCACGCTGGTACTACCAGTACTGCTGCTGGCGGTGATGTTTCCAGCAACAGTGGAAAGTACAAACCGGTCGAGCATGGTGGCTTGAAGGCAGATGGAGGCAAAGACAAGCGTGTCGGCACTCATGGTGCGTTTTATTTTGTAACCATCTGCATCAGTTCAATCTTAACTGACGTCCGTTTTAGAGTTTGCCCACGGAAAAGTTGACCCACACCAGGCAGGTCATGAAGGTGGCTCCAAGTAGTTTATAGCTCTGCCCAAACGTCTGTATATAGTTGAGGATAAATGCTAGAAATTTAAACCGATAGGATTCCTCTCTCTTGGTCTATATGACAATCATAGTCCCCAATCATTATTATACTTATAGTTGCGATAATTACTCGTGTGATGCACAGTCTGTTTAGACTTTTGGGCCGCACAAGTATACATATGCCAAGCAACTTGAGTTATCAGCACGGTTCTAGTGTGGGCACGAGTACCTACTCTTATTTACAAACCCCAGTCCTCTCTCTGCTGATATGATCAAGTCTTTCGAAACATATCCGAACTGAGTAGGCTCCCAGTGAATATACTCTACACCCAAGTACTTCACTTCGAACGAAATTAAGTGTCGTTTTACAAGTTGGGGTGGAATGATATCACGTGATCAAATATTCGCATTTTCATTATGAATATTTGCCTTACTTTTGAGGCATCGAAATTGAGCCTGGAATACCTGGGTAGGCGCGTTACTACGCGCTTTATGTGTGGTGCCTTGGTGGCTTTTATGCACAGCAAATCCACATATGACCGAAATGGAGAGCATACCCAACTCTCGCGCAACCAGCGCCCATGTAGCGCGATTGGATAGGACCCTGAAGGATCTCCAGAAGAAGGTGAAAGAACAAGAAGAAGCACTGAAAAAGGTATCTCGGTGTCAATTCTGTAAGGGTATTTCGTGGCGTTGACGTGTAGTTAGCTTCGTGCCGCTGGGAAACCAATCCAAGAACAACCCGACAGCAACAAGGACATTCAGTTGCTTCAGATCAGCAAGATAAAATCTACATTTGACGCCCTTACTCCTGTAGAACCATATGCCCCACTTCCTGATTCACCACTACCATCACTCCTTGCGCTCCGGACAACACACAGCACAACCAACGAGGCAAAATCAGCCCTTGTCATCACCAAAAATGACCTCTCTCACGTGGAGGATTTGCTGCGAAAGGAGACGGCCGATTTGGAGGACGGAAGGCTTGTCGAGAATGCCCTTCAAACCCGTATATCTGCCCTCGAGACTGCAATAGAGAAACATGTGCAGAAACCGAAGGCTCAGGTAGCAAAGGACATGATGCGAGGCCTAAAAAACAAGAAGGCACGCTACGACATGGGCACGGTTATGCTCGTTAAGTCATTCAACGAATTCATTGACGATCACTTAGCCGTAATGCTTGCGGCCGAGGAGCTAGGTGGTCCTGTTGTTGGCGAGCTGCTCGACATTGACGAAGCAAACCTGGAGGCTGGCTTCAATGCGCAGGGAAAGGCCAGAAAGCCAAAGGACCCGTTGAGTGAAGTTGGACGCCAGAAGCGAATTGACGAGATCTGGAAGCCGCAGCCGGAACGAGAACGACGAGCCCAGGAGCCATGGAATGAAACGACGGCGGCAGCGGCGGAGATGCGAGAGGTTACAGAGCAGCTGTTAAATAATTTGGTGGAGGCAGATGGTGGGATGAATGGCGGGTACGTGGAACTGGACAGAGAAAGTGCGGCAGCAAGATTTTTGGTCAGGTCTAGGGTGGCACAGTTTCATCCAAAGGATGCGAGACGTTTGCGATTGATTGATTTTGGCAAAGATTTGGTCAGCTGAATGCTTCAAAGTTGGCCATGCATAAAAATCCAATTTAGAGCTATGCATGCCCCCAGGCGATAGTTTGTTGCCATATTCTCTATCGCTACCACGTTGGAGAATGAAGATTTGTACAAACAATCGATCGCCTGAGATATTGTCCTCCTATAGCATCAACAGTGATGTCTCTAATCTATATTACCGCCTCTCAGAGCCTCTAATCTATGTGGTCGTTTCTCAGTGCAAACAAAGCCTTCACCACCTCCTCGGTTTTGCTTCTTATAGCATCGTGGTACACGGCGTTTGTGATAAACTGTTTGCAGTTCTTGATCTTCGCCACTGTTTCTTGAACAAGCCCGAAATCGACATACATGTCGTCGACGAACGTCGCCGCATAAACCGGCACCTCATTCCGAGCCAACTGCCATTCATCGTATAAAACTGGCCACCCATCATAGTCGGCGATGAGCTGCGCAACATCCTTCAGCTTTGCAAGCTCTGGGTACGTCTCAAATGTGAAGGGATAGATCATCTCGCCCGAGAAATGGAGTGGATTTTGGCGCACTGTTGCGGGGCTTGACGGTGTGGAGAACATCCAGTGGTACTCAGCGAGGGACTGTCCCACGCGGTAAGCGGCCCAGTCCGAAGCCCGACCTTCGCAATAGATCGATTCGTGAAGGATAGCATAGATAATGTTGTCATCGAATCCAACGAGGCTTTCAACGATTGATAGAGTTGGGCGAGTGAAGAAGGTGAATTGTGAAAGATCCGATCGCATGCGCATAATGATGCCATGGAGGGTGTCCACGCCACCATGGCCACCGAGGAGTAGTCCAAGCATTAAGAATCTCCGAACAGTTAAGGTGCCCCCACCTGGTAGGCTTAGCCCATTTTGAGACTTAATATATATTGCCAGGTCGTGTACGGCCTCAATATCCTCTGGAAATTTTTGATAATACGCCTGGTTTCGCTTGATTACCTGAGCGAAGGTTGCTTTGTAGACCTCTTCTGGTGATTTTCCAACAGGTGGGATACCACCGGAAGTAAAAACCTCCCTCAATCCTTGTGGAAACTGTGAAAGATAGGTAACAGCACAGAACCCACCAAAACTCTGGCCAAAGATAGACCATTTTTTTAGCTCAGGGGGGTAGTCGGCAGTGAGATTCTTGCGGACTGCTTCACAATCTTGAACAATGCTGTCAGCCCTGAATGCCTTCAGATAATCTGCTTGTTGGTGCGAGTCTCCCTTCGTGGCTAGAGTAGCAGCAGTGATGGTGGAACTAAGCCCGGTGCCCCGCTGGTCCAGATAGAGCATCTGATAGCCTTGCTCGAGGACAAGATTTGTCACCGCCATCGATTGAGGGGCGCTGCATCCAAAGCCAGGACCGCCTTGGAGATAGACAAACCATGGCTTTTGCGACTTCTTCCGAAGTTCTTCGTCACTCAAAGTAGCAATTGTTGGTTCATGTTTGGTAACACTTCTCCCGAATAGGCGTATGGTCTCAGAGGAGCTGCTTGAGTAGTTCAGGGGAACATCGAAGAACAGTTCCGTTATTTTCAGCTTGCCTAGGATACCGTTAGTTAATTGGATAAGGTAGGTGGTTTGACTGCTATATAATAGAGACCTCACCAGGAACAATATGAGATCTGCTCTCGATAAGTCTAGCAGCCATGTTTACGTGTCGTTGGAAGCTACTCTTCTTGAGCAAGAAGTGTAGCGTGTGTTAATACCAAGGTACCAAAATAAGTTGTATCCCTCTTGTCACAGTAACCCTGTTACGTATATGGGATTGTTGATATAATGCAGGTTTCAATAGGGATAGAAACAGGAGGTGGGTTTTTGATTTTGGTGTTGAAGTTGAGTACAGATGTACAAAACGCGGGGTTTTGGCGGGGCGACCATTTGGTCTGATTTTGTGATGTTTTGGAATAAAGGTTGGTATGGTAACCCGCAGCTTCATCAGTAACTCACTCGTAGTCGTAGTAGAATATTATTACTTCTTATATTATTATTTATATTATTATTTACTGCACTGTACCCCAGGTCGTTCCTCTACAATAGCTGGGGTAGATGGCCCGCACATGAGTCCCTCGTTGTTTGTCCGCCTTCGGCCCCCTGTCCAGTTCGCACTACTAGTCTACATAGTCTAACGCTTAACCTTGAAGGATTTGACAACGCCCCGCGTCAAAAGCCCTAACGCAATATATTAGCCTCACTACGGACTCGAGGCTGAGAAACCGTGAGAGGTAAATAATCAAATTTTTGGAAGCATGGCTAAGGACAAGAAGTCTAAATCCGACGGGAAAAAAGCCAAATTAGAGGAGAAAAAAAAGAAGCAGGTTAAGAAGGGCCAGAAGAAAGAAAAGGCGAAGAATGCCAAGGCCAATGAGAGTGATGCCGAGGATATAGATTTGGACGCTGTGCTCGCTGAGTACACCAGGCAACAAGAGCAATTTCACAAGGTCTCTGAGACAGCTTGTGAACCGCCCAGATCGCGGGCTGCCGCCACCATCATTCCATCGCCGGCGAATACCAACGAATTATTTCTGTTCGGCGGAGAATATTTCAATGGTGCCTTAGCTACGTTTTTCAACGATCTTCATGTATATCTCACTGATCGAGACGAGTGGAGGATTGTGACGTCTCTGAACACCCCTCTTCCCAGATCCGGTCATGCGTGGTCTCGAGGCGGCAACGCCGGTGGAGTTTATCTATTTGGCGGAGAATTCTCCTCTCCAAAGCAAGCGACGTTCTACCACTATAATGATTTTTACAGGCTGGAACCGTCTACGCGTGAATGGACGAGGCTGGAGTCGCCAAAAGGTAAAGGTCCACCGGCAAGAAGCGGGCATCGTATGACGTTCTACAAGAACTATATCATTTTGTTTGGAGGCTTCCAGGATACGTCTCAGCAAACCAAGTATCTAGCTGATCTCTGGCTTTATGATACCCAAAGCTTTACTTGGCACAATCCGGTTTTGCCACCGGCCTCCCAGAAGCCTGATGCACGATCGTCGTTCAGCTTTCTGCCTCACGAGAACGGCGCCGTCCTCTACGGTGGATACTCCAGGGTCAAGGCCACAGTTACAGGAAAACAAACGAAAGGAGGAGGCCAGGTCCAACGAAATGTTCTGAAGCCGCTAGTCCACACCGATTCATGGCTATTGCGCGTCGTCCCTCCTGCCGCTGGTAGTGCTCCAAAAACGCCTCCCAGTGTACGATGGGAACGACGAAAGAAGCCTGCAAATACGCCGAATCCTCCCCGGGCCGGGGCGACAATGGCGTACCACCAAGGCCGAGGCATTGCATTTGGTGGCGTTCACGATGTGGAGGAGAGCGAAGAGGGTATTGATAGCGAGTTCTTTAATACTTTATATGCTTGGAACATTCAACGTAACCGCTACTTCCCTCTTACGCTGCGTAAACCGCGCGCTGCGAAGAAGGTCAAGGTGGCGGAACGCGGAACCAGGCGAGGCAGGGGGCAGGCGAATGAAGAGGAGCTGCTACGAAATCTAGCAGCGATCGAAGCCGGAAAACCGTACGAGGACGCAGATGACAAGGAATGGGATCTTCCCATCGAAGAAAAAGAAGGATCTGATAAAGTTGTTAAAGAAAACGCCTCGGAGTTTCCACATCCAAGGTTCAATGCCCAGCTTGCAGTTCAGAATGACGTGCTGTACATCTATGGTGGCACTTTTGAGAAAGGAGACCGTGAATATACCTTCGATGAGATGTACGCAGTCGACCTAGGAAAGCTAGATGGCGTTAAGGAGATCTTTCGACGTGAGCCGGAGAACTGGCAAGGAAGTGAGGATGGAGATAGTAGTGAGGATGAAGATGGAAGCGACGACGACGACGAGTACGACGAGGATGGCGAATCTGCAGATGAGGATGCAGATACGACGGCTCAGGAACAGAAGCCATTGCACAGCGAATCGAAACGGAAAAGCAACAGGGCAACAGCTGATGACGACGCAAATTCAGCACCTGTTGAGCCACCAGTCGAGGAGGAAGTAGAAACCAGCGCTCCAGTCGTGGATGACCCACGGCCCCATCCACGACCATTTGAGTCTCGTCGCGAATTCTTCGTGAGGACGTCGATTGAATGGCAAGAATTGCTTATGGAAAGTCTGGCGAAGCGTGGCTTGCAAATTGAAGGTTTCTCTGCCAAAGAGATCAAGACCAAGGCATTTGAGATGTCTGAAGAGAAATGGTGGGATAGCAGAGAGGAGATCACAGCGATGGAGGAAGAACAAGACGCTGCTGGCATTGGAGAGGTTGTTACCTTAGCTGACCGTGGTGATGCGGCAGCCACAGGTGCAGCAAGACGGCGATGATCCTTCAAATTTAGAATAACGATGGCATGATCAAATAGGGGTATACTCGGCAACTTTTAAGACTGGTTATGTTTACTGCATTGTGCATATCCCCTTGTTACGACTAGTAATAAAGTTACGAAGCAGTCAATGCATCACCAATTCCACCCCGAAAAAATATTGAAGCAAAACACCTATTCAGGCGCTACATGCCTTGGATCCAGTAGAACACATACGCCTAGTCTCCTAGTCTCCCGTCTCCCTCTCATTATAATACATTTGGTGATTTCCACGACCTTAGGTGTCCAAATCCATCTTCTCCGCAATAGCAGAATCGGCGCTCTCCAGTTCATGGACAGTAACATATCTGCTGATATCCTCCTTGGTGGTGATCTTTTCGTTGAGCACTGCAGTCGTACCCCGCTTGAAGACATAGCTCTTTTGCTTTTTACTCCGCTCGTTCGGCTTGATGTAACCCCTCTTGAGCGTTGTCATATCCTTCTTAATGACAGCCACGTCAACATTTGATCCAGAGCCCAAATCGTTGAAAATACCAGCTTGAATGGCATTTGATGCAAGCTCGATCGCTTCCTCCTCGGTTAACTTTGACTTCCACTGCGTCTCGAATACAGACATAGCCGCCAATGACCCACTGCCCATAGTCACGTAGGGGAGCTTGTCTGTGCTACCATGTGCATGGACAGTGTAAAGGCCGACGCCAGTTGGGTCAACGCCAGCCACAACCAAGTATGCTCCAATGTGACCCTGGTACTGGAATAGGTGCTGCTTCAGCATTGTCATGCATGTAACAACACGAGGCTTACGGCCGGTCGACAGAGAGTGTAGCTCGAGTTGAGAAGAGATAAGTGAGGTAGTGAATTCGGTATCAGCCGCCGTACCAGCACCGGCGCACCAGATTTGAGGTGCGATGTAATGGAGTTTTTCGCAATTCTAGTTTAGAAGTCAGATAATGTTTTGAGATTGGCATCACCACTCAGGTCCGTCCGTACCTTGTCCGCAACTATGGGCCCGGATGTTGCTCTCGTATCGGCTGCGATCTAATGAAGGTTCTCGTTAGCAAGTGAAAGGGTGCTTGCCAATGGCATGATAGTGTCCAAAGGGCCGGTCGTAGGGCTTCAGTCCAAAGGGTTCAACTCACAACAACGCCTCCTTCAAAGATGCATCCCACAATTGTGGTCCCCGTGCTGGTTGCTTTTGGAAGTGGCACTCCTCTTGCATGCAGGGCAGCATTGCGCGTGTGGTTTGAGAAGTCGAATCCAGGCATCGTGACAAACGAAGCTCCGTGGAGTCTTCTTGTGTATGAATAATGCTCCGACGGAATGTAAAAGGCAGAGAGAAGACCTTGGTAGGGTGTAAAGTGTTGTAGTCCTCTGAAGAGCAGTGTGTTGGGGTTGGAATGAGAGCTGTAAAGGTCATGAAGCTGACGAGGTGAGCTGTAGCCTTGGTCTATTCACCCACCCATTCTGGCTTAGGTCATGCAGCTTGACGCGACAGCTCCACGAAACAAGTAGTCACGTGGAAAATATATTTATGGTTTACTGACAGTAAGACCAACCGCGAATCAAGAAATCACTTTGCATTCAGCGTGGCCAAATACTTTACATCAACTACGGGCTCCTACACATAATTTCCATGAGGTTCCGTTCCCAGCAAACCTCTGTACGTTGATGGGCGCGTCGCAACCTAAAATACACATACGATTCTTGAAAGGCCCATCACTTTCGTTCGTCGAAGCACTATTTGAAACCGCGCCACATCGCGACCAAATGCTCAATTTGCCGTTAAGCAACCAATATACAAGCACGGAATAGGATCACTTCTGTTGTACTTCGCGACCTGCGCGAATCATGGCTTTCAGCTTTGGAAATGCCAGCCAGACGGCCTCTGGGTCGGGGCAGGCCCAAATCGGCCCTGATCTCCTAGATATTCAGACAGAGGTACGCTGAGACCAAAGGATGCACTCGTTATTTTGACTTGTAAATATGCTGACAAAATAGGCATTGGGCTTCTTAGCTATTGCTGGGGAAGCCAAATTACAGCTGCTTCCGTCCCCATGGCCGAGCACGAACCTGCCGCCACCTACCTCATCCCTCATGAGTATCGCTCCGAAAAAAGGGCTTGTTGCCGCTGCAGGACCAGATTGTGTTATATTAGCGACGACAGAGTCAATACGAAAAGCATACGAAGGACCACGGATAGGCGAAAGTCACACTCGCCCATTTCACGCGCAGTTGACACTCCCGATGCCCATGAGGCTCTCCCAGGTGACGTTTACAGCCGACGAAACGTACCTGGTGTTGTCTGCTGAGGTCGGAGGAGGCTTGGCTGTCTACGAGGTCCAAAATCTTATGAACGGGTCCCAGGCGTCCTCTTTTGAAATGTCTACAAACTCGGCCCCCCTCCGAGCCGCAGTTCCAAACCCAACACCCGAAAAGGGTGAACTCCTGGCCATTGTTACCATGGACGGCAAACTCATGGTAGCTAATCTGAAAGAAAGGAATTTTATATCCGGCGCTACTGGTCAGATCCTTAAGGAAGGTGTAAGCTGTATTTCCTGGAGCGTCAAAGGGAAGCAACTAGTCGCCGGCCTTATTGATGGCTCGGCTTTTCAAATGACCCCCGAAGGTGTGGCCAAAGCACAAATTCCTAGGCCGCCAGGTGTTGACCCCGGCTACCACGGTATGTAATGATCGAATCTTTTGCGCGCACGATTCTAATCCTACTGGCAGTCTCTTCTATCACATGGCTAGAAAATGACGTCTTCATGATGGTTCATAATCCGTCGAACATTGACGCCAACAATGCGCCCACTTCTGTATTCCATCTTGTGACTCGGCTACCAAAGTCTACAGAGCATATTTTTCAGAAATTGGCCGATCCAGCCCCAAACTTTGGTTTGAACCGCAGCCCGCCTTATCATTTCTTACTACGCCTTAGAGACTTCCCTCCGAACCTTCGAGATCTTATCATTGTGTCGTCCACCGCGTCTACGGATATTGGGCTTTTCACAAGATCTGCGGTTCCTTTAGTTTCAGACAAGCCCGCTGATAAGGTAACTGATGTCTTCACTATGACTGAGATGTCGGATGATTCTCGGCGAGCACAGTTGCCTGTAAACGAGGCAATGGAAGACACATCGCCCATAGGAGCGATTCTAGATCTATCTTCTAGAGAGAGTGTTCCCAGACCCATTCCAAGTGATGAAATGGACGAGTCTCGAACGCCTTTGCCAGCTTTGCTCGTATTGAACAATGAAGGGGTTTTGGCTTCGTGGTGGGTCGTATATTCGGAATCTGTTCGTCAAGGAACTTCATATCCTGGTTTGGTTGCAGCGGCCGCGTCCCAACCCGGTGGTGCCATGCAGCCTCTTTCATCCAGCCAAAATGCACCCTCCGTACCAGGTTTTAACCAGACATTTGGCTCCCCATCAAACGTAGGGAGTGCATTTGGCGCCACAAACAAACCCGCATCCTCCTTTGGTAGTGGAACCGCATTCGGGGGTCAGCCTAATAAGCCGTCGGGTTGGCCTAGCACGTCTTCCGGCCCGGTGGCTACAACTGGACCTGCCTTTGGAGCACCTTCCTTTGGCACCCCAGCCACACCAGCTTTTGGTGGCCCAAAATTTGGCACCCCTACCTTCGGGAACGCGGCATCACCGGCTTCGGGAGGTGTTGCTTTTGGTAATTCTGCACTTCCAGGCAGCCGACCTTCTCCATGGAGCGCGGCAGCATCAGGAGCGCCAGCAACCACATTTGGTCAACCCTCAGGTCTCGGAGTGGCAGGAACTACAGGCTTGGGAACTGCAAAGCCACCTGGCTCTGTGTTTGGGTCAGGCGGTGGTTTAGCTGCTCCTGCTACTGGTGGATTTGCTTCATTCGCTAGCAATGGCGGGTTCGCAGCTGTGGGCACATCACAGAAAGACCAGGGAAATATATTTGCAACTAAATCGGAATCTACAAGCTTCTCATTGTCGCCGAAGACAGTTGATAACACATCCAGCTTTGGCTTCAATGGTGGAACTCCAGCTGCCCCGCTTAGAGGCACCTTTGGTTCGCAGGGTTTCACTTTAGGGTCGACCTTTAAACCTGATAGCTCTCGCAAAGACGATGGCCAAGGGACTGGGAAAGCTGGAAGTGGTCCATTCTTTGGCGGCGGATTCGGAAAGGCTCTGGGAGAGGCCCAGGTATCACCTATCGTTTCTAGTCCGGAAGCAACTATGGATGATACCACTGACTTAGGCCAGGAGCCCACTGTTGCTCCAAAAGACACTGTTACGGAACCAATTATTAAAACAGACGAGGGCCTTCTAGGGACTGGACCCGCCATAACCGCCCCTAAATTTCAGTTCCCGACGTCACAACCAAAAGCTATTGGCCCTGGGGGGCCAGCACCTAAACCGACCAACACTACGGCGCCAAATGTGCAGATCCCAAGCTCGACAAGCTTTAGCTTCGGGCCTCCAGTCGGAAGTACAGAATCGAAAGACACTGCCAGCCATACCAGGGAATCTGCACCCGTTTCTGAATCTATTCCAGTCTCGAAGCCAAGATTACCATCGAGTAACGATGTTAGCCAAAATTTACCCAACGTGACCAAGGCAGAACGCCCTTCTGCTGTTGCCTCCCAAGAGAGCCAACGGGTTAGCGACGCCCATGTTCCGGCCAAAAGTCAACTTGATGCACCTCTACCACCTGATTTCATCAACCTGCCAAAGCCGCCTGCTACCCAGACGCTCAACCCGGACAAGCCACAACAAAGCAAAAGCCTGCCGTTCCAACAAGCAGATCTTACCCCCCCGCTCCATGTGCCGTTTAGCCCAGGAGAGGGCCCAGGTTCTGATTATTCTGATGTCGGGGATCAAAGTTATAGTGACGATGAGGAAAAGAGTGATGAAGACAGTGCGAACGAAATTGCCAATGCGGACGGCAATACACCAGGTTTAACCCCCGAAAGTTCTTTTGACAAGCCCAATTATGCAAATCGTGGAAACGCAGCATTTGCCACTGGCCCTCTTAGTGGCCACCAACCACCTTCTAGATCACTTTTTGGAGAAATCGGAAACCGCAATACTCCTGTTTTGGCGCCGCCTAAACCGGAAAGTCCACGATCGCCAAGCCCTATTCGTTCGTCTGTCCCAACCCGGCTTCTTGGCAGGCCGGACGCATCTCGATCAGTTAGTGCTCCTATTGCAGCATCACAAATTTTGGGTGCCCGTGCGGCGCCCATCTCTAGCAATGCTTTTGGGAAGGCTGGTGAATACGGAGAAGAAGAAGCCAGACGACGCACTGAAGCGTCCAAGAAGAAAGAAGCTGAAGAATCCCAAGCCTTGGTGGACATAGAAGATGACAGGATGCAGGACTTTCTCAGCAGAGACGTAGAGGGCACAACAAGGCTTGATGAGTTTGTTGCACATCAGGACTATGTTGGCGGCGCAGACAAAGACAGCATACCGTTCCAAGTTGAAGCTGTCTATCGTGATATTAATTCCATGATAGACACACTGGGTGTAAACTCACACACAGTGAGAAGCTTCACTAAGGGCCATACTGAGCACTACAAAGATGCCGGTCGAGAAAGAGCCGACTTGGAAGGAGATGAAACATGGTGCCTCGGAGAAATCGAAAATCTATCTAGCATCATCGAGAAAGACTTGTTGAGGGAGCTTCAACAAGGCTGTATTAAGGATGTTGACAGCAAGCTTCAACTTTGTTCCAATTTCGTCAAGGAATTAGTTAAGCTACGAACTCGCACCGAGGACGCCCTGATAGTTATCACTTCCAGTCGCGATCAAGATCACATAAACATCAACAGGTCTCAGCCATTAACAGCTGAGCAAATCGCACAACAACACGACCTTCGAAAAGATCTGGCACATTTTCAGAAGCTCCTTGGTGACGCCGAGGAGCAACTTATCATGCTTAGAGCTAATATATCATCCTTTACCGGCTCTGGTGGGAAATCGGGCCCAGGTCCAACTACCGAGGCCGTTATGAGGACGATTGTGAAGATGACAGCGATGGCTGAGAAACGCAGTGGTGATGTGGATGTCATAGAAAACCAAATGCGCAGGCTGCGGTTCAGCTCGGTTACCAGCAATGACCGTAACAGCCCCGAAGGCTCTCCATTCGCGAGCCCAACAAAGTCCGCTATGCGCCATAATACGACTTTCGCCAAATCTGGACGTCCATATACGCCAGACGGGACTCAAAAGGGGTCCCGCGCCCTACATATGTCATTATCATCGTCTACACGGTCGCAAAATCAGTCGACGCCGCCACGAAAGAAACTTGAAGGGTTCACAGAAGAAGATAAATCAACTATCAAATGCTCCTTCTCAAGAAAAAGAGAGGTTACCGATAAGTTGAAGTTGGCGTTGGAAAGGTCCAAAACCAAAGTCCGTCCGATGGAAGATGAATGATGTCTTGCCATTACGGACAGAATGCAAATTACCCTTTAAGAGGCGCTCTCTTTCTCTAGACTTTGGGGTTCTTCCTAAATGTAGCTTCAGGCTGTAATGATTTGGGACCAGACACATACGAATAATGTTTATCGAGGAATATCGAATGTCATAAATACTGTATAAACATTTCCAAGTTAACTTTTGGCGGTTCTTATTGGCTGCTGACTAATGTTCGTGAATTGCAACACCTCGTTTCCGTGATGCTTACGGGCGTAACAACGCCTCTTGTGCCTGCTATATGATCCTAATCCAACATCAAGGAACCAAAGTCTATTTTCGCACGCAGCCTTATTTCGGGGCTTTGATACGAAACCAACTCTATTTCAATCCAACCAAGCAAATTCTAGCTCAAACTTGTTAGCGCGTTCATGCACCATACCTCTTTGGTCCCCTTCAATGCGCCCATCTCGTTTTATTTACCCCGACGATTAAACCATTCACAATCTCATTCTGGATATGGATCCATATCCTCCGTGGCAAAATGGCCCACCCGATAATCAACTAACGGGCCACCCCCCTTCTGCGGACGGAACAGCAAGGCTCCAGGCGCTTAGTTCTAACTCTAATTCTACAAGTGGCCCTAGTCCTAGCCCTGTAGCTGCTGCTCTCCCGGAAACTCGTGTTAGGCGGCGGAACCGCATGATTACATCTTGTTTGGAATGCCGCCGAAGGAAGCTCAAATGTGATAAATCTCATCCGTGCGTGAACTGTACCAAAGGCCACCGAGACTGCATATTTCTGGCCCCGGCACTCGACCAAGCTAGCCGGCTAAAATTAACGGAGATAAAGGACCAAGTCGGATCCTTGGAGAGTTTGCTTGGGAAGGGGCCTCAGCAACCGCCTTCAGCTGCTACCTTGCCACATATTAAAGGCAATCCAGCCGATATTAAGGACGAAGACTTGCCACAAGCAGAAGATGAGAAAGACCTGGAACCAACTCCGCTCGCCGTTGTGGACGCCGTATACGAGGATGATGCCGACGATGATCTCCTCGATCTTGGTATTCAAATAGGCAGGATGAGAATTACAGAGAGAATTGGAGGCTTCTTTCGACCGCGCCTCGCTCAGGAACTGGCGTATTCCCTATATGACACGTCGAAGCCGCCCCTCTCGCCAGACAATAGCAATACTACCCGATCGGGCGTCCAAACCTACCAATATCTGATGCCTAGTCCAGCATACATTGCGCCGGCTTCGGGGTTTGTTTTTGGCCATGCTGATAGTGGCTCTTCTCTCATTGACTATCTGCCTACGCGGTTAGCAGCGGATCGCTTGGTTAAACAGTATTTTACAGTTGTTCACCCTGTCGCGCAATTGCTTCACTATCCCAGCTTTGAGAAGGAATATGAGAACTTTTGGGATGATATTTCGCTTGGAATTGAACCTCCTACTTCGTTGCAGGCAATCGTGTTTGCTGCAATGTTCTCTGGGGCGGTCAGTATGAGCGAGATGGTTATTTTGAGAGATTTCGGTGTGCCTAAGGACCGGTTAATCGATAACTTCAAGTCGGGCACAGAGACAGCGCTTAGCAAGTCTCACTTTCTACGCACTACGAAGGTTGAAACCTTGCAGGCATTTGTTATGTATCTTGTGAGTAAATGGATGCCTCAGTTCCTAATTTCTTCCTAACAGCATCAGACCCCACTATGCCGTGCAGAAACATCACGAGCGCACTCGGTTTTAGTCGGAGCAGCAATCCGCATGGCTGAATGCATGGGCCTCCACCGAGATGGCGAGACATATGGGTTGAACCCCATCGAGACCCAAGTTCGACGACTGATCTGGTATCAGTTGTGCTTCTTAGATATCAGAACGTGCGAGGCTCAAGGACCAAGGCCATCGATACGTAGAGGCGACTTCGACACTAGGTTGCCGATTAATGTTAATGATGTAGATTTACACGCCAACGGTAAGCCTGTGACTGGTGTAGACCGCTGGGTGGATGCAACATTTACGACGATGAGGTTCGAGGTCAATGAGATGATGAGACTTATCTGGAGTGAAAGGCCTCGCATCGAGTCTCGCAAGTCAACATTAACGAATCTTCTTGGCAAAATCGAAGCTTTCCGACAGCACTTAGCTGAGAAATACGACCATCTTATTGACGAGCGCGTACCCTTTCAAAGGTTTGCAAAAATGGTTAAAAACCTTCTATTGGGGCGCCTAACTGTCATGGTACTACACCCTTATCACAACTCTGTCCAGAACATGATGCCTCCACGGCTACACAAAATGCTGATAGCTGCGGCAACAAATACCGTCGAGAATGCCATGTGGATCGACAGTGTGCCTGACGTGCATCCTTGGGCTTGGTATGGAGGAGCATTTAACCAGTACCATTCAGCATTTTTGTTACTTTTGGATAGCCACTTCTTCTCCCATGGCGAGAACCTGGACCGCATTTGGCATTGCCTGGACTACGTTTTTGAAACCGACCCCTCTGAGCCGCGGGAGGTGAAAGCTCGCAAGGTTCTCTGCGAACTACAAGAGAAGACTACGGTGTATCAACAGTTCCGCAAGATGCGTGCATCACCGTCAATGCTCAAGCACGTTGGACAACGGCCCCCACGAAGAGTTGATAGGAATATAAATTCAGGCGCATCGTCGGTCAGTGCACAGCATGGGGATGCAGGGGGCACAAAACCCTCTTTAATCGGCAAAGTGCCTGTGCCTGATGTCGTTTTTGCCGGGGTTTCCAATGGCGAGGCTCTTTGGGCACTTCCTAATTATGGGAGTCCTGCGGGAAGTAGTGACTCGGGGGGTGTTCCAGGCCAAACCAACCCTGTTCAAATGGAGAATACAAAGATGGAATATTCAATGCCCGAAATTGACTGGGTAAGCGTCTGAGGGCAGTTAACATGCTCACTCAATTTTGCTGACTCTGTGTTACCCAGGATGCGTTTGATATCTTGTTTCCACCGAATGAATCGGGTGAAATGATGCAACAGGCGTATGATAATGTTGACAAGGTGCCTGTGTGAATAGCGCAGGCCATATGGTATGATGGGAGTTTATAGGATAGGTAGTGACGATAGCAAAGGTCACAGATAGTATAGAATTTACTGGAAATTTGGATTACTCTACCTGCAGGATTCGGATATAGATAGAGATTATAGCTAATATAGTATTTGATTGCTCTTCATATCCTCATTCTCATTCTCATTCTCATCGTTGTTGCTCTCCTTTCCTCCTTTGCGTCTGCGTCTGCGCCTGCGTCGGTCCGATTTGTTCCGCCCCTTGCCTAGTTTTTCCGCCCCGCCACCCGCGCGGCACCGCCACACAGTCTATCCGATTCTCTGGATTTCCATTAGGCTTAGCTTCGACCATGGAAAGGGCCCTTTGAGTAAGAAATCCAACTCAAGTTGCGCTTAGCCTCCACCTTTTCACTCGGAGCCTTTTTCAGCCTCGACATTCATTTTATTCCACCTTCATCCTCTCCCCTCCCCCCACCATCAAACGCCCCCTCTTCAAAAAAAAACATCCCCAAATCTTCGACCGCTCAATAAGCCCTTCTACCCATATTCAAACCCCCCGGGCGCCATAAAAAGTTTATCGGCCCATCATAATAAGATAAGCTGTGCATCAAGCACATTAAACAACAGCTCGTTCAACCATCATAGCGATAGCCTTGCGTGCCGGACACCACACCTGGACCGCTCGTGCCAATCGACTGTACCGCCATCGCTGTTTGCGTTTCAATACCTCGCCTTCACCCGATATATCCGATCTTACTGTGACTACGGTCTCACCGATCCAACATGGCGAAAGATACCAAATTCTACGATCTACTTAATGCAAGTCTTCCGCATCGGACTCTGGAGCCACTACTAACTGTGCTTTAGGTCTCTCCAACATGCACTGAGGCGGAGCTGAAGAAGGCATATAAGGTTGGAGCCTTAAAACACCATCCAGGTAAAGGCGAAATTCACCACTCAATAGCATCCACCAGCTAACGTTACCGTACAGATAAGAATGCACACAACCCAGATGCAGCCGACAAATTCAAGGATCTCTCTCACGCCTACGAGATACTTTCTGACCCCCAGAAGAGACAAATCTATGACCAATATGGAGAGGAGGGTCTCGAGGGAGGTGGCGGAGGAGGCGGCATGAACGCTGAGGATCTCTTCTCTCAATTCTTCGGCGGCGGCGGAGGTGTCTTCGGCGGTGGTGGTGGTATGTTCGGCGGTGGAATGGGCCAGCGTGGGCCACCGAAAGCCCGCACCATCCACCACGTTCACAAAGTATCTCTAGAGGATATTTACCGGGGCAAAGTTTCGAAGTTGGCACTACAGAAATCCGTGATTTGCTCCAAGTGCGATGGCAGAGGCGGCAAAGAGGGTGCTGTCAAGAAGTGTACTGGTTGTGACGGACACGGCATGAAGACTATGATGCGCCAAATGGGTCCCATGATTCAGCGATTCCAAACTGTCTGCCCGGATTGTAACGGAGAGGGAGAAATCATTCGCGAGAAGGACAAGTGCAAGCAATGCAATGGCAAGAAGACCGTTGTAGAAAGGAAGGTTCTTCACGTTCACGTTGACAGAGGTGTTCAGAGCGGCCACAAGATCGAGTTCCGCGGCGAAGGTGACCAAACACCAGGCGTTCAACCAGGAGATGTTGTGTTTGAAATCGAACAGAAGCCGCATGCAAGATTTCAACGCAAGGGCGACGACATATTTTACTCCGCAGAAATCGATCTCGTCACAGCCCTAGCCGGCGGAAACATCTTCGTCGAGCATCTGGACGAGAGATGGCTCAGTGTTGATATTCTGCCCGGAGAAGTTATAAACCCAGGTAAGCTTACAGCGGATTCCCACGTCAAGAGTAGTTGGATCTTACTAACTGCGCAGGCTCCGTTAAAATGGTACGCGGCCAGGGCATGCCTTCACATCGTCACCACGACTTCGGCAATCTTTACATCCAGTTCGACGTCAAATTCCCCGAGAAGAATTGGACAGCCAACCCCGCTGAATTCGATGCCCTCAAGTCTATTCTGCCGCCGACAGTCCAGCCGATCCTGCCACCTGCAGAGACGATGACAGAGGCGGTTGATTTGGAGGACGTAGATGCAAGCCAGCAAGCACGAGCTGCTGGCCATGGCATGATGGATGATGAGGATGAGGACGGACACCCTGCTGGTGCTGAAAGAGTCCAATGTGCATCTCAGTAATTGACAACTAGACCACTTGGAGAACCGGCGGATAGGGAATCACAGCAATGACGCTTCTCCGTAGGTTCTACACCTTACTTTATGGGCACATTGTGATTAGCTCTGAACATTGCATTCGGGCAATCGCTGATCGCTTCTAAGCGTGGATACGGTTCCTCATTTAACTCAGCGGGTTTAGCTGGATAGCGAGTTATTCCTCTCGCTCCCCAGCGTTGATTCTGCGTTTCATTGTAATAGGCGTTTAGAGATATAGACAAATCATGAAGACTAGTAGGCATGAACCAGTTAACAATTAGCTTTGGTATTGCACCTTGGTCCATAAGTCTACGAATTGAAATTGTGCGTGTTTGCTTATTCCCATCCTGCACGCTTCCGCAAGTTTCCCAGATTGTAGAGAACATTCCACCAGTCAACATTTGCCGCTGGCATTGTTTGGTGATCAACACCAGTAATATCAACCTTTCCAAAGTGGGAAGCCACCGTATTCCAATCCTTGCCATCGGATTTGATGACCTTCAAGGGAACTTCCGCCCCAATCGTTTCCACGTCTCTGAGTTGAACTACCGAACCGGGACAATGCCACAGGTCAACCGAAACGATCAAGGTATTGTTTTGTACGATTGTAGCCATGGCTAAAGGATTTCCGTTGAGAGGTAAAGTTTGATAATGCGAAAGGTTGCCAGCCGGGGATAATTCGAAGAAGAACAATGCTGGGACACTGTAACCAATTAGACACAAGGCATCCAAGTCAGCTACACGCAATCAACACTTACCCCTCACATGTAACAACAACACTGCCAGAATTGCTGTTTGGCTCTTGCTGCAGATGCTTTATGCCCGAGACTATGACCTTCGGCGAGTGAGAGTCATCATTGGCCCCAATACCAACGCCAAGCCCTTCGCCAGAGGATCCGCGTAGAACAAGCTCCACATGGGATGATATATTTACCTTTTGGAGCAGATCCCCTGAAAGCCAATCCCAAACAAATAAATCATCGTCGCCTCCACCGGAGATCAGGAGGCGATTAGCGGATTTTGGAAGGCATAGCCTGCTCACAAACTCGCTGTGCCCCAGACAATAGGCTTCAATTATATGCGATTGCGGAATTCCTCGAGACACACGTATATGTTCATCCCTATCAGCAGTGATAATATAATTGCGCCCACATTCCTCGACCAGTGCAATATCTGTCAACATTGAAACATGTCCAAGTAATAACTGTTGTCCCACATTGGCTTCGACTTTGTCTGCCTTGGCTAGATTCTGCTTCAGCTGGTTCTGGAGTGCTCTGCGATTCCGTGCAGAGTGAACTGTAAGATCATTCGCGGAGGACACAAATTGCTTGGGTTTTTCGGATAAATTCTCATCCTCAACTAAGGGTGCTGTCGTGGCGTCCTGTCCTTCCGGTAAATCCATAAGCAAGGGAAGTGAATAGACATCTCCAAATTTGTCAGCACAGATGATCGCAGAGCCCGATGGCGACAGTGTAACAGCGCAAGGCCTTTTTGGCATGGACCTGAAAATGATTAAGCTCCGAGCCTTAATTTCAACGAGCTAGAGAGCTTACCTCTCAGATATTTGTTGCAGATGGCCGCCGTCGTGCCGAAGGACTCGAATTGTCTTATCCTCTCCCGTTACTATTATTACATATTTTCCATCATTCGATGACGTCAATGCAACAATATTAGGATATATTGAGGTCTTTGTAGTTGTTCTCTGTGAGCATGCTCTTGGATTTTCGCCTTTTGGCGCCCTGCCAACGGAAGAGGATTCCTCGTTGCTCGGATCCGACAGTTTTCTCCTTTTGGCTGGCTGGTTGGAATCTGATCCTGTGGCTTCTATTGAAAGGGCACCGGAGCCCTGTAACCCATCTTCATCGTTTGGAGGTTCGGATTGAGTGGCTAGAGCAGTTTTATTCAGTTGGTCCGGGCAAGCCCATGATGAGATCTGAGACCCATCGAAGAGATTGAATGTCTGCAATGTGTGAGCACTTGCAGCAATAACAAACTCTCCAATAACTTCGACACACTGGTATGCAGCGTACATATTTCGAATTTAACGAGGGTTGTGAATTTTCAAAACTTGACGTAAAGCTGGAGGTATAATTACTCGTTGTGAGCACCATCTATCTACATTTATTTTTTGGCGATAAGTAAAATCGTGGTTTGGGCAAGTCCACGCGATTTGGCGCCAGCCACACTATGATTGGCTGAGATCGGTCATCGTTACTTCTTCGTCTTTGACCACCGACAACATCCCTCCTCCCGAGAGCCACCCCACGACGACAGCAACGCAGTATCTATTGTCAATTAAAAGCGACGAGCTGAACCTCGACTTGCTGCATCGAATGCCACTTCCTACTATACCATTACGCTGGCTGTGGCTTTGTGGCTCGAATTGAACATTCCAATCTGCTCTCTCGAAACAGCACAGATTTCGCGCCAATTGGATCCTATCCAATGATCTTGTAAGATCTGGATCAACTATATGTTGCTAGGGCGGACACCCTGCTGCACAGCAGTGAAGCGAAAGCTACGAGTCCCATCGGAAGAGATATGGATCACCGACAAAACCCTGGCGTGGGCATTTCAGCGCTTATGCCTTCTTTCGAGGCCCTCGAGACGCCATGGGACGTCGGTACCCGGCCCCATGGAGTGCAGGCGGCGTTTAGGCAAACGCCGTATGGCTCACTTTTCAGAGGCAGTTCGACCACCCGCCCATGATTTCGCGGCTTTGTGGGGATTCAGGGGCGCCAAAGAGAACAACATTTGGCAATGGGAGGCGCCGCATAAACCGCCAGAACGAGCTGCTACGGATCAACTGCCATCTTGGCTGATGGATCTGGATCAGTCGAGGGCCAATAATCCAAACCAGAATCATCTGGAAAGCAACGATGGCCTCGTCCCCGTCTTACAATCAAATGCTACGGACGACTTGGAGTGGTTTCGTGACCGCATCCGCGCCAAAACGACACCCATTGATTTCTCAGATATCTGTGGGACATTTTGCCAAACGTTCAAGCAGAGTTTGTCCTTGGGGCAAGTCTCTGCAGCTGTTCTAGCCGGAAGTATACGTGAAGTGCCGCGCCTCATTCGAGACAATACCGCTAGCAAGGACATAGAACATGCTCTCTGTATCTCATTTTACCAGGCGACATGGAGAGGCATCATGGCATGCAAGGTACTTCGACCAGCTGAAATTGAGCCAGAGGTCTTACGATTATTGCTCACGAATCTGCCTCGCCTCCCGGTACATATGTCCGCCGCTCTCATTTCAGACATTCTTCGGTCCATCACCGATAAACAAAAGCACGAGCTTAAAAAAGAGATTTATGCAATTGGGGCCTCACTTTTCTCGCCTGATACAAGCGCCTCGCACCCCGAAGAAATATCCCAATCTACAGAAACCGCCAAAGCAAAATACTCGCCGCCTAGAAAGATGTTCTTGAACATATATGTCTTGAAAGACATAGTTGGGGCCCTGATGGAAACCTTTGGGTTGTATGCGCCTGAAAAGCAAGCAAGGGAGGAAATATGCCATCTGGTTCAACTATCCACGGCTTACGCAAGCAGGGTCATCTTCTCTGGAAGTGGGAGGTCCACAGAAGTTTTAGTACGAGAAGGGGAGGATCTGCGGACGACATTGCTCAAGCTCATAGCGCGTGGACCTTTCGCCTCCGAAGCTTTGCTGGTACAGGCGTGCATGATAATACGGGCTGAATATCGCGATGACAGAACAACAATAACCCTTCCGCGGTTGCGTCAACATGTCCTATGCGATATAATGTTTGAATATTGGGCTGGGACGACGCCTAATACGTCAATAGTGAAAGCCCATGCTGCGTTTAAGGCTTCGTTTCTATGTCCACATAAGCCTCACCGTTCTATTATTCATTTATGCACGGCTTTAAAACAACAGGCAATATGTTGGGACGAGAAAGTTGCCTGTTATTTGCGAATGTTACGCCGCATCCGCGGTGAAAGTGACAGTGTGTACTACTGTTTGAAACGCCTCGAGCAGGCCAAAATCTACCTCAATGCACCGACTATCATGAATGAAATGGCGGCACTACATACCAAGAATTTGCGTCACGCGGCGAAATTGCAGCGGCTCTATTCAAGAGATCGCCCAAGAACATACGAAATTCCTCTCGAAAAATTTCCGGGTCTTGCAATTGCGATGATTCATGATCCGTCGTGCAATCCAAGGGATATATTTGACCTACTTGGGGGATTTCGGGTCTGGAAAGAAACACACACAAGCTGGGCGAGAATACGCTTAGTGGAGAAGATGGCTTTTGAATTTTCGCAGGTCGACTTCATCTCGAACAGAGTTGCACTCAGGAGTATCGCATGGTGCATTCGGTACCTAAATCACCACAAAGTTCCCATATCCAGTCTCATTATTCGTGTCTTAACTGATATTGGCATCGAGGGGAATATCATAGAGAAGGGGTCGATTAGTCGCGGCAGGTTACAATGGGTCCTGGGCATTATTGAGCGAACGGAGGGTAAAGTGGTTGCGGAAAGAATAGAAGCAGTCGTCGTTGACGCACTACACCGAGAAAGGGAGCGAAGAGCTCGAGAAGATTGTGTAAAGATATAGGACCCATAGATGTATTCATAGTAGTTTTAGGGATCACACCCAAATTGGTAGATATGCCATCTATATTGACACGAATTATTTATGTTCTACTTCCTAGCTGGCCGTCAATCGACGGATTTCCTCAAAATAGAACTTGAGGTCGTCTGGATTCACCTTTGGTGTGATTCCTACACATTTGTTAGTGCTACAAAGTATGGAATATATAACGGCGGCTTACCATGGCCCAAATTAGCGATCCATCCCTTTTTCCCACCACCATAAAATCCATCAACCATTTCCGTAACTGCACCCGTAATCGCATCCTTCGTGCCGTAAAGAATCCCTGGGTCAGCATTGCCTTGGAAGACAACAGACCTATCACCTCTAATTTTGACGGCCGCGGCCGGATCTTGCAGCCAGTCGAGTCCAACAACGTCGTAGCCCAGGTCACAAAGAGCGTCAAGAGCATGCCAAGCGCCTTTGGCAAAGACTATCATCGGAACAGGTTCGAGCTGCATCTCTGCAAGTCTTTTAGGTAAATTTGCTGAGATATAAGCCAAATATGGCTGAGAAAATTGTTTGAACGAAGCTGGAGAAAGCTCGGCTGCCCAAGAATCAAAAACTTGGACCATCTAATGCAGCGTCAGTTATTATCATTGCCACGGAAGAAATATCGAGGATAGTACCTGTGCGCCTGCTTTGACTTGAAGAGCAAGATGTTCAACGCAAACCTCGGCAATCTTTTGGAGAAGGTCCTTGCTTGCTTGCGAATGTCTAAATACCCAAGTCTTTGTTTCAATGAAGAGCTTGCTGCCGCCACCCTCTACCATGTAGCAGAGAAGAGTCCATGGCGCCCCGCAAAAGCCAATTAGCGGAACGCGGCCTTTCAGCTTGTGTCTGGTCATGGTTATGGCCTCGTAGACGTATCCCAGCTCCTTGGCAACGTCCACTTCCTTTTTCATGACTCTTTCGTACTGGCCGTCGGTTGGTGACGTGAGCGGCTCAGGGAAATGAGGTCCTTTCTTGTCAATCATTTCAACAGTCATGCCCATAGCCTGTGGAATGACAAGAATGTCAGAAAATATTATGGCGGCGTCAATGAGGCCCGCAAAGCGCTCAATCGGTTGCAAGGTAAGAGTCGAAGCGATATCTGGTGACCGACAGCACTCAAAGAAGTCGTTCCCAGCTTTGGCTTCATGGTATTCCGGCAAATATCTCCCAGCTATTGAAGTGTAAGCTTGCCGGGTTGTATATTTTGGTTTGGGGCGCCATATATTTACCTTGACGCATCACCCACGCAGGTGCTCGTTCCACTTCTTCTCCTTGGATAGGTCAGTCTATGGCTCGCATCATATGGGGAAGTATATATATACCCCTGGCGGCCCGTAAAATAAGGTCATTTTGGATGGGTTCGAAGTTGTGTGACATCTTGACGTGTGGTAAGATAAGTTTTGGTAGTGGAAATCAATCTGTATGAGGCGCGATGTGTGGAGTATTTTGCCCCTCACAAACCGTCTACGAAAAGATCCCAATGACGCCCCGGCTGCCTCGGTTCTGTTACAAAGCTAGTTAGTCACTTAATATTGGCGCGGAGATGCCTTTTTCCCCTCCAAACTAAGATAAGATAAGGAATTTCGAAAAAAAGAGCTCTAGAAGACCAACCTAGCTATGAGGCCTGGGTAATTAGGCATCGATTAATTCTTGTGTGCTAACCGAAAGGAAACCCTAGAGAACCACAAACCCAAAAATATTTGCCGAGGACTTCTTTTGCGATATCATCAACATACAAGCAGTCCAATCTCCGGGCGCATTATTTCAATTCAATTATATCTTGACCCTTAAACATCCTACCTTCACACTAAGAAGATATGGGGGGCAAGACCGCAAACAAGGCCGGCTATTTCGATAAGCTGAAGGGCCTTCTCGAGGAGTATCGCAGCATCTTCATTGTCTCCGTCGACAATGTCAGCTCCCAGCAGATGCACGAGATCAGACAGTCTCTCCGCGGAGAGGGTGTTGTCCTCATGGGAAAGAACACCATGGTCCGCCGTGCCATCAAGGGGTTCGTCGGTGACTCCCCAGAGTGGGAGCGCCTTCTTCCATTCGTCAAGGGCAACATTGGATTCGTCTTCACCAACGCCGACTTGAAGGATATTCGTGACAAGATCCTTTCCAACAAGGTTGCCGCCCCAGCCAGAGCTGGAGCTGTTGCACCGGATGATGTATGTTAAATCGACTTCTTGTTTGCCAAAGTATACCTACTAACCTCCTGCCAGGTCTTCGTCCCAGCTGGTAACACCGGCATGGAGCCCGGAAAGACCTCTTTCTTCCAGGCTCTTGGTGTCCCAACCAAGATTGCCCGTGGTACGATCGAAATTACCGCTGATCTCAAGCTCGTTGAGGCCGGTACCAAGGTCGGAGCCTCCGAGGCTACCCTCCTGAACATGCTCAACATCTCTCCGTTCACCTACGGAATGGGCATTGCTCAGGTTTACGACAACGGCAACACCTTCCCGCCCCATGTCCTCGACATCAGCGAGGAGCAGCTCCTCAAGGCTTTCTCCAGCGCCATCACCACCATCGCTTGCGTTTCGCTCGCCGTCAACTTCCCAACCCTTCCTTCCGTTATGCACTCTGTTGTCAACAGCTACAAGAACGTTCTTGCTGTTGCCGTCTCCACCGAGTATAGCTGGACCGAGATTGAGGAGCTCAAGGAGCGCATCGCCAACCCAGAGAAGTTCGCCTCTGCCACTGTCGCCACTACCTCTGATGCCCCCAAGGCCGCTGCCGCCGAGGAGAAGAAGGAGGAGTCCGAGGCTGAGGAGTCTGGTGATGAGGGCTTCGGTGGTCTCTTCGATTAAGCCAGATTCTGCCTTTCGTAGTTTGAATTACTCAGATATACGAATCGAGCCTGATACTGCCTTGAATACCAGTCCACGTCCCGCATTTCAGTTCATTGATGTGACATCCAAAACAGCCGGCAAAGTAGCATCCAGTGGTCGAAATATTCGTTACTAAAGGTCAGTTAAACTTTTACTTCTGTTGCAACTCTCACATGATTATCAAAATTGCTTTTTAACCCTGATCTCAATGAAGACAAAACCCATACAACAACTTATTTATGATGTGAACACATCCAACCATTGTTAAAACTATTATAAGTTACTTGGCATTTGCTAACTACTTTCTAGGTTCCCCATCCAACACCTTTTGTGCGATGTCAATTGCAGCCTCCGGTAAACCTGCCAACCTAGCTACCTTCAAAGAATGACTCTTCCTATTGACCCCTCTCTTCAACTTATGCATGTAACTGAACCCCCCGTTTTGATCCTCAGCAACATCTGTGCACCAGTAGCCTACGTTCTCCATATGACGTGACATATCCCCTACTGCATGGAAATGTGTCGCAAACAATGTACGACATTTGTTAACGTGGTATAAATGATGGAGGCATGCAAATGCCACGGCAATGCCGTCTTCTGGTGTGGTTCCGCGTCCAATTTCATCCATTATAACGAAGCTACGCTCTGTGGCGTGCTTCAATATTGTGGCCGTCTCCATCATCTCCACCATAAATGTCGACTGGTTGCGGTACAAATCATCGGCAGAACCAACGCGGCTGAAAATTTGGTCTACAATACCGATTTCTGCGTATTCGGCTGGTACGAAGGAGCCAACCTGAGCCATTATTGTGATCAATGCATTCTGACGAAGAAATGTGCTCTTCCCACCCATGTTTGGTCCTGTTATGATCCAGACGCGGTCTTCGTCGCCAACAAGGCAGTCATTTGTGACGAAGCTTCGCCCTTGCTGCTGTAGACCAACCTGGACCGTGGGGTGGCGGCCCCCCATAACTTTGTGGGCGGTAGTGTTATTCAAAACAGGGCGGACGAGGCCTTGATCATTTGCATGCGTCGCAAACGAGCAGGCGACATCTAGCTCGTCCAGGACAGTGGCGTTGCGGCGCAGCTTGACCAAAATCTTGATGACCTCTTCACGAAGCTTTTGGAAAACCCTCTGTTCCTCGGCGCGTATCTGAAGTCGGACTTGGTCTATTCTTCGGCCCAAATCTGTCCACTCTGGGTGGTGGAATGACTTGGTGCTTTTGCTAGAGCTGACACTTCTCATTTCTGCCATACGTTTGGCATCTTTTCCCTTCACATGACATATATGGCCCAAGCCAGGTGTCCAACGAAGCGCGAGGGTTGTTGCGTCAAGTTCTCGCTGAAGATTGTCATGCAACTTTGCCTTGTCCTCGTCAAGGCTCAGCAGGTCTGCATGCAACCTCTTCAACGATGCACTTGCCAGAGGTTTCATAATCCACACTTGAGTGTCCTCACTATAGTGCTCGCGTATGCTTTTTGTCGTTTTCTTGCCCCGGCCTCGCTTTATTGCTGCAATATCGTCCGTAGAGCCTTCGGATGTCGCAATCTGTTCCGCCATTTCCATAATCGTTCCTGCTTCTTCATCCTCTATTCTATGTTGCTGCACAACGCCTTCTTCATCGATCGCATTTCTGATTTTGCTTGCTAGAGCAAGCGGGCCATCGAGCTCAATGCGTGAAAGAAGCCGTGATAAGGACTCTGGTGGGGATGATTCCGGGAAGCCTGGCCCTTCCTGTAGCGTCGCTCGTATCGTTGACGCCAGTTCTTGCGTTGCCGATATAGTAGTTGACAAAGCTAAAAGGTCATCTGCATTTCCTCTTCCTAGAGCGAACTTCTGGACTAGGCGTTGAGAGTCATGACAACGTCGAAGCAGGGTCATCAGTCGCTCTCGGAGGGCTGTATCTCCAAGTATGTGGGCTACAAGATCTAACCGGTCGTTTATCACCTGAAGTGATGTCGAGGGAGCACCTAGTATATATTAGAAAAGCTCTTCTCTTAACTGGTTGCGAACATACCAAGCCACTCTTTCAGTAGTCGAGAGCCGCTCTTTGTGACTGTTTTTCGCAGTGCATGAAGCAGGCTCCCAACATAGTTGCCATCCCTATAGTTCTCCATTATCTCAAGGCCCCGTAGACTGTTTCTGTCTATGGCCATGATCTCCTGTGAACGGTATTGAATGGGAGGCTGAAGCTTCAGACTCAAGCCCTGTAGGCGAGTGCCAACATACTCCAACAGCAGACTTCCAGCATCAACTTCTTCTGATGCAAAACTGGCCACTATATCAGCAGGCATCTTGCTCTCCAACATCAGTCCCCACGAAGCCATTGGCTTCCTTTCTTCCACTGAGCAGTATGTAATCACGTGGCGATCGTCACTAAGCACTGCCAGTAAACCATCAGTTGCCGAGTTTTCCTGATCCTTCTCAAGTACGATTTCCCGTGGCCCGATTCGCGAGATGGCACTTGACAACAATGCCAACGTTGTCGACTGTGTGTAGAAGTTGCCGGTTGAAAGATCCAACCATGCCAGGCCAACTAGCTCGTCTACGTCCTTCCGCTCTGTCTGGGAAACACTGCGGCCGCGCTGGATTGCGAGGACATAGTTATTTGATAAAGGGTCAATGAAGTTTTCATCAATCAGAGTTCCTGGGGTGACAATGCGCGCGACCTTCCGGTCATGAAGCAGCCCTCCTGATTTGACTTTGGTTGATGTATCGTTGGCAAACTCCTCGGCAATTGCAACATAACGATTCAAGTCTTGAACTAGTACCTTCAAGAACCTGTCTAGCTGAAAGAATGGGAAACCTGCCTGTGGAAGTTAGAGGGGGCAGGCTACCTGAAGGGCTAACATACCATAGACACGGGACCAGCATTTGTCTTTTTCTGGGCTACCTTGAGATTAAGGAGAGGGCCAAATTCTTCCGCATGCTCAAAGTAGAGTTCATAAAATCCACCAACGCGTGTAAGAAGAACACAATTTTCAAACTTTCTCATATTGGTCTGGGCCTGGAGTACCACGGTTGGATACGTCGGCGCTTCATCTTGGCTTGGTACACTGACAGGCGCGCAAGGAAGTAGCCCCTGTGGTAGATCTTTAAGATTTAAAGAAGTGCTGGTTGGCGGTTTCCTTTTGGGGACTTTAGGAACTTTGGGAATTTTGGTTTGTGATGAGTACTGGGATATCTGTGTCACGTGTGTAACATCATCGCGACTGTAAACCTTCGTTCTACTACACAGGCGGGAATAGACAAATAGAGGAGCTTGACCCCGAATGGCCTTGTCGCAAGTGCTGTGCCTGGGTCTCCACATGAGCGAGTGTTTGATTTATCGACCTTCGCCTGCACTCATAGTTGTATCCCTTTTTAGGGTTTCCAGGATGACTGAATAAGGGGTTGAAAATGCTGCCTTCACATCGATTACACTAGTCTATTTCGGGCATGGTGGGGTTGTTGCCATCGCGTTTGTTACCTACCAAGGTCGCCGCTCTCTGCAGTCAGCACAACTTAAATATCACTACATCAATAAAAACATACATTCACAGCGAAGAAATACAGATACTCAAGTGAATCCCGGCAAACTGTTTCTTGAGAGACTAGAACATGTAATCTGCGAAACACAGGAGCAACTTCCATTGTTCTTCCAGCCAGATATGATGGGCTGTAAACCCAATCCACTTTCGTTCCACTGTCTTGACAGGTCGATGGTAGATCTTACCCTGTCTGACTGTTATTTTAGAAGAGACACTTCGTAATTAGAAGTTGATCTTGTTGAGCGTAGCTCCAAAGCTCTCGCCTTGGATGGTTGCAAGCTCCAGCTCCAGCGCTGTTGGCTGCCTGGATCCATCGGATGCCTGGTTCGTCTGTCAGCTTCCAACTTCAAACAAACATATCATAGGAATCCTTTCTTACCGCATAGGTTCCAGCACCCCATGGGGAGCCTCCATGGACCTCCTCCAAGTTCGAAATCTGTGCAAACGCCGGCTTGTATCCGAGAGGAACGTAGATAATTCCGTGGTGCGTAAGTGTGGACAGGGAGGAGATGGCCGTGGTCTCCTGTCCGCCACCAGGTCCTGCGGTGGAAACGAATACACCCGCATACTTACCCCAAAGTCCGCCAGTTGCCCAAAGCTTTCCGGTGGCATCCCAGAAGGCCTTCCACTGTGCTGGGAAGTTTCCGTAACGAGTGGGGATACCAAGGAGGAATGCATCATAGGTCTCGAGAATCTCGGGTGTGATTACGGGCACGTCTGGCTTGGCTGGAGCATACATCTTCGTCAAGACTTCCTGTGGCAGCGTCTCGGGGACTCTGGAGAAGTAAGTAAGTTAGTGCATTGCTCGTTAAACGATGGCTTCAACCAGGAGAGTGGTGGTGTTATCCTTACTGGTAGAGGTCGGCATTGATGCCAGCCTTCTTCAGACCCTCCTGCTCGGCAAGGGCCAGCTTGTGTATGTGACCATACATGGAATACTAGAAAGGTGCGGGGTTAGTCGGGGAAGCCCAAAAGACGATTGAACTCGAAGTGAAGAGAAGAGAGAGCTTACGAAGACGATTGCTACTTTTGGCGCCATGATGAAGAGTGCTGTTGTAGTTTGTAGGTTGGGTTTGAGTTTTGGGTTATGGGTGAAGTGGGTTGTTGTCAAGAAAGATAGACTAGAGGAGGGGCATTCGGGAAGGTTATATACAGAGCAGAGGGTAAGAGCACAGCAGTACACAGTGGCTCCAGGGGGTGTGGGTGGGTGGGTGGGTGGGAGGTGAGGGGAGAGGGAGAGAGGAGGGAGGGATGGTGTGATGTAATGGGAAATGCAATCAGATTGTGCACATCATACATATTTTATCTAGTTATAGTAGGGTATACCGGGGTATAATACGTATAATACGGGTAGCACAATATGGCCGGCCGTACATGGACTTTGTTCCTAAGCCAAGGAAGGTACACGCCTAGAGTAGTAGTGTTACAGTACATAATCCCGTTGTCCGTGTTGTCCTTTTCTTGTCCTTTTCTTGTCCGTTTCTTGTCTTTCTACCCAGTCGAAGTGGTTGAAGTAGGTGTAGTGGGGTAACTGGCTGGCGTGTGCCCCGCCTTACATAAGGTTTGGACATCGATGACAGAGCAGCTGCCCCGCCTTGTTACTCTGCCTTATGTACTTTACTGTGTATGCCAAAGCATGCCTCAGCATGCCTCAGCAGCCAGTTTGCAGTCACGACAGCCAAACGACTGCAAAACGACTGCAAAACGACTGCAAACCATGCTCCAAGTACCTTTCCTCTAATCGTCTTTATCAACTTTATCAACTTTATCAATCCTTCCGTAATCATTCAAATGTTCGCAAAGCTAGTTAGTTGTTCATCAAGTGTTCATACCTAATATATAAGGTATGATGAACAATCAAAATGTCGCCATGCGACTACGTGACAACGCGACAACGCGACTACGCGACTACGGCCGAATGACTGGCGATAAAAAGAAGCTTTCGTAAAAGCAGTCCCCGGATTACTGTCTATTACCAATATTGTATTTGTACAGTACGCGCACGCGCATACTCGAGTGCGGCCCTTGTCCTTGCAGATTGAGCAGTCTCCGCCAGGACTGTATTTAGACACGGGAATCCGTCCCTAGAATTTCCCATACTGCTTCTCTCTCTCCGGTCATTCATCGTGTTCTGCGATACTGTACTGGAACAATTGTATCAACTACTCGCACTACTCGAACAATTGTACTCCATGAGCTGCGAACGAGTCCCCGTCTATCGTGCAACTAGTTACGCGCCTCTGCTCTGCGTTCTGTGTAATCCTCAGATCCGACGATTATTCCCCAATGGGGCCTGCCTGGGGGTTTTAATAAGAACTGATGGTATGGAGATGGAGTACTCTATTTGTACTAGCAAAAACCGGTTAATTGTTGCCAAGAGAACACAAAACGCCTCAACCTTGCGAAGGCCTTTGTTTCATAATACTGTTCATAATA